CAAAAGTCAGAGGCTTGGTTGCGTTCCTATGAAATGAAAGTCTCCTCAATAAAACGTTGCCCTACTGCCGGATCGTGTCGTGGAAATTATTGCTCCGAGGTAACAACCGACTCGTTAATTCCTGAACTGAAAGAAGTCAACAACTTCCCCGGAAAGAGCTTTTGTGTGGACAGTTCAAGTTTTTGGCAAAATCAATGTGGACTACCTGCCTCCGCTTGTCTTTACTACCGCTGGTATGCACGAACAACCTCTCGACCACCGTTTGAAGTTGTGAGCTGTCCAGCATGGGATGTAACGTTCCCCGTCGACCTACGACTTGAACTTACTGGTGGAAAGTCATGGAATACTGAGCTAGTCCTACGACCTGGAATGACATCGAATTGGGGAAATATTTCAATTACACCACTTTCTGTTTCATTACCACCTATGCCTACTTTAAGCAATCGGTTTATCACTAATGGTAGAGCAACGGCTTTAATTCAACACATTCCGACTCACTTACATTGTGCTGACGAGGATGCAGCTAGACAATTCAATTGCACGTTGGATATCGACACTTGTAAAGACTGTAAACCAAACCATGAGGAAGGATCTGTTTCGTGTCACTGTCAGGATGTGGATGTTGAGGGAATACTTGAGAACCCTATGGCTCGCTTGCCCATCACCGTTGCTAAAGTTTATGTGTACAATGAAGGCCCAGCTATCTATGCCGAACATTCCTACAGCCCAGTTCAACTTCATGTGCAAATGAAAGACCTACAACTTATTTTGGAATTCCGGGACTCAAAATGTTGGATCGAACCTATCTCATTGGTTGGCTGTTACAAGTGCCCTACGGGTGCGCAACTGCGTTATAAATGTCGTACGGATTGGGGAACTGCCCTTGCTAAAGTCGAATGTGACGATGGTGTAGTATTTGCCACTCAATGCAACACCAATAACACAGAGAAAATGATAGTTTTACCATTTGACCGGTCCTTAATCGCTAGTAATTGTATGGTTGACTGTCCAGCCGGCGAGACGTCCTTTAACATTTCTGCTGAACTACACTATATCCCGCTTAAACGACAATTTGGACATAAACAGAGGCTGTCCGAGCGATTGGAAACTGAACCGGATGAAGGCTGGAATTGGCCAATGGACTTTAGTTTCGACCCGTTCGCCATTATTCGACTATGGGCTAGTGTACCACTCTTACTTATGTGTGTGTTTGCGTTGGTAGTTGGACTATTCGCGCTGTACGTGGCTATCAAATTCTCACCAATTTACCGAGCCTATAAGCTGGCAGCTTGGCTTTTTCTGCAACAAGGTCATAGACCTGATAATGTAACGAAATTTACGAAGGCGATGTTATTACTTATGGTTACTAGCGGCGGACATGCTCAGGAAAGTCACGCACATCATAAAGTACTGAAAATTTCAAACCTTGAAAATAAACCTGAAAATACACTATCCGATGGAATTGTATTGTTAGCATATTTTGTCTTGGTGGCTCTGTTCGTGCTGAATTTCGGTCTGACAATATTGAGGGAATGCGCCAGGCAACGAGAACGCAGAGCCCAACAGCAACGTGACTTACTTGCTTCGACTGTAATAGTAGCCTTGGTATCAACTATCTGGTCACCCACACCCGCTGCTACAAATCATTCGAAAACGAGCTTTTTGGCCGCTGAAAAAATCCTATCTATTAGCCAAGCTGGAATTACCGCGGCTGCAACAGAGGTCCAAATTATGAGCTTTTTGGCCGCTGGAAGGTTCCGGTGTGTTTACCAAGCTGGAATTACCGCGACTGCTAGAGGAAAAATTAGTGATACTGCGGGGTGCAAAAGGAACAAACTAAAATCGAAAGTAATTAAACAGCCAGTCACAATAAAAGCTCTGATAACTCACAATTATGCAATAGATTCCTGCATAGAACACAATAAAAGCTACTCTATGGATAAAAGACTCAATTTCTTGATTATTTTTTACAACTCCTCCAATCAATATATATCAGTTTATGGATCTATATATCAGTTTGTGGGTCTAAATTGGGAGGATTACAACCGACAGTTAAACTTTAACCGATCCCCCATCATTTTTTCGTCAATTATTTCTGGTGACTTTGCCACTCGATTATTGCAATTCTTTGGCCTAGCTAAAAGAGAAAAAGAAAATGTGCTTGTCATCGACACACCAAACTTGAAAAATTTTCATTTTTTGGCCCTAAATACAAAAGAAACGTTCCCTTTTAATTTATGCTTAAACAAAGAAAAGGAGAAGTCTTCTCTGCTCAACTTGGCCATTGATTTGGATAGTTTTGCACCAGCCACCTGCTTGGCAATAAAATTTTCTTTTGAATTGAACTTGCGCCGATTAAAAGAAAGGTTACGTAACCTATCTTCATCCCCGCCTCCTTATTGTGAAGTGATGGAAAAAGTCGCTCTATATAATCTGAAAATTAGCCATAATACTTTAAAATTTCTACAATCAGTAACGATGGAACCAGCACCAATTAAAGAAAAAGCCTCGACAACAGTGACTAGTACCCCACCTTCTAAAACAACACGGTGTTCATCATGTGTCAGCAAGGGAGTGCCGCAGCCTCATGGGCATCGAGCGTGTGATAAAGCGTGTCCTTATTTTTCGGAATGGAGACAACAGCAGAAGATTAAATCTGGTAGTGTGCAACAACAAAATCAACAAGCCGCTTTAGAGGAAGAAGAAGCCATCGCCAACCTTATAAAAACACAACAACCGGAACAAGAGAAACAACAACAACATAGTTTGGAAAATGAACGGGCCCCAGTGGAAACAACACGTGAAATGGATCAAGAATTAAAGAAAGGTGTGATGCGGGAAGCTGCAAAACTCATAACCAGTGCCCCAGGATGTGACCCGTTGGAAGAACTGGCTTGTGTAGACGCTGATTTAAGTTCTAGTGGAAGTGTTGACCAAAAGGACTTAGCAAAATGGGCTATAAATCGACTTCGTGAAAGATTGGCATTAACAACTAATGAAGTGGTGGAAGAGCTGGAAGAAGAAAATGTTAGTAGCGACCAACAACACGAACGACAAGAGGCACCGGAAGAGGATGAAGGCTTAATTTTTAGTGAATCAGACAACGGACAAGCGACCCCACCAAGCGAGAAACAAAGCAGCAGTCAACAACTTTCTATAGAGCGTGAACGACAAATCAACGACAAAAAACGACTCAAATCTTATCGAGATCGAAAACGTGGATTTCGGGATGCTAAGACTAAACCTTCTCAACTTGCAATGGCAGCAATTGAGGGCAATCGAAAATTAAATGAAGAAAACGCAGCATTGGCTCGTGACCCCAAACGACTAGAAGCAGCTAAAACCGCGCATCGTGCAGCCGTCAAAGTGTTGAAGAGGAGAGGTGAAACAACGGACTCTAAAGAAAAAAGATTGAAAGCTATCGAAGAAGGTCCTGGTTGGCGTTATCGCACATTCTCAAAACTGCCTGACAAAGGAGGACTTACAGAACGTGATCCGAAAACAACACAGCTATTGCGTAAAGAAAAGGCAGCAGCACTACGAACCGCAGATTTTTATTTGAAGAGAGCTGAAGAAGATAGAGTGGGTTTGGCAGCACTTCTACCGGAGAAAAAACAACGAAAGGAAAGTAAATCACCAAGCCGTCATCGTAAAAGTCGTTCATCAGAGAGACAACGTCGACGACGAGATAGTCCGCTGGTAGAGCGTCGCCCCTCACCAAAGTCTCAAAAAAGGGGTAGTAGCGAAAGGACGCGTCACCACCACCGCCATCATGCAAAACAACGTAATGTAGCGACCAGCACCGACGACCTAATCGTAGTTAAAGAAAAGAAGAATCCACCACCACCCCCGATCAAACTGTCTATAGTGCGGGGTCATTCCATCAATATCGTCTCTAGCCTGCCCAACCCAGCCACATTATTATTAAATGCTAATGAAACAACACGTCAAACTGCCATGCACCTTCTCACATCCACAGCTCTCTACATGGCTCAAAATCTTCCGTCTGGTTCTTCAATATGGCCCAAGAATGAAGAAAAACGGGATGGTTGAATATTTATTTTTTTGTTATGATTTTGGGGATTTTTCTAGGCCGGGGGGAGTGTCGCCAATTTTGGCGACTTTTCATTGAATTGTCTCTTTTTTAAATTGTCCCCCGTTCACTCCTCGTTAATTTTTTAGCCGTTCACCCTTTATTTTTTTCATTGTCCACTCAATCTTTTTAAACCTTTTTCCCGCCAAAATTTTTTCTCTCTATTTTTTAGTGACAGTTTGCGCCTGTCACAACTTAAATTTTTCCTATTGTTTTTTCCGATTGTCTTCTCTGCCCCGTTCTCTCTACACATTTGGTTTTCTATAATCTATTAAGCATTATTTTTCAAGTTCGCATTTTTTGAGTTTTTTGCCAAGACCCGCCCTCTTTTAATCTCTATTTAAGCCGAGGATCAGCCCCCCAAAAATTACCATTCACCTCCAGTTTTTACTTTCAACCGCTTCCAGTTTTCAATTTCAACTCTCATCTTTTGGTTGGCTGATCCGCGGCTTCTACCTTTGTTTAATTAGTGCTCGATTTATTTTACTGCTCTGTTTTTTTGGCTATTATTTTTTGTGGAAGAAGTAAATTTATTGTTGACTTGTCGTTGTATTTTGTTTGAGTGGAAAAGTGAACCGCCTCGAGGTTCACTTACTGTTCTCCTTCTGTTATTTGACTGTGTTGGCACAACCAACACAGTCTGGTGCCACGATCCTAAAAATCCAATTTGTCGGGAAGCCCGTCTCCCGACAAAAATATTTTATATTTTAAATCCGCAAAATTTTGCGGGCCTTGGCGTTAATTTGGCCGATTTTGGCGTTATGTCATTTGGCGTTTTTTAAAAATTTGAAAAATTGGCCTTGCCATTTCAAAATTATCTTACTATCTATTAATATTTTAAGGTATAACACTGCACATATTGCTATGGTAAACTATTTTTAACAGTGTTAGTACTCTAAAATTACTCATGTATCAGGCACACTGTGATCTTAAAATGGCAGAGAGATGTTTCCGTTTAGCATTAGCAACAGACGTTAATCACGCAGAATCTTTAGTTAATTTAGGCATTTTAAGAATGCAGCAACACAAAATAACAGAGGCTCTGAACCTTTTCCAGTCAGCAACTCAAAAAGGGTCTCATTTATACGAGGCACATTACAATTATGCTTTGCTGCTATATGAGGTATTGAACGACTTGAAAATCTTTTAAATTAATTTTATGACAGATGGGTAATTATGCAGAATGTCACAATTCGTTGAAACGAGCAATTGAACTCTTTCCAGAACATTTTTATTCAAAGAAGCTTCTTCAAAAAGTTGAAACGATACTTAAAAGTTGATATTGTAGATAGACACTTCCGTGTATATTCTTGTACCATTTCCACATTAATACTTTTTGGTGTATTTTAGAGGAAAGCGTCTGCGCAAAATAGCCCAAAAGTTAGGAGTTTCTCCGGCAATCCCTCGTTCGGGTGTGGAAAAAATCCCATCCGAGGTGGGTATCCAAGGTCCCAAAATGTGTATCCAAGCAAATATACAAAATAATTTTTCCAAGAAATTTTTTTAAAATACAAAAATATAAATATTATATCTGAGTAGTTGTTCTCCCCCAAAGACTTCCAAATTTATTTATCACACTGTCAGATAATTTCCTCAATCTCCCTACACTACTATTACTCGCAGCTACCGACGACGATTCTTTTTCTAATTCCTCATCTTCCTCAAAACTTTTTGTTTCTATTAATTCGTGGCTTTCCTTGGAGGAATAATTTATTTTAAGTTCATTCTCGTTTGAAATTTTTTCTCCAAGTTTTCGACGTCTGGGTGTTGTGGAATTACTGTTATTTAATAATTCTTCTTCTAAAGTTGAAGATATATCCAAGTGTTGGTGTTTGATTAATTTTTGAGAGGTGTCTTTTGAAGGGGAATTTGTGTGGTTGTTGCTATATCTGGATGGTCTGGTCTTTTCTGAAATGAAAAAAATAATTTTAATTTAAATGAATTCAAGGACAAGCTCCCTTTACAGTAATCCTCCCCCTACAATAATCCTCCCCTTAAGCCTCCCTCAACCTTCTATTTGAGATAAATGAGGAATGAAGACTACTGAATTGCATTCTCTCAATTGAATGTCCGTGTGCATTATAGAAGGGATTAAAGGGAGGCTATAGCCAGGAGGCATTCAAGCAGGCATTCAAATGGAGAGGGGGCATTCAAGTGGAGGGAGGGGACTTCTGAGGTTAATTCTAAGGTTATTTGAGTTTCACTATGGAGGGAGGTTCTATACGGGAGCTGACTTGGTTAACCTAATTTAGGTCCTGTTAAAGTTACTTTTCGAGTCTCTTATAAAGAGAGGCTTTTTCTCTCTCTCATAAATAGAGTGTCTCATATTCTCTCGAACATTAAAAATAAAAAATATTCATCTCCCAAAATAAAATCATAAAAAAATAAAATCGCAAGCAATGAATAAGCAATTGAAATGTGGAAAATGATGAATCTATCTATTTACTATTTATTTTTTATTTACAAAACTTTAAAAAATATTTTTTATTGGCCAATATTTATTCTTATTTACCTATTTAAAAATTCGTTCCATTTATAAAAAAATTCTAAAATTAACTGTGAAGATAAAGCTTCAAATGGAGGAATCAAAATAATGCTTAGAAAGGTTCATATAAGTAAGCTACTTAATTTAAATAAAAATTTTTATCCATCAAAAACCATTTAGAATTAAAGAGAGATAAGTCGCTTATATCGAATGACCCGATTTTTTGATTAAAGAAAGATCGCCTATAACGAGATTTTCCAGTAATCTAAGGTCATCTCGTTTAAACGAATTTTGGTACATGGAAAAGTCGCCTATAACGAGAGTTAGCATGAGGCTAAAAGCTAGTAAAGAGCGTTTAATGGGAATGGGGATATTTTGAGATTGTTTAGAATGTATGGAACTGTAGATAGATCATATCTTAACTAGAAGGTAAATAGCTATATTAATGAGAGTTTGTTTAAAAGAGGTTTCTTATTATTTCTTATTTTATTTTTATAATTTACTTAAAATAATTATCAACAACCAATCTTCTTTTAATTTCATTTTTTTTATTTCACAATCGTTATCGAAATTCTGTCGATCACATTACTGCCAACCCCTCCCAATTCTTCCCAAACTGTGAGGTGATGTGTAATGCTTTTGCTAGCTATTTTATTGTAAATATAAACAAAATGCCCTTTATTTTCCCATTTCTTTCTATTTTTCTTTATTTTAATAAAATTATTTTTTTAATTTTTAAATGTCAGATGTTCCCTTTTTAAGCTAAAATTAGTTAATACTGTCAATTATTTAGAGAAAAAATCCGTGCCAAGTCGGCGCGTCGGGTAATCGACTATAAAGGGGGTCTAGAATGTAGCGAGTTGACTATAAAGAGGGTCCACGAGTAATCGACTATAAAGGGAGTCCACAATAAACCGAGTTCACCATAGATCCACGAGTAAATGACTAAGGAGTCTACTATGTAGGGAGTTCACTACGAGGGGAGTCCACCATAAGGGGAGTCCACGATTAAACGACTATAAATATAGGGAGTCTACTGTAAAGGGAGTCCACTATGTTAGGGAGTCCACTATAAAGGGAGTTCACTATAAAGGGAGTTCACTATAAAGGGAGTCCACTCTCTACTTGTTGATGAAAACCCTCAAATCTTACCCATACTTTTCTCAATTTTTTAAAAGTTTAATAAATTATCCAGAACTGATTCATTTTTAATGACTCATCGAGAATATTCTCTCAATATTCTCTCTCTAACTTTTCAAATAAATATTTAAAAATTTCAAGTTTGCCTGCCTATACGCGCATTTTTATTTTTTAATTGCCCTGCAACATCCGAGAATTTTTTTATTTTTTGTTTATATGCTCGTATATTCTGGGAATGTTTGCTAAATATTTTTCCATTTTTTGGGCAGCCAGATAAAAAATAATAAGAAAAATCGCCGACATTTTTGGGACATCTTTTTTTCTCACATTGTTATACGAATAAAAATTTTTTTTTGTTTTTAATCAAAATTTTTGGGAATAACTAAAGGTTAAAAATAAGGAAAATCAATGGGTTCCCGACTTGAATTTTTGTGTTTTCGAATTTTAATATTTTACTTAAGTTCAGAATTTGTGTTTTACAGAATAGAGGGTAACTTAAGAATTCTGATTTAGTTAAATTGTATTTTCTTGTATTTTTTCAAGTTCAGAATTTGTGTTTATAACTTGTGTTTATAATTGTGTTTATAACTTAGAAAGTTATAAATTTGTGTTTATAACTTAGAAATTCTGATAAAAATTCTGAATAAAAATTCTGATTCGCGAATTTTCTCATTTCAGAATTTGTGTTTTAAATGGATGTAAAACTTAAAAAATTCTGATTACTTAAGTTCTGTTTAAGTTGTACACTTAAAACAAAAGTTTCAACCTAAAAAGATTTAATAAATATTTTTATATTTCTTTGTATTTTCAATTAAATTATTAAAACCTATTCAAATGTATTTTTTAATTTCTCACGCCTTTTTCAATTTTTTCTCGCAACAGTCTGCGCACACCTACAATAATATAAACACAAAAATGAGCATACATTAACAAAAATATATTTCAGATAATCCCCACAAATCTTCCTTCTTTTGTAAAGGATAATAACAGGCACATACACACCGTTAAAAACTGCCAGAAAAACAAAATAAATAATTATGTGTTTTGCTCATTTTTGGTTAAAAGAGAAAAGTTTTTGGTTGCTTCTAAATCACCTAATAAAACACAAAACTTGGAAAAACCAGAAAATAAATTCTGGTAAAAGAAAAAGATTAAACTTAAAACTTTAAAAACACAAAAAATTCTGATTTTATAATTCTCTTTAAAACACAAAAACGCAAAAAAATACAAAAAATTCTGATTTTTCATTCAGTAACCGTCAACGCTTCTCCAACTTTTAAAAGAAAAATCCAAACTTTCCCTGCAACCTTTTCTCCCCCTCAACAACTTTCTGCTGCAACTTTGCTTCCAAACTTGAAAATAAATAATTCTGAAATTCACCCAAAACAACAACACATTATTAAAACAAAAACACAAGTAAACACACAAATGTCAGAACAACCAACACGCTTAATTGTAATAGGCGGGAGAAATAACAATGGCATTCCTCAAAGAATTGTTAGGACTAGGCCTCCCTTAAAATTTGATAGGGCGTTTTTAGAGGAACGTGGGAATCAACTCAAACTTGTTCAAATAGTAATTAAAAATATTTTTTAAGTTAATTTTTAATTAATAGATTTGCGGTCTTTTCGCCCTCATTTTAACAATTCATTGTTGGCCGAATAGATGGGCTCCATTCTGTGTTGGTTACCTTTGGGATTTTTGGCAGTTATTTAATGCTGTTTGTGTACACGGGTTTTTCCTAGTTGGCACCACATTTTTCGCTATTGGCCATTTATTCAGCGTTCCAGATGCTTTTTATTATTACAATTTTAACTTACTAGTAAGTCGTAAAAATTAAATTACAATTAATTTCTCAATAAAAAGGAAAAATTCTACACAGCATTAGCTACAGGAATGCATTTATTAGGCACATTTTTCGCCTTTTACAACCTAACAAGAGCTACTTTTCTGTTTCTTTGGTTTTTCCCAGTGGTCAGTCTTTCTGATTTTTAAATTTAAAAAAATTAATTAAATAGTTTGCAACATTATCAGCATTTATTTCATATTTAACTGATTTTCTGATTCGATTCAGAGAGGAAAATGCTTCAAGTTTAAATGCTAGCAATAAAAATAACCAGAGGAATAGTTCAGAACAAAAGAGTAGATCTCAACCAATATCAACACAATTACAATAATTCTGATTTTAAAGTTTATTTATTTAAAACTTGAATATTAATTCTATATTAAAGTTCTAAGTTTAAGCTTAAAATAATTCTGATTTTAGAATAGTTCTTATTTAAAGTTTAAGCTTAATTCTGATTTCAAGTTTAATCTTAAAATAATTCTGGTTTTAAGTTTAATCTTAAAATAATTCTGGTTTTAAGTTCAAGCTTAAAATAATTCTGATTGTAATTCTGGTTTTAAGATTAATCTTACAATAATTCTGATTTAAAACTTAATTCTGAAATAATTCTGTCTTAAGTTTAATTTTAAATAATTTTTAAATAATTCTGGTTTCAAGTTTTATTTCAAATTACTTTTTGCTTCATGTTTTATTTTAAATTCTTATGCTTACGCAAAATTCTCGCCCCTTTCACATTCCAGCTATATATTTTTTCATTAAATTTATCTTCTAAAGAATACCCCAATGAGTAATTAAGCATGAATGTAGATAAATATTTTAAACATTTTTATTTTAATTTTTTCCAAACAATTTTCTAACCTTTTAACAACCTGTGTTGTTGTGAGGTAACTGTTCCACCAAATCCTTGTTGATCAATGCCTAGAGAGTTTCTTTTCTTATATTTGTTTGTAGTTGGAGTGTTTGGAGTAGGACCTCCACCATTCACAGGGCTAGAAGGACTTCGAGGTGACCGGCATGGTTTAGCTTTTGAGGAGGGAGATCCACAATGAGAAGCGCTAGCTCGAATGTTGTTGAGCAAAATCCCTAAAGGGGAGCTATTTGAAATCTTTGCTGCAGGTTGACGGTCTGGTAGAGGGGCGGCATTTTGTAGGAGACTGAGACGGGCGTCTAGGACCATCTCGGTGCTACGCTCTGAATTATTAATTATCGCATTTGCAATGGCATTCCTCCTTTGTGAGGCTGTTCTGCTTAATATATGAGGTTCAATAAAAGAGCTTTGAGCGTGCCTTCGAAATTGTAGGCGGACCTTTAAAATTAAATTATTTTTTTTCTAATAAAATCCCAAACTTGTTCAACAGGCAGTACTCGTCTTCTTTTCCTTGGGAGCTTTTCACGAGCCTGTGAGTGTGAGTAAAACATGGCAAAGTTTGAAACAATAACGGGTACGGGTAAAGCAATAGATAAAACACCCATTACTGCACATAATGAGCCTACTAGACGACCGAGATATGTCTAAATTTTTTAAATTTTTCTTCAAATATTTTTTTGTATAACCTGTGGGGTCATATCTCCATATCCAACCTTTAATAATATTTTTAAATTAATTTTAAAAGATTAAAATTCAACAAACAGTGGTCATAGTAATCAAAGAAAACCATAAACCAACAGGAATAGACTGGGGAAAATTTTTAAATAAAATTTTAAACAATTCAGAGTTACCGTAAACTGATTATTAGGATTAATTTCAGTTTTTTCGGCATAATAAATTAGTGTAGCAAAAATAACAACACCCAAAATCAGAAAGAAAACCTTTAAAAAATAATTAAAAAATTTCAAATAAATTAATTTAATTAAAATATAACTGGAAACCTGATCCATCGAAAATTTTTTATTTTTAAAAATTTAAGAAAAATTTTTCGCCTCGACCCCTAAGTTTCATAATTTTCCTAACTGCACCATCGGATCGCATACTTGTTTCAAAAGACAGTATGTTTCTATTCTTATTTGTTTTTTCAAACAATGAATTTTTATTTGGTTGCCTCTCCCCATATTTCACCATAATCCTCCTCACTCTGCCAGTTTCCAATTAATTTTTGATTACAGAAAAATTTCTAAAAAATTAAAAAAAAGACCAAAAGCATCAATTCTTTGGCAGATGCACGGAATGTGTGAATTAATATTTGAAGACCCCGATGGTGTTGAGTGAGTTTAAACAGCCTCAAAATGCGTATCATTGAGAGAAATTCAACCAAATCTTTGGGTGCTTTATCATCCAAAAGACGGACTAATACTGCATCCGTATAAAAACTAAGTGTAGCAATAAGATCAATTATATTTAATGGAGATTTGATAAAGTGAATTCGGTTGGGGCAACAGAGGAATCTGCCAATTATTTCAAAAGTGAACCAAATGTTGCAAATAAATTCAATCTTAAAATTGATTAAAAATTATTAGGGGGTGTGGGAAAATGTATCAGTAGACTCCAGCTATGGTATCACCCGAGATTGAACAGAAGAGTTGAGAAAAATGGAGTCCAGGGGAGGAATCAATCCTTGACCATGAAAGGTGAGAATAACTAGGAAAGGCGGTTGGCCCTTAGCTAGCCAAAACTTGAAGTTATGATAGAGGTCTGGTTGTATTGCTAGGAGCATCACTTATTATGCCAAAATGCTCTAACAATAAGGGCACCTTTCCGAATACTAGCCTACACCTTTAGGCACATTATAACCGGAGTCAAATCTAATTTCTAAGCCCTCACCTGAGAAAAATATTTGTGAGGTTCAGTGCCTATTTTATGGTCACTTGCAGTATTTGAAGTAGTAGAGGAATGGATATGAGGAGAATTATAATTATTATTGCTGAGGTTATTATTTTCACCCATATGCGAAGTAAGGTTGTTGTCATTATCTGAGGATATAAGAGGAACTCGAAAACCGGGATGAGTTTTGAGGCAAAAGGAGAATATGGAGACACAGATGAAGCAAACACTGATGGAAGCAACTACCTTAGAGTTGAAAATTTTTTTATAATTTTACACTCGAAAGGGGCAGACTTTAGCAGCCGAAGAGGAATAAGGCTCATCAAAAAGTGCCCAAAGTTTCGGCTTTATCCTCATCCACCAATCCAATCGACCTTCCCAATATTCTTCCTCCCATCCAAATTTTTTCATTCTTTGTTGTTCCCTTGTCTGGGGGTCTTCGTCTTTTAGACAGTCCATGTCCAATCTGTCCAAAACTGCTAAAGTTTCTTGGGTGTCCCTGTGCTGGAGAAGGGATAGAATTTTTAATTTAAATATTTATTGTACTTGATTATAGGTCATCCAACAACAAGGCTCAACCTGATTAGCGTCTAACCCCCAATATTCAAGTTCTTCCTCAAATAAAGGGCCACAGACTGAGGTAGGGTAATGCAGCTTGCCCGTGCGATAATAATTTAATATCTGAAAAAATCAGAATTATAATGTATTCTATTAAAAATACAAAAGTATTAAGTTTGTATTTTTCAATTAAAAATATTTTTAATTAAATCAGAATTTTTTATTTTATAATTCAGAATTTTTGTATTTCTAATTAAAATCAGAATTTATTGTATTTTTGATTAGAATCAGAATTTCTGTATTTTCAACTGAAATCAGAATTTTTGTATTTTTCATAAAATCAGAATTGTATTTTTCATTAAAATCAGAATTATTGTATTTTTCGTTAAAATCAGAATTGTATTTTTCATTAAGATCAGAATTTCTGTATTTTCAACTAAGATGCTAAATTTTGTATTTTATTTAAAAATCAGAATTGTGTATTTTTGTATTTTTACCTGTTCAAACACAGCCGGATGTCTATCAAAAAAGTATTCATTTAATAGGGGATCATAATTCGACTGTGCTGGGCTAAGCCTTGAAAGACGCGTAGCAGGGATCTTTTTTAAAGTAGCCTGATAAGTTTCATGTCTGATTCCTCCAACATTAATAACTACCCTTTCATCCATTGCAGTTACAGATGGAACTTAATGAATTTTTTAAATTTTTTTTTAAAATAAAATTTTTAATGAGAAGGGAAGTAAATATTCAATGTTTTTTTTTCAATAAGCTCAAAAATAAGCAAATCATCGACATTTTTAAAGAAGAAAAATAAAAGGCTTTACAACATATTTTTTGGGGCTAAGAAAATAAAATTTGCATTTTTAGCAATTTTTTTTGGGCTGTCTACAATGGGAGGAGAACCAGGAAGATTTTATTTAAAGGTGAAAAACAGGCTGGAAAGGGGAAATAAATTAGGGGGAAAATTGAAAAAATATAAAATAAGGAGAATAATTTTATAAAAAATTTTTTATAAAAATAAAAAAATATATATTGAGTAATTTAAGAAAAAAATTATAGGTATTGAGTTAAAGCAGTCAAAGAAGCATTTTTAGGAGTTTAAGCTAACTTTCCCAGAGAACACTTGAAGCAAAGTGTGACGTCCATTTATTTTCTACCTTTTTGTTATATTTTTATTTTATTTTTTTGCAAAGACTATTAAATTATTTACAGCCGTTTATAAAATATTATAAAAAATTCCCTTAGGACAGAAAAATTGTAACTTATAAAGAGGTGTATCCTAAATAGAGGGTATATATTAAATAGGATATAAAAGAGAAAATAAATACCGTAGATGCACTAATATAAGCCCTGGGGGTCTATTTTTCAATGTCTCTCTGACTGAGCTTACATTAGATATGAGCTTCTATTAAAGGGTGGGCTTCTATTAGAGTAGGCTTATATTTTTTAAAGCGTCTCCTCGGGTGGGCTTAAACTACATAGATATGGGTTTTCTATTAGAGACTGGGCTTATAATAGAGCATTTACAGGTAGGAAGAAAGGAACATTTTACGGTAAAAATGCCATCTTAACCTCTTTTTTTTAGACTTGCACACGGATACGGATATGGATACAAATAATATCAAAATTCCTGCGGATATCCGTCTGTATCCGGCCGTATCCGCCGTAAATATCCGGATACGGATACCGAGATTAGTATCCGTGTGCAAGTCTGGTTTTTTGACCATAACATTTTGACTAATAAAGATAAAAATATGAATTTTAACAGATTTTATAGCCCATTTAATTCTCTATCGAACGGCATAAAGATCACTTTAATATGTTAAGCTAATCAAAAGTTATGGCTAATCAAAAGACTGAAACTGTGCTGCACCTTATGTGCATAATATTAAATTTATAAAATAAATTTAGCAAGAAAAAAAAAATGCCGGAAATAATATTATTTTTAAAGAAAAGAGAAAGGAGATAAATAAATTTATTGAACAGTAAAAAAATAAAATTGAGGATAATGAAGTTTTATAAAATATGTGTAATACGAACAGATTTTAAGTTCTTGAGATAACCTTTATTTTGAGGGAAATTTAAAAGAAGATTAAAAAAATAAAAAAAAAGTTTGTGTTTTCAGACGGAATAAAATTAAGATTTTATTGTGAATTTTATTTTATTTTGAAGCAGATTCAATGCTCTATTTAATAGGTAATGAATCCTTGAGTTATGAGTCTTTAAGTATAGTCTATAGTAGTGTTTCACCGGAACGAATCCAATTAGAGTTCCGGATCCCGGAACCGGAACCAAAAAAAGACCGGAACTTTCCGGAACCGGAACTTCAGGTGAAACTCTAAGCCTTACTTATAGAGTTATAGGTAAGGCTGTTTATGGGTAGACCCATAACTCAAAAAATTAGGGTCTAAAGTAGGGCCGCTTTTTTAATTAAATTAACACTTCTTTGACTATGAAAAATAAAAATAATTTTTGATCAAAGATGTTTTTGTTTTTTTGTTGTTTCTCTTGTTTATCCAAAATCACTAGGAAAGGAGGGGGGATAATAAATATACTCAGCTATATCTCAGACATAACTAGGAACAGTTGTTTTAGTTCAACAAAAAAATCCCCAAATATTCGCCCTATTTAAAAAAGGGGATTTTTATGATGGACAAAAAAATTTATTTAGTTTGTTGAAATATAAACAAAAAATTAACGCATATTTAAAAAATAATCCAGAAGATCACTACTCTATTATAGTGGTGATCTTATGGGTAGACTGCTTGCTTAAGAGATAACCCAAAAGATCACTCCTCTATAACAGTGGTGATCTTATAGGTTGAAGGTTTATTGTAAAGGGATTAAAATATAAGGAGTAAAACTTGGAAGAAAAAGTTTATTTAAAAATTAAAATAGAAAAATAAACTTACGAAAAACGCTGTGTCGATTAGAGAACATTTTTAAGCCGTTCAAGGAGAATACAAAAAAAATAAATTTTATTGGAGGTAAAAATTTTTAAAATTTTCAAAAAAAAATTTTTTTATTCCATCATTCCATCTGTTTTAGCTTCTTAACATTTCTATAATTGGAAAAAAGAAATTTTTTGAAAAGCCAAATGCCAATATATGCAAATAAGTATCATATACCCTGAGGGCATTTACACTAATTTTAATGGGAATTTTAATTTTTTTGTTTATTTAAATTGTAGATTTTTGGGCAAATTTAATTAAAATCTTATGTTTAATGCTGTTTGATTTAGACCAAAATCAGAACAGAATTCAGACTAGAACCAGCGGATATATCGAAACAAGATTCAATAAAAATCATGATTATCGAGATTGAAATTTTTCGAGATATCTCGCACGATTCTCCTATGGCTCTTCCAGTCTGGTTTGATATCTTGTACGACCCTCCCAGATACCCCATACTACCTTCCCGGTCCGGTCTCAATCTGACTAGGGAATGACTTCCTGAACTACTTGCCCTCAACATTATTTCTATACCAGAGAGAGGTTCCTATCGCAATAAGAATTCCTAAATAAAATTCTAAAATTTACTTAAAAAAAAAGAAAAAAAAGGAAAAAAGAGGAACGGGTCAATTAATTCCAAAAATGAATTATTAAAAGTATTTAGGTAAATCCCCCTTTCATAATTTTGCCTTTGACTTAAAAAACGGTTAAGTGAGGGCATTGTTTTTGGACCAATAATTTTTTAGGTCTATTTATAAAAGAAAAAGAACAAAAAAGAGTTGCCAAATGGTTTTTGCCTAAGGCAAAATGAAAGAAAATTTAGTGCCAAAGAAGGAGTTAAGTGGGTATAAAGAATTTATTATTTCTTGCTTTAATTTTTGCCTGTGAAATGACCGGAAAATTAAGAAGTCTACTTGACTTCTGATTTCCTTAACTAACTATCCAGGGTATTTTCGACTTCCCACTGGTGGTTGAATTATCGAGGTTTATAACTTAAACGTGTGGCAGGGCACTTACGGGGGTAATTGTTCTTTCGACCTTCCGCTGGATAGAGGCGAGGTAGTGATTGTCTCGAACTTCCACTTGAGAGGAATATATTAACCCATAGAGGGGATGGTATGATTAAGTGTCATAAATAGGGGTGGGGGCTAACTCAAGGAATACCAACTCAAGGAACAGACAAATCAAGGAACGACAAGTCAAGGAAAAGACAAGTCAAGGAACGACCAATTCATGGAACATACCAACTCAAGGAACAGACATGTCAAGGAAAAGACAGGTCAAGGAACGACCAACTCAAGGAATGACCAACTCAAGGAATATTTTAAAAATCAGAATATTCTGAGAAATCAGAATTTTTCAGAATTTTTTTAGAATTCTGTTTTTCAAAGTGTTCTAATTTGTTTTTACATTCTCATTTTCTAATAATATTCAGATTTTTCAAAAAATTTCGATTTATAAAATATTCCTTGAGTTGTCATTCCTTGAGTTGGTCGTTCCTTGACCTGTCTTTTCCTTGACTTGTCTGTTCCTTGAGTTGGTATGTTCCTTGAGTTGGTCGTTCCTTGATTTGTCTTTTCCTTGACTTGTCGTTCCTTGACTTGTCCGTTCCTTGAGTTAGCCCGACACGCATAAATAGACAATTATTCAATAACAGCCTCAATTTTTAAGGCACTAGATAAGTAACTAATTTTCTAGTAAAATAACTAATTTTATAGCCAAAATAAAGGTAATGGTGTTTATCTAAAAATGGAAGGATAGAGTTGAAAAAACAAACAAAACAAAGTGAATATCACCCAATTATTGTTTGCTTTTCTATATCCGGCATTTCCTTAAATTTAAAAGTATTCGAGAGAGAATGAAATTTATTGACAGGAAATGCTGTATTGAGTGTCAAACCAAATGAAATATAAAAATATTTACTAGTAACTGTAATTGTGACAAAATTCCCCCCTAATGCACTCTGGGAATTTTTTGCAACCAATATTTCTAAACATTAAATGCCCCCTCCGAAGCAGGGGACCGGTCCCATATACAAAACGGCATATGGACCATCCAAAATTTTGCCCAAGTCACGAAGGAGAACACCGACGGGACTAAAGGCGTAAAACACCTCTGGGGCCGAAGCCACAAAGGCAGGGGAAACCTATGGGGCCCGAAGGCCACAAAGGCAGGACACCTATAGGGCCCGAAGGCCACAAAGGCAGGACACCATCGGGGCCGAGGCCACGAAGGCTATGCAGTTCTATCGGCAATCATCTATAACTGCTTTGGAATTAATAAATTTTAGACGGTAAGTAAAAGAAGGATAATTTGCTCACTAATTATATCTATACACTTAATTATTCTCGTTCTTCTACTTAATAGTCTTTTATTTTTCTCTTCACTTCTACTTAACAGTCTTTTATTTTTCTCTTCACTTCTACTTAACAGTCTTTTATTTTTCTCAACACTCTTTATTTCGTGCCCGCTCAAAACATCAAACACTTAAAATATCTAGACGACTAAAAACGCTCAAAATATCTAGACAGATAAAAACGCTCAAAACATCTAGACGACTAAAAAGGCTCAAAATATATTCGCTCAAAACATCAAACGCTCAAAATATCAAAATATATTTTTCTATTTAAAGGGGACAGTTGAGTCCGCGGAAAAGTGTTTTTGCCGCTGCGGAGGAAGCCGGGCATGTCGAGCGGAACGACGGCCGCCGTTTCGCTACGGTCGCCGCGAGCGAAGCGAGCACGACCGCAGCGAAGCACGGCCATCGTGTAGCGAAGACCATGCCCGGCCTACCCTACGTAGCAGCACAAAAAATGTTTTTCCAGCGAAGATTCTGTTGGTCATAACTTTGTCAAAAATCATCCAATCGAGCTGATTTTTGTGTTATTAGACTCAGCTCGTCGAGCCCTTTCTCAACACGTCGAGTTCATGCAAAATTGGTCCTGAGATACTACATTATTCACCCCTGATACAAGGAAGAAATAAGGGACTCAACTGTCCCTTTTAATCAAAAAATATTTTGATATTTTGAGCCTTTTTAGCCGTCTAGATGTTTTGAGCGTTTGATGTTTTGAGCGAATATATTTTGAGCCTTTCTAGCCGTCTAGATGTTTTGAGCGTTTGCTGTTTTAAAAAAATATGTTTTGTAGGGTAGCCCTTTATTTTTCTCTTCACTCTCGCATAAATTACACGATATATCTACAAAGTGATGTTTGACAAAATGGTCAAAAGGGGAAAATGTTAAAAATCGTCGAAGGGATGATTTCAAGCTGCGAGTACAGCCCAAAACGGCGCTCATCCAAAACGGCGCCAAGCCCTAACTTGATGGAAAACGTTTGGTCCTTATCAATTTTAGTACCTTTCTCTTTGGCTAGTTGAGAGTAATCGTTTAATACCAAAATTAGTAAAGATTTGGTAAACTTGGAGAAAGTTAAGGCTTTGCGCCGTTAAGGCCGCGCGCCGTTTTGGGTGTTTTTTTAAATTCTTTTCTCGATTTCCGCTACTTGTTTTGTTTTTTCTTTTGTTAATCTTTTGCCTTAATTTCTAGTTTTTATAACAAAATGGCCGACGTATTCAACCAATTTGTCCAGTTTGGTTATGAATTTGAAAAATTATTTTCTTCAACATTTAATCATGTTTGTTCTACAATATTGGGAACAACTGACAACAGCGTCTCGGCAAGAGGAGGCAGAACTCATCCAATAATGGAAAAACACCAAACATTTTTTGTTCATCACTGTGGATCAACATATATTGTTAAATTGGCTGGACTTTCTGGGGCGATGGCTGTGGCTCTTGCTGCATATGGAGCTCATTTTGGTTTCTATTTTTTAATAGGTTATGGGGAAAGGGTAGGGATTTGTTTTGTCATTGTTTGTATAGATAGGCCTGGGTATGGATTTAGATCTTGATTTTCCTGGGTCAGAGCCAGGATTAAGGTTGCTGTTTTCGACCGGTGCCGACGTTGTGTCATTTTTCGGGCTTCATTTTTATCGAACCGGACGGTCGAGTTTTTCGGGCCAAAGTTCGATCCCCGGTTCGATCTATCGAACCGGGCCGGCAACCATAGTCAAGAATAAGTAGATACATCAGTAAAAACGTCGCAAGTGAAGGAAACGACACAAATACCCACCCATTTTTCGGTGTTCCTTGATTCTTCCTTGACCTTGTTCTTTCCTAATGTAAGGTCAAGAGTCTGGTGAAGGTCCTCACTTAAAATCAAAGGTTAGGTAGGGGTCAAAAATTTGGTCAAGGTCCTCACTTAAAATCTAAGGTTAGGTAGGGTCTTTCAATTTCCGATCTTTACTTGTTTCTTAAATCCCGGCTCTTATTTCTCAGCCATTTAATTTTTTATCGAGAGGAGAAGTTGCTAAATGACACTCGTGTTCACCCCACTAGGGCCTGAATAAGTGATTTAGCTTTCTAGCAAATTTAATTTCTCCATTCATTTTTTATTAACCCCTCTTTTTCCAGTCTCTGACAACCCAAATTTGAGTGCTGAACGTAAACGTTCAATGGAACATGCAAACAAACACCACTTCCTCAACACAATTGGAATTGTGCTGGCGTCAGTAGCTTCGCGTCATCCTCAGGTTACTTCAACTCTTTTTGCTTTGGGAGCTTTGTTGTTTTGTGGGCCAAGTTATGCTTATGCAATTGTTGCGGACAAAACCTTCCGTGCAATTACCCCAATTGGTGGAATTCTTTCCATGTTTGCTTGGCTTAGTTTTATTCTTTAAGTGATTTTTTTGAGGTTTTTGTTTAAAAAATATTTATCTGATAGAAAATTTATGTTAGAGATCGGCCTGGATTTGGATCCTGTCCTTGATTTTTCCTTGGGTCCATAGTCAAAATCAAGGCATTTTTCAGTTTTCCTTGGGGTTTCCTTGACTTTATTGATTTTTCCTAGACTTCCTGTAAGGTCAGGAACAAGGTTTTTCCTCAAAATCAAAGTTCTGTAAAATTTCCGATCTCTAATTTTATTATTTTCAATCACAATAATTTTGAGACAAGTTTTCGTTATTTTAATTTTTTCACATTTTTGTGTAGATTATACAGTTACAAAAATAAATTTTCTTTGAACCTTTTTTTTATTATTTTTCATGGTGTTCTTAATTAAACACTGAAATATTTTTTTGAAAAAATCTTTTTGGTTCCTAATTTTTGTGTTCACAAATTTAATTATTTTTTCATGAATTCTTGTTTAACCAAGAGAGATAAAAGAGCCATGAATAGAATACGCAAAAGAAACGCAGAATTGGCACTGCTTGAAAATTCTGAACTTGATCCTGAGCTAAAATCGATTAAAGATGGAATAGAGGAGATGAAGAAACAAAAATTGGTGGTTGAATTGATGGATGGAACGAGCAAGAGCGTCGAAAATCATCGTTTATTTTTAATTTTATTTTTTTTTATTTTTTATTTCTATTCAGTTTCCCTTCCATCTACCAGCGATTCCGTTAATTCTAGTCAATTAGACTTGCCTGGGTATGCTCGCGTCCTAAGTGAACAAGTGAAAGAAAAATTGGCTGAAAAGACGAAGAGATTCAACAATCCTGAAGTGGTTCTACAATTATACAAGTTGCAAGGCCGAACCCTGGGAGAACACGAAATTGCTGCATTTCTTCATAGAATGATGCTGGGAAGCAATAATTGTCCTAAAACTGGATCTGATTGGATAAAGTTCAAAGGTGGAAAGGCGCTTCAAATTGTGTTTATTAGAATTAATGTAGACGATGATCAATTGGTATTTTTAATTTAAATTCTGTCCTTAGGGTCATGCCAGGGATGTCACGGGGTGGTCCGAAACCCTGACTTTTTTTTCAAATAGATATGTGATCCGGAGAAATTTTAGAACAAACTTGAACCCCAATCCAACTTTTTTCTCTTAATCCCCTAATCTACCTGGCCCGAGATACGAAACCCGCACTCTTTCGAAGCGATCCGCGGTAAATCGAGACATTCCTGTTCATTTAATTGATTTTTCCTTTTAATTTTATAAGCTCGACTTAATTTAATGCTAATACTTTTTTCAGCTAAATCTATCTGGCACGCCTTTTATGCAGGGATATTTCAAACACTGGATCAAACTCAAGCCAGGCAAACAAAACAGAACAAGATTTTGGCAAACTGTTTCTACAGTTACTCGATCAAAATATGAAATGTTGTTGCACAAGATAAAGGTTTTTTATACGTACATAATTGTTTATCTTTATTTTTTTGTCCCTTTTGGGTTGGGGGTGGACTTTAAGAGATGGAACTGAAATAAATTTTAATGGGGTGGGAAATTTTTTGCATAGTGATTTATGATATACCCTTTTCTAGGGATGATATACCTTTTTCTAGAGATCGGCCTGGATCTGGATCTAAACCTTGAGTTTTCCTGGATCCAGTGTAAAGTTTAGGGCACATTTCAGTGTTCCCTGGTTTTTTCTTGACTCAAAGGCAAGAATTTGGTCAATCTCTTCAACCTAATCAAGAAGCTAGGTCAAGGGTTTTGAATTTCTGATCTCTGTCCTTTATGATTCGTAATCCAATTTATTGAACTTTTTCCTCTATTTTTAGACTCAAGGCGATCCTCTTCTTCAAATTAATATGTCTCAACGAAAGCCTCAAATGTTAATGAGTTTAGAACAAATGGTGACTTCAAAATTTCCTTTTCCTTCTGAATATTTTGGCGAACAACTGTGTAATGGAACAATTCGCTCAACTCGAAAGATTTATCATCAAGTTTCTGAAACTTCACCAATATTTACTTTGGATTGTGAAATGTGTCAAACATCGATTCAACAACTTGAATTGACTCGGATTTCTGTGGTATATTTTTTTTTATTGCGAATTTGAGGGGTTGTTTTGACTTTCCGGCTTGCCCTCTTTGCTTTTTTTTCTTTTTCCGGAGTCCGGGTCCCAAATCCGGGTTCTTTTGCTTTTATTTAGTGCTGTGTATTGGACATTTTGTTGCTCTGACTCCAACCTTTTTCAAACTTGGCTATGGCTCCTGGGGTTTTCAAATTCTTGTCAGCTCCGGAGCTAGCTCCCGAAGCCACCATGCCCAGCACTACTCCTGTTTATCTAATCTAGGCTTTTCCCGCGTCCGATTACTTTTTTTAAAACCTTATTTTTTAATCCTTTAACTAATTCTATCTATTTTAGGTCAATGAAGATGGCGAAACAGTTATGGATGAATTGGTGAAACCACACAACAAAATTATTAATTATATTACATTCAAAAGTGGTATAACCGAGAAAATGCTTTTAAATGTTTTTGTAAGAATTTCTATATTTAATTTATTAAAGGATACATTTTTAGACTCGTCTAAAAGACATTCAACACAGGCTTTGTACTTTACTGCCAGCAGATGCAATTCTTTGTGGACATAGTTTAGAGAACGATTTAAGGGCATTGCAACTTTCGCATCCGTTAGTTTATTTTAATTTTTTGGGTAAATTTGTAGGGAATGCCTCGGAATACCAAACGCCGAGAAATTTCAAACTCCCAAGGCATAAGTACCAAACTATGAAAAAGGGAAGATTATTTCAATGATGGGTACTCCAACGTGGAATATATTGGGGTTTCGGTGTCTATATTGGGGTTTCGATGTCTTATGGGTTTGATTTGGCGTTTGGTATTACGCCATCACATTACTTTCGCATTTGACTTATTTGCTTGATTCTTTGGGTTTTCCCTCTTTTATGTTAACCTACAGATTGTTATAAAGTCATTCCTTTGGAAAGTTAATCTACGAATATTTTTTAAATTTTAGTTATTGTATTGATACCTCACTCCTTTTTAACTTCTCTGGTCGTTTACATATTCGAAGTGGACTTAAAGCTTTATCAAAAATTTTTCTAAATGAAGACATTCAAGACTCAAGCAAGGGACATTGTTCTTTGCAAGATGCTTTGGCTACATGGAAATTGTTGAAATTAAAAATTGAGAAAGGGTTTGGATTTTTTATTATTTAGAGGAAAGAAGTCTTTAATTTTTTGTTTTTTAGTCTTCAATTTGGAAATGTTGCTTTAGGATGGAAATTTGGTGAATGGGCAAAAGCTAATGGAATGTCAATTACTGGATCAAAATTGGATGATGGCGTGAATTTAAATAATGGAGAAGTGAAATGTGATGATAATTGTATGAGTGAAATCAAAGAGAAGGAGGCTAAAGAGGATGAACCCAAAAAGGATGAAGCTAAAGAAGAGGGACCCCAAGAGGATGAACCTAAGGATTTTGAAGCTAAAGAGGATGAGGCTAAAATTGATGATAAAATACAGGAGATAAAAGAAGAGGTTGCTACTTGTGTTGAAACTTTTGCGAGCGACGAGTCACTACAAGATAATTGTGAAGGTTTATTTAATTTTGAGTAAGTTTTTTATATTTTATATGGGGAAAGCTGTGGGGTGTGGTTCTGGTGCTCTGTCGACATAAAGATAAATTTCTGATTTTTGGAAATTGGGACGGAAGTGGTCATTTCGAAATCACATTTATTTATTTTTTCTGGAAAAGTAAAATTCCCTAATTCACACCAAACAGGGCCAATTCACTCTAAACACGGGCCTCGGATTGGTGGTTATCCTCCTTGTCAGTTTTTTTCAAAAGTTGATTTAATTCCTCACTAGTTCTCTTTCTATAATATTCACTTTATTATTTTTATTCCTTTTTTCTTAAGAGAAGCACTACGTATTGAAAATGGAATGCAATTCAATACTTCACTTTGTGAATGTTTTCATCAAATAAATACTGGTGGAAAGAAGTATGCCAAGAAGATGTTGGTTGCAATGAATAATCCGAATGAATTTTTTTCTTCGAATGATTGGTTTGCTTTCTATTTTTTTGTTTAATAATTGCTTCTATGTGAGTAGGGCCTTCTATTCCCGAAAAGATTTTGTGGGAATAAGGTATACTAATCGCAAATAGGAGCAATTGATTCACCCACCCAACAATGTCATAGGCCCAAATTGCTCAAGCTGGTGACTCGGCATGGACTCTCCATTTAAATGAGAAAGAAAATCTGACCATTCTTATTAAGGAAAAATAAAAGGAATACGGACTGGGAGGGGGTGGGGGCTAAATAAGTACCGGCTTTTTGGACAAGGATTTTTCGATTCGATTTTTTATTTTAACATTTCTTTACATTTCTAGTTGTAAACTGGTCAATCTTGCTCCTCCAGAAAATTCTACACAAGCTTCTACTCAACCAACCGATGAAGCCACGAATTTATTATCATCTTCTGAAAGAATATCTGGAGAATTAATTAATTTTGATTATGCTTTGGTGGAACTTAACTGCCCCAAAGGAATTGCAAAATCAAAAATGGATCAAGCGTTCAAACTCCTCACAAATGGAATTTGTAATAATGGCTTCGTTTTAACAATGATGTGTTCAGGAAGCAGGTCAATTTTGTATGAGAAAATTCATAAAAGATGAGAAGTTTTAAATTGTGAATATGTCTTATTGTTAGGAATCTTGTGGAATATTATTAGGGTTGCCGTTTTCAGGCCGGGCCTACAATCGTGGCATTTTTCCGGGTTTGTTGTTTTTATCGGACCGGGCCATTCGAGTCCTTTTCGAGCCACATGTCCTATGTATGGTTTTCGGTTCTGGAAGATCGAGTCTGGCATATAATTAGGGTTGTCAGTTCTTGGAAAATCTTCGGATATCCGGAACCAAACCGAAAAATCTTCGGTTCAGTTCCGGATATCCAAAGATTTTCCAGGAACCGACAACCCTAATTATATGCCCGGCTCGATCTTTCGGTCCGAGTTGGTTCATTTTGGCAACCCTAAATATTATATTGAAGTATTTATCTTGTCTTTTAGATCCTTTATTGTTATATCTCTTTTATTTAAATAATAAGATTTCTATATAAAAATATTTTTTTGATGTTATTGATAAAATAAATGTTATATAAATGTTAATTAAATTGTTGTTGATTTTTTTAATCATTAAAATTATTTTTTTTTAAATAAAATTCTTTCTAGAATATTTTGTTCCAATTTACAGACCAAATTTTCTATCTTTAATTAGATTTTTCTTGGATTGAAAAATTATTGAACACGACAGAGTTAAATATTGTAAAGAGGTTTTGATTAACTTTTAACGTTGAAACAAAAAATATTTCTAGAAAAGTCAATGGTACCAAATGCTTCCAATTGACAACGACAAAGTGCCTGATGATATTAAAACTAAGAAGCTTCCAAAAATAAACATTCCGCCTGAAATTCAACTTGATGTGCTTAAATGTATCGACTTCAGTCAATTATTATCTTTTCAAGAAACAAGTTTTTATTTCAAAAATTTTATCGACAAATATGGAAAGCAATTGGCATGGAAGAAATACGATAAACTTGAAATTGTAAATTTTTTATAATAACATTATGAACTGCGCCAGATCGGATACAACCGATTTTTTCAGTGTGTGCACCAGGGCTGGGCGAAATCTAAAAATAAAATGCGAAATTAGCCCAGTCCTGGTGTGTACTAAATACGGGGTTTTTTGACATCTCCAGATATTTACAGATCAGATTAATCCCGAAAATTATGTCTGATCTGTTCCGGCATGCGCAAATCCAGTTTCCTGACTATTACTAATTATTTTTTAGATTCCTATCGATAATGAGACTGGAGATAGATATAAAGAACATAAGCCTCATCCTAAACTTTATTGGTTTAAATTGGGTGAACAATATGGAGAATTTGAATTTTGTGAACAGAAGTATGAATTCATTAAACTAGACCCTCAACTTTATGATTTTGAATTAGGTGAACAACTTGAGGAAAAGGTTTAAAAAAACATTTTTATTTTAAAATAAAAAAAATTTTAGTGGAAATGTGGAATAGAAAAATCAATTCCAATGTTTTTAACAACGGATGAGAATTCGGACCTCACGAACATTGACACCGCTGTTTGTGAATTGCAACAAAATTACAATGTTGAAAAAGGTAAACTTATTATTTGAAATAATAATAATATTACCTCGCCTTTTTGTAAGGCAAATCTTTTGTTTGCAAAAATTGAACAAATCTGTCATGATAGATATATAGGCTGTTCATAATATAAATTTCAAGTTTGATCCAGAGTGGCCATTTTAGCCTCTTTAGGGGGCATTGCTCCCTTTTTGACTTTTTCGCCCCCTTTTCCCCTTTTGCTGAAATGGGGGAATTTTTTCTTTTTTCCCTCTTAGAAATGGCCACCCTGGATTGATCAAACGAATGACTAATTTTATTCTTAAAGTCTTAAAACTTTTACTTAAAATTATTCTTTAATCATTAAAAAATTTTATTCAGCATTATACTATTTACAATTGCCAAAATTTCTAAATAATATAGAGGAAATGAAAATTGCTCGTTATTTATTGCAACTATTTTTTAACTGTGCTTTTGAATTTTTTCAAATTGCTAGCATTATAATTAATCCACAAATGATCGAATTATTATTTGATGGAAATCAAACAACTAATATGCCTTTAATTATCCATTCTCAAAGAGCAGAACTGTTTTATCAACATTCTTTAAATTTTGCTTTGAATCATCTGATTTGTAATCAATTTAGAGTTATTGTTATTGATTCCTACAAGACATCAGACCCTATTCGTTTTTTTGACCCCTTCGACATGGAAAAAAGTATAGACATTTTAATTAAACTTTTGGCAGAGGGAGCAAATAAATTTTCTAGTATTATTTATCAGAATCTTGACTCGAAAATTTACAATTCTATTATAAAGGTGTGTAAATTTTATTATAGAATTTTATTATTTATTAGACCAAAGTTAGTATTTTTTTAATTATTTAATTTTAGCATATTGAAACATCACAAGACCCTTCTCAAATAGTGAAAGAAATAAAATTTGATGTTATGTATGGACCTCTTATTTCAAGTGAAAATGCAGAAAATATCAAAACCAAATTTAAAGAAGGTATTAAAACAACAAAATTTCGACTCGCCAACAAACACAATCCAAAAATTAAATTTTCTGTATGCATTGAAGATATATATAGAAGTATTGATGTGTCACTTCTTGTTGAAGGCAATCAGGAGTGTGTACCGGGAGTTAGAGTTGTAATTAAGAGAATCAGTTGATAAATCTATTTTTTTACCTGGTGTTAGTTTAATTCATTTTTTTTATTTTATTAAAAATTTGGCTTTAATTTGACTTTTTTGATAAATATATTTTTGAATTAAAAAAATATTTCTGAAAATTTAAGTTAAAATCAGTTGTATGCCAGATTTTTTGAGTAATTTCGAAAATTCTTTTTTAACACAGTTGCTTCTCCTTTACTAACCTTCCTTTTAGTGTCGCGGACGAAAATTTTTGTGTAATTTACTTACCCCAAAAGAGATGGTAAAATCTAAGATGAATTGAGCTCTTAAACTCCTCACAATCTATTTGTAATAATGGCTTAATAAAAGAGGAGAATGTCAAATCTGAATATCTTTAGTAGCTTTAAAAATAATATTTATTTTATTAACAGTTAAAGGTTTAAAATTCATCAATATATTTGTTAGTCTTGTTTGTTTTTGCCAATTTTTGTTCTATATCAGAAAGATAATTTTGAATCTCTTCGCGTTGATAAGCCTTGGGTTCACAGCATATTCTATAATTGAGTATGCTTCTTTGTTTTCTATTTTGTTTGATGCAAATCCAAGGGGAATAACGCACTTTTCCTCTAGCCAGACTGAGTTGTATACGAAAACTATACTTCTATACATCGATGTATCTACAAGTTTGGTTCCTAAAGAACTCTCCATCTCGGTCATTATTGCCTCAAGTATATCATCAGTTCTTATTACAGTCGTACTCCAGTTATCAACAATACGTCTTAAAAGTAATCGACTAAATTTTAAGTTAAAATTTTTTAAACACACTCCATGGCAGCTTTTAAAGTATTTCTATTCTTTAGCATCCATTTATTTGCATTATAATTTCTTTGGAGGAGGTCTAATCTATTCTCACCCAATAAATTGTGTCTGGTTATGTATAGCCGTGCCGTCGATACAATTTCTTGACAAACATATTCCTCGCAAACGGATTTAAAATATAAGTCGTTACATGGAGGTAATATGATTACTTGGTGTAGAAAACTACAAATAATATAGTTTTAGAGATGCGAATTCTGTAACAATTTTTTAAATTTCGAATAAATTTTTTTGACCCTATCTAGAAAAAACATAACCTTGATGGTCCTCTATCATTGGCACTTTTCTGTATTAATTTGGCTATATAATCATAATTTGACTCGTTTATTTTTTTCATTTCTTCTTCAGCATATTTTTTTATAACCGCCGGCCAAGCACTGTTCTATAAAATATGTTCAAATAAAAATTTAACAAAAATTACGAGTTCTAATACAATCCAACTTTGCATTTTACGTGCTATAGCGTTTATAGTTTCTCCAAGATGTTGAATTTTCATATCATTAATTACTTTGTTGTCTTCAACTGACGAGCAAATAACTCCTAACATTGCCTAAAATTACATGAAATTTCTAGAAATTGGGTTAAAGTTACAATCTTTGTCATATCAGCCATTATAATTTTAGCCAAATTAAGTAAAGATTCCCTCTTCTTCTCCACCCCAACAGAAAAACTCTGAAGGAGACATCTTAAAATTATTAATGATCATTCGCAATAATCATTGGATTTAATACTTGAAGGGATCATTAACAAAATCAGCTCCAATCACTTTAATAAATGCATAGTCTAAAGTGTCGATTAAGTGTATGACAGAAGTAACATTTGAAATATCAATAGTATTATTTTTTTCAAGAAAATCTGAAAAACTTTAAGTTATAAATAAGTTTTAAGGATTGATCATTCTTAATTTTAGAAGAAAGGATAAAAGAAATTAAGAAGAATAAAAGAAAATATAGGTTGATAATCTGACAGAACAAAATTTTTATATAATTTTTAATTATTACGATTTCTGAGCAGATTAATTCGGCGGTACGATTTTGACAGAGAAGTATGTGTTAATCTGTCGATTGTCCCTAAATTTTATAAATGTATGAAAATTTTATTTTTTCGGAATTCGTAAAGATAGGGTCCTCATTATTCTGTAAATTGCGAATTTTATAATATTTCAAACGTTTTTTCCAATGTTTATAAAGCAAATTATCCTTGTAAAAGTCCTCTTCAACGAAAATTTTATTTTCTAGTTCATCCATAGTATTAAGAGCATGAACATAATTTCTTGAATGCAATAAACTTGGATTCAAGCAATCCTTGACAATATTTCGTTGTAGCCACTTCAATTAGAATAATAATTACATAGTTTTATGATTTTATGAAATATTTTTGGAGGCCATCAAAAATTTTTAGTTCCATTTAATGACTTTTTTACGAGACTTTTACTGTTTATTTTGCTTAACGAAGCAGTCACTTATGATTTATTGGCAAATTTATACCTAAAATTCTCTTACATTAATAATCCCAATCGGCGAGTTGTGATTCAGACATTGGTATTTTAATTGTTCTTTTACTGCTGGATTTGTGTGGTTAACCCTACTATCAGTAGCCCATTTATAATGTAGATTAAGCATTTGTATACTACCCTCAATTCTCTAAAAATTCATAATTTATTAGAGAATTCTCGAAATTTTGAAACATTCTGATGTTAATTAACTTACATCCGTATAATCATACATATAGCTGAAGTGAAACCCACGTTCAACTATGGATTCAATTGTTCGATCTAGTGATAAAAATTCGGTTTTGACGCTATCATGAAGCAATTTTATTGCTTTAAGTTCATCAGAATCAGGCTAAAATTTAAACGCTTTGTCTTTTAGAGACCTTTAAAATTCCAAGAACAGTACTTACAGTAATGATTCCAGAAAATCCTTCACATAATAAAGTTGATATTGGGCCTGCTAATTTAAGCATAGCATACGTCTTGTTTCCAAATTTGGCCAATTTTTCCAAAATATCCGTCTTTGCACTGGCCAAATCCTCAAACTTTTCCACAAATGTCTTGACAGTCTCAATATCTTTAGAATTTTAAAATGCGTTAAATCGCCTCTTATTTCAAAAATTTTTTTCATACTTATCCCATACAATAACATAATTCAATATAACTTACTATCAGAATTAATTGTAATAATCCACATGTTGATCATCAACGTAAAAATGATTATATTAATTTTCATTTTAATATCTCAATATTAATTTTTATGAGGACGTAATGTTTATAATAAATTATTTATTGCCCTTAGTGTTTTAAGCTGCAGCTGTCGATAAGTTAATGTTGCTATTTTCAATAGAAATTGCAAAAATGATGATGACGAGAGAATTTTAAGTTTATTATAGTCTAGAAATGCAAGACTAAAGACCGTTTAAAATATATTATATTATCCAATTTTCTGATAAGATTCAGAAGGCTAATTTATCATATGAAATTGATAAAATTTTTATTTTTCTCCTATTTTTTCCAGATTTTAAATATATTTTAATTATTTTTTCCAATCTTAAACCATTATATCGAGTCTCTTTGACGAATATAACAATTGTTTTCGTCATTTCCATTTTGTCATTTTTATCTTTACAATTTTGAAAGTAAAAATGATTTGTTTACTTTAAACTTTTCTATATATGGGGGTGGAGTGTGAGGGTGGACCAATTTGAAAAGAGTTGGTAATTTATTGTGGGAATTCGCTCTAATTGAAAAATAACAGTTAAATAGTGATTAAATAGAATGTTGTCCTTCAGAGTTGTCAATATTTTTTGTTGTTGCTTGAGAGGAACAATTAGGAAGGAGGAGAGGAACAATCGCCAGCCTGTTGTTTTCATTACGCAATTCCCTTTTGCGTTCAATCAATTTAGAAAAAGGCTGGAAATAATGATTCATCAACAACTTTATTGTTAGTGCTTAGTGTTTCGGGCTTTTATTTCAACAGAGAAATTCCAAAATTCACCTATTTGGAACTTGGATCAGTTCCTCCATCGACTTGTAGTCCGAACCTATACTAAAAATTTTTTATTAACCACAATGGAACTTCTTCCTATTAACAGTCGATTATTATTATTTTTGTCTTTATTCCTATTTATATTTCCTTTAAATGTTGTTGCTCAACGGCATCGTTACCCACATAATCAAGGAAATTATTTCAGCAGACAAAAACTGCAAGAAATCCAGAAGGAAGAAAACGAGGCTGAAAGCTCATTGCCAAAAATCTTGTATATTTTTTAAAGATGTACTAGTAGTCTTTATTTTTGTCTAGCTGCGCGCATGGAGCTTCAGTAGGTGGCCGTTGTATATGTGATCATGGATGGGCCGGTACCAATTGTCAGAGGGAAATGCATTGTGCTACTTTTGAGCGAACTGCTAATGGAAGGTTAGGAAGGTTTGGGGATTCTTTCTCACTTCGAAATTGGGAAGGTTTCAAAGGCGGCTCCTTGCTTTCATATTATGACCCTTATATATTTTATAATATTCAGCTGCCCAGTCTGTCAGTCCAATTTCCAAGGGGATAAGTGCGAATATATTGAATGCCAAAATGGAGGGCAGGAATCATTAGAAACTCAAAATTGTAACTGTCCAAAGCCTTATTCTGGTCGTTTTTGTGATGAATTACTTACAGAAAATGTCTACCACTATTATAACTCTAAAGTGAGGATTAAGATTTTCTCTCATCTTTAAGCTTTTTCAAATTTTAGGTAGCAACCCTCGGTCCTCTTGGACTTATTTCTGTTATACCAATGATTTGTCTTTATGTTTTATGTGAAAGATTTGCAAGAAAAAGACAAGTGAGAAGAATTGAGAAAACCTGGAATTTACAGAGCAGTAAAACTGTAAATCCTGCTCATATTGAATTTTTATTAAGGGAGAAGAGTTGAAATAAATTAGAATTAAAATTGTTTTTACGGGTGGTTATCACTCATATTAGCCTTATTTGTGTGTATATTCTTTGAATTAAGTAGGTACATTACAGGTGTGCCGTTTCGCCTTTCGTCTTGCGCCTTTCATCCTTCACTTTTTTGTATTTCCACTTTCGCCTTTCCCCCCTTTGTCTTTTGTTATTAAAATCTGTTTCGGCACACCCCTGGTATACAAGCTTAGAATTATAGGTGATTTTTTGAATTTTCGCTTGAAAATATTTTTATATTTTGCTTATTATTAATCCCATTTTTAAATATTTTTTGTTTTCATTTATCCACATTTCTTGGCATTTGTAAGACCTAATGTAATAAAATAAAACAATTTACGATAATATAATTAGCCTTTGGATTAATCAAAAGAAGGAGGATATTTAACTCAATTACCTTTGCCTATAGAAAATTTTTTAGAAATTGCTTTAGGTTTATTTTTTTATTTTTTTCCCTCACATTGGAATTAAATGAGTATAAGCTTTTCATATTAAAAAATATTACCTATTTTTTACTTGAATATAAGCCTGCATTTAATTTTTTCCAAAAATATTCAAAATTTACTTAAATGCCAAAATAGCAAAAAGAATTCCATAATTTCTTTCTATATGTTTTTAATTTTTTATATATTTTTTATCATCCACATACATTTATCTCACGTTTCTTAATCAATTCCCTTTCAATTCCCCTTCAAAATTTTGCATAAAATTGAATTGTCTTAAAACTTCCCGAGGCTTCTAAAGCCGTGCGCCTTATGTTAGCCATAAGCTTTTCCTCCCTTTAATTTTAGCCTTTCCCAAAAATATTTGGCGCACAGCAATCCAACAGACACCTAAAGCAATTTAGCCAAAAGAGTCAAGGATGGATGACGACAACAACGAGTGGCACTTTTGTCTTTCAATCACCCTTGTCTTTTTTGAGTCATTCTCATATCCTGCCAAATATATACTTAAAATTCTTCAAGTCTTTTTTCCTTTTTTCCCAATTTATTTTAATTAAAGTACTTCTATGTAGTAGTTTTTGACAGACAGAAAAAAATATTGAAGAAATACTTAGGTTTTAGGTGAAAATTTAGCAAAATTTTAAAAAATATTTCTGGGAATATATTTAAATATATTATTTTTAATTATTTATTCAATATTTAAATTTTAGAAGGTTCAATATTTTTATAAGTAGATATTTAAGATCGAAAATTTTCTAAGACTCATGACAAGAACAAGACTTCACCCTAGGACCAAGACCGAATAGACTCAAGAAAAGTTTCGAGTCAAGACTCAAGACCATGACCGTTGGATGGCTCTACCTATAAGTGTTCAGAGATTAAATTTATCCAATTAAAAAATAAATTTAAATTGAAAGCAATTTCCAGACTATTTTTTGAATTTCCAAGTATTTTTAATTTTTATAGACATACCTTTACCTTTTTATGAATTAAATTATTAATAATTTTTATTTTTAAATTCGACAAAATCCAATTTCTATTCATTTAAACATTTTTTTCTTAAAATAGAACAATTTTAGGCTATTGACAACCGCAAAAGAAAATTGCTATAACATAAATATATCTTTAAAAATATTTAGCCTTTTCATTTTTACACAATCTCCAATTTCCATCAAAAAAAGAAAAAGCCTAAATTTAAGTTGTCCATAGTTTAAAATTATTTCGTAGAAAGGTTAACGATAATCCAGGAAGAATTGAATTATGTGTATCCATTTGATTTTTAAGCGATTGATTTAATTATTTTTTAAAATGAATATTTATTGTGATTAAAAGTATGCCGAACCCCGAGGCATACAACCCGAAAGCTAAAAGTCAACCACGACCCTGAACTTCGATATGTCCTCCACGGCAAGCCCCAATCTTCGATGAATATTTTTTGCGATTAAAAAGTATGCCGAACCCCAACCCCAACCCATAAGTCTACTCCGACCCCGTCCTCGACACTCACGACACACCGTCCCCGACACTCTCGAAGGGTCGTGGTCTATCCTAATTAAAAGTTTTATTATTTTAAAAATTTTCAGTCAAGATGCCCCCCAAACTTCTCCATGTTTTTCCACTAAAATATAAATTAAATAAATAAACTAATTTTTTTAACCAGACTTTGATGATTTCATTTGTTTAATTTTGTTTTTTTCTTTAAAAAATAATTTAAAAATTTACGGTTCATCAAAATTTTATCAAGTTAATTTAATTTTTCTGAGTTTAACGGAAAAATGAATTAATGTTTTTCTTTTGCTTTTTATTTTTAAATTCTCAAAACATTTTTAAAATTAAAAAAAAGGACTTAAGATTATTCCAGTTGATTGTACCTTTACAATTTAAAAATTTGAAATAATGTAAACAAACAGACAAAAGCACATTTTAAAGAAAAAAATATAAAAAAATTTTTTTGTTGACCTTCTTTTCTAGAATTTTTAAAAATTTATTCGCTATTTTAATATTACTAGAATATCTTAGATGCTTTAATTAAAGCGCTGGGCGTCTACTTTGAGTGGACTTATCTCAGAATGGGCTTCTATTAGAGAGTGGGATTTTATTTTTCGATCGGCCTTCTTGGGTGGGCTTTTATTTGATATGGGCTTCTATTAGAGAGTGGGATTTTATTTTTTGATTGGCCTCCTTGTTTGGGCTTGTATTGGATATGGGCTTCTAATAGAGAGTAGTTTACTTTTTAATAGGCCTTGGGTGGGATTGAATTTTATATAGGCTTCTAATAGAGACGGGCTTTAATTGGAGCATTCACTTTAAACTAAATCAATAAACGTCTAAACTTATTTTTATACAAGAATTTATATATTTCCGGCAATTCTTCCGTGTCCTTTATTTGAGAGAAAAAATAGAACAGCCCTCGAGTGGTTTTTGAACTCAAAAAAATTCGAATATTTTTTACTGCCAAATATTTAAGTATTACATTTCATAAAAGCATTGAAAAGGGCATATAATAGACCTGAAAAGAACAAGACAAAGTCCCATGAATAACTTAAAAAATGAATAGAAACATTTTAAAATTCTTTGGCCAGGATCAATAATATCCGTTGCTTTATTTTTTTAAAAATCATTATGAGAGTTTTTGAGACATATTTCCTTTCCGTTTAAAAATTTGATGAATGATATTTTTATTTTAAAGTTATAGATTTTATTTTTTAGAGAGTAAAAATAATACATAGATTAATAAATATTCAATCCTCGAAATTAATATAGGATTTTAAAACATTCCGGAAAATAATTTTTACAAATACACTGAAATTGTAAACGTATGTATTCCGGAAAAGTTTTCTGTTTCCGGTTAATTTTTAAAATATAATTACAATTATTTACTTTTTTTCCGGAACCACTACTATTATTTTACAAATTGTGTGATTCCGGAAAAGTTTTATTACAAATTGTATTCATTTCCGGAATGTTTTATTTTAAGTTGTAATGTTTCCGAAAACCTGTATTACAAATTGTAATGCTTCCGGAAAAGTTTATTATAAATTATGATGTTTCCGGAAAAATTATATTACAATTTGTAATCATTCCGGAAAAGTTTTTTTCTAAATTGTAATGATTCCGGAAATTTGTAAAATAATTACAAATTCATTTCCGGAAAGATTTTATTGATTCCGGAAAAGTTTTACAATAATCCCAAATATTTACAATATCATTCTGCAAATTGTAACCATTTTCCGGAAAATTTGTATAATGTGCGTAAATATTATTATACAATTATTTTTAATTGTGTCAAATAATAACTTAATAATTCTATTCAATATTTTTATATTTTTCCCTTTTTTTTCTATTCATTCCCACATCATAATAGCTTTCCCCCTTTTTTAAAATTTTGTTTATCTACTCTTTTCCACCAGCCTCATTCTTCATATTCTCTTTTTCATTTAGTCCAAACATTTTTGTTTAGCTTTTAAAAAAACTTTAAGTAAAGAAGTAAAATGAAAAGAAAATTGTCAACTGGTGGTCCCTCTTCATTTTTGAAATAATAACTCATCTTCGTTCTTAGAGATCCTTTCATAATCTCTTTCGCTAAATTTTTTATTTACATCATAACACTTAAAATTAAGAGATATATTGTGTAAATTCATTAAAAAAGTATTTTTTGATCTTTTACTTCACAATTTTATGCAGAAAATCTTAAAAATCTACCCAAATCCTGAGCCATTTAATTGCTCTTTTGAACTATATATACCGTATTTCCTGAAATAGTACTCCCCCCTAAATTAGCACTCCCCCCTTAAATAGTACTCCCCTTTGGAGGAGGGTTGAAAAATAGTACTCCCCCCTGAATTAGTACTCCCCCTAAAATAGTACTCCCCCCAAAAATATTTTTCCTCTATACATATTTAAAAAAATAATACGAGACATTGAATTATTTTATTTATTCTAAGTATCGTTGTCGGTTTCACTTGATTCTTTGATAAACAAAACCTGAGAGCTTTCGGTTAACCGAAAACGAATCGAAATTTTAAACTAAAATTTTTCGAGGATTAAAGAGATATAATCCGATTAATTGGTGGAGTAAAAGTGGATTTTGGGTATATAAAGGGATTGATATCGGGTGTAAAATGGGTTCTGTATTAATCAAGTGGCATTTAAAAGACATCATTGGATTAAGGTTTGATATAGGAATTTGAGGGAATAATGAAGGGGGAGTAATATTAGGCGATTTTGGTTGATTAAGAGCGATTAAGCGATAAGTTGAATCATAAATCCTTCTTAATCAACTAATATCGGAAGTACAAAAGGGATGTGGAGGATATCGGTGTTTAATATGATAAATAACTAGACAGAGATTAGGTAATCCCTAGACACATGGGTTTAGTTGACCCTGATAAATCTTAGACCCGAAAATCCCCTTATATCCCTCGATATCACTCCAAATTCACTTATATCCTTTTTGATTTCCCTCAATAACCCGTATTTTAAGTCACTTGTGTTTAATTGTCTCGCAATTTGCTCAATTTTATACTAATTCGGATATTTTCTACAACTTTTATTAAAGAAATTTTTTGAAAATCAGGGTCCGGATCCGGCATTTTTCAAATAGCGAACTCTAATCGAATTTATTTTGAGATAAATTGAAATAAATTAAAATATTTTTTTTAATTTTGAAATAAATTTTCCTATGAAAAATCATGGAGGATGGTTGAAAAATAATACTCCCCCCTGAATTAGCACTCCCCCCTTAAATAGTACTCCCCTTTGGAGGAGGGTTGAAAAATAGTACTCCCGGGAGTACTATTTTAGGAAATACGGTATGTATTAAAAAAATTTTTTTGAAACTTTTTTTCTATTTCTGTTATAGCAAAAATGACTTCTTATAAAAATTTTTTTATTAATTCTGTTTTAAATGCAAAAAAATTATTTTTATTGTCTAAGTAGCGTGAGGAAATTTCAGCTAATTTAACATTTAAATACAAAGAAAACAATAGCCTTAAGCATTTTCTTTTTTCGGAAATTTTTTTGCAGATTTTATTTTATTAAATTTGTTGGAAACATTATTTATAGAGGCCTTTTTTACAATAATCTTTATTTTCGACATGAGTCAATTTAGCACAGATTTCTCTAGAAAATTAGCCAAAAATAGCTCGAAAATTACCTCGAAATTTACTCGAAAATAACTCCCAAAGATAACGAAAAATAAAAATATTTTCCCAAAAAATAAATTTAAAAGGCTATATTATTTACATTCATTTTTCACTAAAAATAGCATCTTCAAGTGGCAATTGCTTGCTGTTTTTCCCCAGTTTTTACGTCATTGATAGGGCAATATCGTTTATTTTAAATATTTATATTTTCATTCAAAAATTTTTTTTCGTGTTTTTTTAAAAAAAATATTTACCTTTCTACCTTCTGGAATTTTTTTTATTTTTATTAAATTTCCCCATTTATTTAATTTGGTAAAAACGGAAAAGTATTTATTAATATTTGCCCTAAAAATATTTTTTTTATAATTTCAATTAATTTTTCCTTTCCATTAACATTTAAAATTTTCATTTCCTTTAGCTGTTTTTGTACTTTATTTAATATTGTAAGTGCCAGCGAATGTAATTTTTACGCTTACTTCATTCAGATTAATAGTTATTCTCGAACAAAATTATTAAAACCCCTTACTTTTTTAATCTCTGAATTGTGTCTTCTTTTATCAATTAATCGATTCAAATGAGAGATATCTTTAAAATTTTTTCTCGATTTTATAAATCTCAAATTCTTTTAGAATCTGACTTGTGTATCAGGGGTGTGACTTTCGCCTTAGTGGTGTGCCTTTCCAAAATTTCACCCTCTTTGGGGTTCGCCTTTCGTCTTTCGCGTTTCCAAAATCTGTTTCGGCATACTCCATCATATATATATTTTCCATATATTTTAAACGGTATCCTTTACACGATTTCCCGAGTCCCAATCATGTAAGGCAAAAATTACCTACCTACGATTTTAATCATCCAAATTTACTTCATAGATCAAAATTGTTTTTCCTTTGATTTTCATTATGCTCGTTAAAAATCCATAGTTATATAATTTTTGTATTTTTCCTCACGTTCTTCAAGAACGCTTTTATATAAATTTTGTTGGTTTCTAAGCAACAGAAATTTATAACAAGCTTGCGATTGTGACGTGTAAAAAGAGATAGTGTGGGTGTTTGTTGACTAACAAACGATCTCAGTTTATCAGAATTCCAAGAGAAAAAAGGTGAGAGAATCTGGCAGGTCGTACAAATGTTTTTTTATTAAATATCTGACAGACTGACATTTTTCCCGCAGTGAGAAAATTGGCTTTAAAATTTTTAAATAAAAAACAATTTTATTACGTTGGTGGGGTGCACCTCCACCTAATATTTTCATAAAATAACAAAAAACTTTTCTATTTCAAATCTATTAAAAAATATTTGTTGAAAGCCATGACCAATTTTATAATTTGTTTAAATTACGTTAATTGGATAAATCCACCTTGTTGTGAATGATTAAAAACTTTCTGATATGATTAAAAAGCCCTCTCCGAAGAGTGGGCGATCCATATACAAAACGGCATATGGATACCCCAAAATTTTGCCCAAGTCCAGGGGCAAATACCACCGGGACTGAAGGCGTAAAATATCAATGGCGCCCCGAAGGCAAATACCAACGGCGCCCCAAAGGCGAAATACCAATGGCGTCACGAGGCGAATACCATCGGAGGCCCCAGAGGCTATGGGGTTGCACCGGCAAACAGCAACTAACCGCTTTTGAATTAATAAATTTTAGACGGTGAGTAAAAAAAGGATAATCTACTCACTAATTAATAAAGAAGGATAATTTGCTCACTAATAATTTGCTCACACTTAGTTGTCTTCATTTCTCTGCCTAATTCACTTTTCCTTAACAGTCTCTTATTTATTTCTAAAATGACTCATCGCATAAATTACACGATATCTCTAAAATATATGTTTGACAAAATGGTCAAAAGGGGAAAATATTAAAAATTGTCGAAGGGCGATTTTCTACGTATTTAACCTTTTAATCCCCTTATATTCTGGAACTTTTTAAATTTTATTTTTTGTTCTAAATTAAATCCCGAATATCAATCCCCGAATATCAACCTCATTTCTTCAAAATAAACATATTTCTTTAATAATTAGTAAATTCATAAATTAATAATAGACAACTAATTGCAATATTTCCCCTATTTTTTACTTGCCCTCAATGTGAAAAGGGAATAAAAAAACAAAGTAAATAAGCTATTTAATTGAAAAAATGGGAAATACTTGCTAATACCAAAAAACCCTTGCAGACGTCATTATCAATAGGAAAAACGAACGTTTTTCAATTTCTATTCAAGACTGATTGACACATTCCCTTTATCCCCTTTACTAATAATATTTACAAAATTGCACAAATTTTTTGTGACAGACGGTTAGCATGAGGTGTTAGCTTGCGCGAGATAAAATGACAAGTAGCTTAGTACTTTATGCTTATGAATAATCCAAAAATTTTAAAATTAAATATTGATTTAGATAAAAGAAAATAAATTAGCAATCGGATCTCAATATAGGATAACCAGAGAGCCTAAAAAATCGTATAATGAAGGGTATTCTAAATAGAGAGCAAGTTGAGCGAGTAAGCTAAATAGAGAGTATGAAGTTATGAGATATCTTGAAAATTCTCGATCTCGATAATCTTGATTTTCGTTCGAAATCTCGTCTGATCCTTTCTCTACTTGATCCTTTCTCTATCCAGTAGCTTCAGCTGGTAGCTCCAAACAAGTCCAAAAATTTCCAAGAAGATCCACGAGCTCCAGTTGGCAGCTCCGAATATGTCAATGAAGCTCCAAAAAGCTCTAAGTAGATCTAGCATCTCCTACCAACCAAATACACATTGTATTTGTTTGGAGATACATATAACTTTGAATTTATTTTTAAATTAAATAACAACTTGCAAATTTTTGAGCTTTTTCCCTAACTATGTATTATAGAAACAGCCTATTAAATTAATAAAACTTCAAAAATTAAATTTTTAGATACCCGGTGATTATTGTATTTTTCTTGTTTTTTAATTCCTATCATTCCCTACATCAATTTCCGGCAGCATGTATTCGCCTGAGAAGGATTAAACAATTCCAAATTTATTCAAAACCTGCTCCTTTACTTCAAAATTCAAATTAATCTTTTAATCTTCAAACTTTTTCCATTTTTGTCCTCATTCATGTACCGAATAAACATGAGGGAAAGTGAGAATGAGGGGCTTCTTAACAATAATCAACAACAGAATAACATTAAAGCAAACGAATTAAATCAAAAACAAAGACATTTAGAGGGTGGAGATAGCGAGGTGGAAAGCTTAAAATTAGCTGGAAATTTTTTGAAATTTTTGAACTTTCTGAAAATTTTTTGGAATTTTTTTGGAATTTTTTTGGAATTTTTTTGGAAATTTCTTTGAAATTAAAAATTTTTTCCAGAAGGCCCAATCAGAAAGATGCACAATTACCACCAATTCCAACAACATAGCAAAGCCTACTACAAGTTCTGCCTCAAAAAAGGCTACTAATTGTTGGAATTGTTTCCGAAGCGGCAAGAAATATGCTGCCAATTCTATGATGAGGGCTGGCGCTTGGAGGGGGCGACAGCCTCGTCTGGTTGATAAGGAGGGTGAATGCATTATCCGACCAAATAATTTGCAAGGATCTTTTAGCATTTGGTCTGTTGATTTTGGAAGATAATGACAAATTAAAGTCCCTTTTAGCCTTCGGAATTGGTTCCATCTAGTAATCGAGCACAGTTGGAGGCGTATATTTCTACTGTTCTCGGGAAGTTTTCTTTGTTCATGGTTCACTTTTGGGCTCATATATTATTCCATACAACACTTCTCTGCCAATTTACAGGTAATTTAAAAATTTATTCCCTAATGAATCCCCTCTAAATTCCCCTCCTTTAAGAACTTATCAGAGCAGCATCAATGCATAGCCAATGTTCACTCCCTTACAAGTGCCTTTCTCTTCAGGCTAGTATTAAAAAAATTTTTTAATGAAGATAGGTTCCTTCCCAACTAAAATGAACTATTTTAGCCTTGAAAGTCAACACACTATAGGGTATGGAACTCGTTATATGACCGAATCCTGTCCACTTGCATATATCGCTTTATCACTTCAATGCATTGTTGGGGTGCTTCTTCAAACCATTTTGGTAAAGAATACTTTTTAAGCATTAATTATCTCGTTATCTCTAAAGGCCGGAATTGTGATAGCCAAAATTTTGAGGCCAAAGAAGCGAAAACAAGAAATGCGTTTTAGTCAATGCGCAGTTATTGGCCCGGTTGATGACGAAGATCAAAGGCCTGCCTTAATGATTCGTTTGGCCGATATTCAACATAAGTTATATATTGCTGAATCTCATGTTCGGTTGTACATGGCAACGACAAAAATTAACAATGTTGGTGAAAATTAATTTTTTCTGGATCACTATTATCCACTTACTATCACCAAAAACATTAATATTTTAGAGAGGTGAATGCGAGCTAATCGGTGTACAAGACATGAATGTTGGTTACGATACAGGCATGGATCGAGTATTGTTATTATGGCCAGTAGTCATTCGGCATATTATTGACCAAGATTCCCCCTTATGGGAAATTACTGAGGAAAAGTTAAGAACATGTCAGTTTGAACTGATAATGACTGTCGAGGGAATAGTAGAAGCTACTGGAATGGCATTTCAGGCACGATCTTCATTTCTGCCCGATGAAATACACTGGGCAAAACGGTTTGTGCCAATGATGAGGCTAAACACTGATACTAATCAATTTGAGGTGTTTTTTAATTAAAAAATGTGGAAAGTGGGCGGAGCTTATGGGGGGGGGGGGGGAACTACACAAGCTCCAAAAATGTCTCAGAAAATTCTAGCTTAAAATTTTTACAGGTTGATTACAACTTATTCGATGTAACTGAACCTCACCCCTTAGAAACTTGGTTACATAATGAATATAACCACGAACAAAACGAAGAAGAATATTCACCAATGCCTCATTCCACAAAATTATCAGTTATTTCTGAGCTCAATTCAATAGCTATACAAAATCAAACCCAACAATACACTAATTATAACAATAATATTCATGGAATACCTAATGGTGTTCCATTACCACCACCAACGTTATCAGAACCGTTACCTGCATCATTCCATATTCATCATTCCCAACATCATCATAATCATCATTTAATAGATCAGCAACATCAAGCATCGCTTCTGCGGCGAAAATCAACTTGCTCAATTGCTGATTCGATTAGGAGTGGCAAAATAATGGGAAATAATACGTCATTTGCTGACGAGGTGGGAATTCGTCTGTACCTTAAAAATTATCCTAAAACTCATTTTCAGAAGTCTGGCGATAATATCAGGCAAAGAAAAAGCTCTCGAGGATCCCTACTTCATGTGCTGCTTAGGCGAACTCAGACAAATGACAGTAGTCCTCTTGTGGGCAACAATGGCACTGGAAATAACAATAATACTCAAGAAGAAGATGATGAGTGTGGTGGGGAACGAACTGGAGGTGTATTAAGTTCTGCATGTTCACCTCTTCCTCCATTGCCTCCAGCTAGTCCTTATGTGGTTCATACACTTCAACATTCTGGATTTACATAAAAATGCCCTCATAAATTCTAACGGAGAATAATGGCATATTTACACTTAAAATAAGTACTATAGCTTTCTTTAACCCTCATTTCCTCATTGTTTATAAGGCAGAGCGGCACTTGCGGATTGGCATTTGCGTAAATATGTATGGGCAAGACCTTGCACAAGACCCTCCAGAAGGATACTGGACAGGACCCCGGACAAGTCCCACTAGAAGGGTATTGAACAAGAACATGGACAAGACCTACCACTAGTATGCTACTGAACAAGACCAGGTGTTCCACCTCTGGATTTTCTGCAAATGTCTGTCCCCAAATATCGCTCCGATCTATATCTATTAATAATTTTTATCAGTAATTATCAATAATATTTAGTATTTTATCCCCCAATTCGGGTAGTATTTTGTATTTGCACAATAATAATATACAAAACTCGGTTCATTAACTAGATTCATTTTTATTCCCCTCCAAAATTTTATTAATCAAAACCCGTTGATCTCTTTTGTCTGTTAAATTAATTAAGTGACCTTACAAATTTAATAAAATTAGTTTAAAAATTTTATTTTTTTTGAATTATTTTAAATTGTAAAAATAAATTTTATACTTTGTATTCATAAATACATTCAAAAATAATTCTTAAAAATTCTCAGAAGCACAGAAATGTGAATATAAAAAGAATGTATATGTTAATTAACGGAAATGGATATAAAAATATACTTAGAATTTGTTAAAAATTATGCTGAAAATTATCCAAAATATTTTTTAAAAATTATATTAGGGTATAAAAATATTTGTAGTTGACCCTTTATAATTAAAAATTAATAAAACAATCAAGGGGTTCGAACCAAAGTTCCCTTGCTTATGTATTTGGCGCTTTACCCAACTTAACCAGAAATTTCCCAACTACAGTATTCTCTCCTTTTCTCTCTCTCAATAATTTAAGTCTTCCTAATAACAAAGAAAAGTTTTCCAGCATAATCGGAACACCATGAAATTATTAATCCTCATTAGGTTAGACCCGTTCATCCTTTTATTTTTGACATTAGCTTCTCGGCTTTAGAAAAATTCTACTTTACGAAGAGATGATGGTTTCTGTAATAAAAAATATTCAAAATGAGTAACTCGAGTTGAAAATTATCTTTCACCCAACCTTATCACCCAGTTTAACAACTTGTTGTTCACAAGTAGTTAATGAATTCTTTTGTTCTGCAACTTTAAAAGCATTGTTTTGAGAGCCACTTCTCTTGACGGGGGATTGGAGTTCATGTGCAGAAGCACTTTTTTCCACTCCAGAGAAAGAGCGCCCTCCTCCTGTGTCACTATCTACATCCTCATCCAATCTAAGGGAGAGTTCGCGTTGCTGAACGTTTCGGTGTCGTTGAGAGATTCTTTGAGCCCTCATTGCTTGGTAATATCCATCTCGAACAGCACTGAACATTAACGAAACGAGAAGTGACCATGCAGTTATTGTGTCTGATGGCTAGAAAAATGTTTTTAAATTTCACTAAAATTCCAGAATGGTCAGCCCATAATGGCTAATGGATTTATAAAGGTCCTGAAGGCCCTTAAGTCTGTAACATTTAACAAATCTACTTGATGTGTAGCCTGATCCAGAATAACACATTCAACAGTCATAGCATCCGCTAGGCTAACCCAAAAGTCAGGCTTGAAACCAAAGCATTTCAACTCAACATGTTCCTCACCATATCTTCTGGCTAATTTTTCAACAGCCTCAACATTATCTACCTGCAAATGGAAGCTCTTTTCTAGTCATTCAGAAGTGAATCAAACCCTTTTAACTACATTGTCCAAGAATTGTCTTAAACGTGTAGTCATTTGCAGCCAACGATCTTTACCCATTGAATAAACAAAATTTCTAAAGTCAGGTCTCTTTTCGAGCATTCGAGAGCAGATACGAGCACCTGAAATCGAACCCTAACTTAATTCTAAAATTATTACGCACCAATATCATTATGAGGCTGATCAAAGCATAGTTGTATAATCTCTCGGCCACTAGCCGAAATCGGGTTCGACGGGCCTGCCAGTCCGGCATCCGATTTTCGTATAGACTTCTGTGCTCCCAATTGCGCAAGAAGTGGTCGACCCACCGAGGCACGTCTTGAAATGGCATTTACCAAACTTGTCGAACTATGGAGCTTATTGGCATTAGATGGGCGATGGACTGGAGAGGGCCATTCATTTTGCTGTTGGCTAATGCTTCGGTTTATCAGACTGAGAATTAAAAAAATCTTATTTCCAAAAATAATTGTGTAAATATTCCAGTAACTACGTAAATTTACTAAAAATAAATCCTCATAATGCTTTAATCCCTATAGGCTTTTTCCTATATTTACATAACCAATTATTTAAATTATTTATATCCTCATTGCTTTATTATGCCAAAAAAGGTAGTTATTCCAAAAAAAAGTTTGTTATCTAAATTGCCTTAGGTTATTTTTGGAAATACACGTAAAGACAGTTGTCATTATCTACTATTTATCTGTCAATTATTTGAGCCAAAGAGTAAGAGGAAAAGGGGAACTATTAAGACAAGTAGGGAGATAAGTAGTCTGTTTTCATTACTTAAATCACTATTTTATGTGTGGGATGATGATCAAAATAGAATGACACGAAATCGATGTAAAGGACTAATATTAACAGATCATCTTGCTTTACATTCCTGTCAATCATTTAATCGTGTAATTTTCTTGAAGGGAAGTAAATGGAAGGAAAGCGTCTGTCACCTATTTTAGACTTACTTAAAGATTTTTTATTGATTTTAATCTAAAAATACCTAGCATTGCCAGCTTTAAGAGATCTTCGCCTCGTCAAAGTCATCCGATTCGGAACTGAGCGTTTCTCAGTACCGTTGTTGGATGGAGATGAAAGGCTAACTTCATGGCCACGTAGCCAAGCCCAGGTTAGCGGTCTTCGCTTCTGCCCCTGGGAAGAAATTGATGTATCTATGGAAGTATCAGAAGATGCCGCTAAGCTAGGCTGGGTCTTTTGCTGTGTTGAATTTGTGGCAGTCGGAGAAGGGGAACTTGAAACCACAGCTGAAGCAAGCTGGGCTGATTTAGAAGCTGCTGTTGTAATAGATCCATTTTGTTTCGGAGAGGAAGTGAAATTTGTTTTTGAAGTGTTGGAACTATTTTTATTGGTTTTATCAGTGGAAGAAATCCGTTTTGTGGTGATGAGTAATCGGCGACTTGGACTTTAAATTTAAAAGTTGGATCATTTTTTATCCCTTATCATATCTCTCATACAGTATACCTATCCTCCTATCCCAGACCTATTCTCATTTATTACTCCTTCAAAATCCACCTTCTCATCTTTGTTTGCTCAATTTCGACTTCTTTCAGCTTATCATTCTCGTTCTTCCTTTCAACAACCCCCAAATTATTTATGGCAACAGCAGTTGCCTTGATAGTTTCCAGGGACCGTTCACGTTGAAGATCGTACATAGATTGTGCCTTATTGCCCTTCCAATTTTCTCTATCCTCACTTTCATCATCAACAAGGGCACTTGACATTCTCCTTCAAGTATAAAAAATATTTTTTATTAAATTTTTAATTTAATGCTTTAATAATTTTTGGCATTTTTCTCATTCTGCACTTTAGAAATTTTTTAATAAAATGACGGAAACGTAGTTTACTATCCAACAAAATAAAAAAAATAAAATTAAACAATAAAGTTGTACTTTAACAAAAGAATAAATTAATGGGGCAGACTTGCCTGGTTTTGTCAAATCCATTGGTAGTTGATGATGTAGCACCCATTGAATTATTAAATATGAGTTTATTTTATAGAAAATTCTTTGAAAATTAAAAAATTTTTTAAAAAACATAGGAAAAATTGAAAAAAATATAATTTATGTGCTAATCCGGAAGAATTAGCGGGTAAAAAATCAAAAGAAAGTGGATTACTCACATAAATATAACCTCGTTTGTTCCGCATTGTATGGTTATACCTCCCAAATTTTTATTAAAATAATTTTAGGGATAGTCCAAAATTTGGTGATAAAGAAGGCAAACTAGGGTATTTTAAAGGACTTTTCCGGCCCTTAAAATGAGAAGGATTAGCGTATGAAAAAGGGGATATTATCTCGTTTGTTTTGCAATATGTTTAGGATTAATAATATACCTCATAAAATTAGCTATATTAACTTCCTTGTATATATTAGCTAATTATTTATTTTTTATAGAGGATTAGCAAAGATAGGTACATTTAAATAAAGAATTAGAACTAAATAAATATTTGTAAATAAGTCAGATCCTTTCCTTAAATTCTAAATAATTCATTGTTTGGTTACTTCCTTGTTAAACAAAAAAATACATGGGTGCATCAAGCATGGAATAAGAGATTAATGAAGTCACCAAGGAATAGAAAAAAGATAAATTAACCTTCTAGGGACAAAGCAAGAATACTCTTTGTTTACTCAGAAAAGCTATTTTACCCATTCATAAAACCGAGAATTGAGAGAATATATGATAGGGAAGAGGGGGTTTAAAATTAAGATATTTAAAATCCGTATTCGATAAAAAAATCTTGGAATGATAGATGAACTGCTTGAACCCTTCGAACTAAACTAACCTAGGATTTCGAAAAGAAAAAGGCTGAACTGCTTGAACTCCTTGAAATGTCTGGACCTCTAAAAAAGCTGAATTTTTAATACAAGGAATCTCAATATGGATATGGATACGGGTTATTTAAAGTGCCTGCGGATATCAGGCTATGCCGTATATATCCGGATACGAATACCAAAATCCGTGTCCTTGTGTTAGTCTGTTTTGAGACTAATTATACTATCATAATGTGGGGATACTTCCCCTTCGTCCAAATTTTTATCCAAAATTTTTTGGACTAGTCCACAAATTATTTTTCAAAATTGAAAAATGAAAAGTATAAAATATAAAAATTATTTGCCGCAAAATGCAAAACGCCTTTAGCAATTTAATTGTTATTTTTGAATTGAAAAACAAATGTCAAAGCAAAATAAACACGGGAAAAGCAAAGGAAAAGCGTTTAAGCGCCGATAATTTACCCTTCAAAACTGCTGTTAAATGTGAAAGATTGAGGGAAATGAGAGAAAAAAGTGAGGGATTTTAAAAGGATTTTAGCATCTATTTTTTCCCGCTGGCATTTTTCTTTTTGTTCTTTTTTCGTATAATCGTCTTTTGCTTTATCCTTTTTTTCACATCATTGTCATTAGACATGCAACTCTCTCTACGTAAAATATAAAATGAAAAATCTCCCAAAGACTTTCTCGATGTTTGGTGTGAACTTAAAATTGAAGGGACGGCTGCCGTCAGCTAAGGGCCAATTGTGCGCCTTTGGTGGGCGCCTTGGGCGTCATATCCGCGAATGCCAGGAAAATATTACAAAGAAAGGCTGTGTGACCCTTTGAAAAGGATTTGGAAAAATTGTCTTTTGAAGGGATCCAAATAAAAATGAGGAAAGTAACAGCTGTCTTATGTAGTAATTTACTAGTGCCCACTGAAGTGTAAAATAAAACAAAGAAAAAAGTCAAGGGATTTGAGTGATTTGATGAGATGACATAAACTGGATTTAGATTAAACTAAAAATAAATTTTCAAATTAATAATTAGACCTTTATTTAACCACAAAATGATTTAAAATTAGTAACTATGTAGTTAAAAATATTTAGATAGGCAGGATATCAAAGTTGAGTGTATTTTTTTGAATTGTCAAGACTATCTGTTAGGTATTGGTCTCTTGAAAGTTGGGATTAATCTTTTGAAATGTCGAAATTTGTCTCTTGAGATCTTGGGAGTAGTCTAGGAAATGTCGGGATAATTCTTAAAATTTTGGGAGTAGTCTCTCCTTCCCTCTCTCTTGAAAGAGTAGTCTCTCTCTCCTCTGAATTGTCGAGACTATCTAACCAAATCTAAGGGATTAAGCAATAGAAAGCGGTTCTATTAAGAACGGAGAAAGTTCTGATAACATAACAGAATCCAATTTTGGGGCACAAATCCACACATAAAGCTTACATATCTTCTTATAATCCCTCGACCAAAACTCAATTCTAAATAAAGATAAAGAGAATACTCTTAAAGGATATATAGGTTATTTGCCTATAAGTATCATTTTTCTTTTGACGTATTTCCACCAAATTTTGATTCATTAATCCTCACATTGCAAAAAAGATTTTTTCGGATAAGGAATGGGAATAGCCAAAAGGGATTTTATTGAAAAATAAAGAAATGAATAAGAAAAATGAACAAAGCATAAGGCAAAAGAAAGGGGACTGAGAGAGGGGAGGGGAAGGAGTGACGCAAAAGGCTTATTTCGTAGACCCTGAAATTGGATATTTTTAGACGAATGAGCAAAAATGTGTTGAATTGCTGGTTGTAAGAAATAAAAAAGAAGAATGAGGAACTGCCACAGGAAATTTATTTGGTGGTGTGATTAATGGTTGATTAGGTTTTTTTATTAATTTAATACATAATGCAAGGGAGGATTAAAAATATTAAAAACACACATAAATATTGCTTAAAATTTTTTATTTAAAAATAAATATTAAAAAAATGTAATTTATAGATATGTATTTAATTTGAAATAAAATCCCTCATAATGGGGTTATATACGAGCTTTTTGTACATACGAGCTTTTTAAACCTTCGAAGAAATCGAGTGTTAAAAAAGCTGTATACTGTAATAAACTTATATGAGTTCATCGACTTCAGGAGATCAAACCAAAAGTAGAAATTGTTTAGAAAATTATATTATTACTCCATCTACTCTAAAAAAGTTAAAAAATTTTTATTAAAAACTTTATAAAGATTTGACAAAATCAGTGGAAGAATTCAAACAGAAGCTTTCATTTTCTCGATTAAACAATCGACCAATTCGATTACCCCTCTAAATTCTTATTTATTCAGTGATTTCATTTTTATTTAATTCCATTCTCTCTCATCCATCCCCTTCTCCCTATGAATTTGATGTGCGCGAAAAGCCTCGCGCATAGAGCAGGCGAGATCCTGAAAACTAGCACATAAAGAGAAACAATTCTCTCAAACATCGATCAAATCCCATTCTCCTTCCCATTTTTCCTTTCCAAAAAAGAGAGAATGTTTGTTTTACATTCCACTGCTTTATAGAAAGCCTTACGAATTAGATTTTCCTTTTTATATAAAATATAAAAACAAGCCTCCTAAATAGCTAAAACTAGCACAAAAAGAAAAAAACAATTAAAAATAATCGACCAATTCGATTACTTTTAAAAATAATTAAGCTAATCTAGGCCTGGAAACAAGATAAAAAATAAATTCGTATTACTTATTATCTAATTTATTCTCCAATCTCTCAAATATTTCCTAAACCTCTCCATACCCTTCAAAGATGATTTTAAAGACTTCCGGCTATTCCGACCGGTTTTACTTGGCCTAGTTCTTTTGATACTACTTCCGGTTTTATTCCACTCTCGATTATCCTTTCCTTACCCTTCCTTTTTCTTCAAGATGACAACAAAAAATTCATCGCAAAATTTAATTAATCCCTTTGGATTATTGCAAGATATACTTGCTAAACTGTTTTTTAGGTACTTGTTGAATCTCAGAATTTTTCTAAAAAAATTTCTAGGTACGGGTTCTTCATTGCCAAACACCCTCGTCCTTTCATTATTATTCCTGTGGTGAGTGGGATAATCGTGTCTAATAATAATATTTCAAAATTTAATTTAGCTTGTTACATTGCTTTTAATGTTTGGAATACTTAATCTTAGAATAGAGGTAGATCAGATAGAAATTTAAGAAAATTAAAAATGTTTTCGCAGGATGATCTCAGGCTTCTGTATTCACCAGAGCACTCAATGTCTCGTCTTGAATACCAAGTTCATAAGGAATTTAGTGGAGATTCTGTTAATAGGTATTAAATTGTTATTAAAATGTGGGAAGGATAGAGCGCTCAAGAGCAAGCCCTGAGTTCACCCTATGACCGAAACCAAGATTCACTCAAAAACCAAGATTGGAGTCGAAAACCACAAGACATCTCTTAAACCAAGGGTAGACCAAGAGACTTGAAGAGCTCTATCAAAGGATAATTTAACCACTGTTCTATCATTATTGACAGCTCCTATGTTGCTATTGCGCTGGAAGCAGCACCTCCACCTTCTAACCCAGAATTAAGTGATGGAACATCATCTACCGATAAACAAAGCTCAACAACTCCTTCCCCCATTAATTGGAGGAATATGTTAAGACACGAAATTGCTTTATCCATTACTGGATTACAGCAGTTTATAATGCATAATATGACTGTGGATCTACCCGATGGAAGTTACCATTTTGGGAATGATATCTGTACAAGAAATGCCCTCTGCCCTTTAAGTAATGTACTCGTTCAGCTTTTCTTTGACGCATATTTCAGTGAGAAGGTTTGGAGAGATTAAAATAAAAATCTTAACAAAATTCTTAACATTCCAGTTGAGAAAAGACCCTCGAATAGAACTACATTGGCCAATTCTCAAATTTTTTGAGAACAAAATGTTCATGCCAACTAATTTTTATGGGGTTGAATTAAATAAGAGTGAGGGAAATTCTGATGGATTCGATGCAATTAGCTCAATTCAAGTTGTTCATCTAGTCTATCATGTAGCTGGAACTGAGAAGGTGGGTTGGGTCAGCTTTTAGGCTATCTTATAGCTGATATTGAGAATCTGGGTAGGATTAGCTTAGATACTATTCTAAGCTTAGGGACATGTTACCTGCATACAACCACATATAATCCGAATGGGACATGTTCTCTCCAGCTTACTTCCACATTAATAAAGCCCGAAAAATTTTTTAAAGTACACAGCAGAAGAAGTCGGCATAGCCGTTGAAAAATCACTCAAACAAGCATTGGCTGAACGGGAACATTTACTACGCTATTCATTATTCTCTCTAGCAATTTTAAAAGCTGAAATGCAGAAGAATACAACTTACACACTTCCTTATATTTCCTTAACACTTATTTTGCTGGTAACATTTACAGCATGTTCCTGGTAAACTATAGAAGATTTAAAAATAAAAAAATTTCTCTGAAGCATGACCGGTGACTGCATTACCAGCAAACCTCTAGAAGCATTACTCGGCATCTTTTCTTCCTCCCTTGCAATTGGAAGTTCTGCCGGGCTTCTTCTAATGCTTGGTGTGCCTTTTATTCATCAGGTGTAAAATTAACGAAAAATAAGGCTAATAAACTAAATTAAAATTTTAAATGTTTCAAGGTAACAGTTGTACCCTTCTTAGCCTTTGCAATTGGAGTGGATGATACTTATGTAATGCTAGGAGCTTGGCAGGATACCAAACGAAATTTAAGCCCAGAGAAGCGGATGGCACTTAGTTTGGAAGAGGCTGGCTCTGCAATAACTGTTAGACTTTAAAAGACTTTAAAATGGTCCAAAACCTCAAAAAGCCCACAAAAATCTTCCAGGTAACTTCACTAACTTCCTTTCTTTCATTTGGCATTGGAACATTTTCCGCAACCCCAGCAATCTCAATTTTCTGTAAATTCATCGCTATTGCTGTTCTCTTCGACTACATTTATCAAATTACATTTTTCGCTGCTGTTATGGCATTAGGTGGTCGTAGAGAAGACGCTGGACATCACTGCGTTTTTCTTTGGAGGCGGATGCCAAAGGAGCAGATTTGTAAGGTAAATTATGAGAGAAATTTTATCAGATAATATTTTAAATAATAATCACTTATTCACAACTGAACTTCCCTTAAATTTTAAATAATTCTTATACCCTCATCCCTTCATTTCTCAGATTCTGATTCGTTTCCTTCGGATCCGTTTCCTTCTATTTTCATAACAATCTCCTCAGCAACATTAGTTTCATCTTTATTTTCATTTGATTGTGAAGTCATATCAAAGCCTCTAGTTACTTAATAAGGATTTAAAATACCGTATTTACTCTAGTAATCCCCCAGGGGGATTATTGTTTCAACCCATTTCTAGAGTGGGGAATTAATAGAGACTGGGGAATTAATAGAGTGGGGTAGAAAGAAGGGGGATTATTTTTCAACCCATCTCTAATGTGGGGAATTAATAGAGACTGGGGAATTAATAAAGGACTGGGGGATTATTAGAGTAAATACGGTAAATATTTAATATCAGGTATAGGGATTCTCAGTAAATGAAAGATATTCCGTGTGATAAAGGACTCAAATCTAATTTAGACTTATTGAAACAACCTTGACATTTCTGAACAGTTTCTGACATTTTCAAACCTTCTCCTAATTTTCCTTTTTCGGGCACTGGTATTTTACCATCTTTTTCTAACTTTTTAAACATTTCCATGCTTTTATCAAAATCTATTTTAGCCTTGTTAACTTCTTTTTTATCCTCTTCATCATTATCCTCCTCCTCCACCTCGCATTCAGATTTAACGTTATCCTTCTTAACAGAAACACTTCCTTCATTAATCCTTCTCGAAACACATATACCAATAATTTTTTCTTTAGTATGAGAAGCTTGAGGGTCCTTTTTGATTTCTGATTCCAAAGATCCCTGAGGATCTAATTTTCTTTTTTTCGAATTATTCTCAGCTTCACTAAGAGTCTTTTTTCCATGTACGTCTTCAGATTTTAAAGATAAAAAATCCCCTAATTTATGCCGAGGCTCCTTTTCCTTCAGATTACTTCCTTCTGATACCACTTTAGCCTTATCCTCAACATCCTTTCCTTTATTCTTAGCTCCTACATCAACATCCTTTCCTTTAATCTTCACACTTCGCTTATTTGTTCTTCGCTTCCCTGTTTTCTGATTCCTCATTTTCTGTGAATCCAATCTACTTAATTCAACATTCGACCGATCTCTTATCAAATACCATCCAGGAGGGCCTCCATAATCCTTTAGAAATCTATCATCATATTTAAAAAGTCCATCCTTCCATTTTTTGTGGTCTACTTCGGGAATATTTTCTTTCGATACACCTTTATTCTCTTCCAAGACATCATTTTTCATCAGAAAAATAGGGCTTCCAAATGGTGTCGGTTCTACAGCTTCATTTTTCTTCGGGTTTCCTTCTTCATTTTTTTCATCTGATAATTCTTCCACAATTTCATCATGCTCCTCAATTTTGCCCTTAAGCTTTTTCCTGGCTTGATCTTCATGGACATTTTCAGTTCCTGATTCACTATGTTTGGATGATTGACTATCTACCTCTAATTCTTTACCATTGTCAATATTTTTGTGGTCTGATATGCTCTCGCCCTTTAAATGTTGTTGATCAGATACAGAAGCTCCTGCTTCTTTGTTAAAAACATTGCTATAGTATTCCTGGTTTTTAAGTTCATTACTTTCTTTGTTTGACGATTCTTCTTCAATCTCATCATGCCGGCATATTCTTAAGCCATATATCGGCGTTTTAAAATTCAACCGAACTGGTTCTACATCATCCTGAGTTCCCGTCTAGTAATATTTTAAATTTTTAATTAAAATGTATGGGAGATATTTAAATGATCAACCTCATGAATCTTCTCCTTAGATCGGCATCTTGATAGATTTTCAGCCTCTATTTTGTCTTCAGATTTGCCTATAATGAATTTTAATATTTAATTTTCGCGTTTGATTACCCTGGGGAATTAATATTTCGACCCATCCATGGGGTGGGAATCATTTGAGTGAGAGTAATTATCCGAATTTTGGATCTTGAACGTCCAGAGGGCATATGTGGTACTTTTATTATCTAAAACAAGATACCTTTCCCTGAAAATCTTTTGCTTAAAGAGCGAAAAAGATTCCGAAAAGCTGAGTTGACTGGCACATGTTCTTCCGTTTTTGAACCTAAATCATTAAATTTAGCTTATCATTTTATTAATAAACCCATTTACTGAATAAATCTTTCAATGTTTGCCTTTCTCTTGAATTTTGATTTTTCTGGCTTTTTGAATGTAGAAACAGCCGACGGATACTGTTCGAGAACGATGAGAGAGATAAACTTTTGTTTCTTCCTATTGATCTCTCATTATCCCAATTACTTGATCTAGAGCTTTCTCTGCCTGAATTTCAAAAAATTTTAAAAATTATTACTCAAAACTATACCCATATTTTGTCTATCCAGATTAATATTTGATTCAGACTGAGCCTTTCTATGGTGACTTTTATGACCTTTACTTATCCCTCCAAGATGGGATCTATCTATTTCAATCTCTCCATATTGAATAGTAGAAGATGAAGCAGAATCGGTCTTCTAAAAATTAAGATTTTTTGAACTAAAAGTTATTTTGGCCTACAATCTTTCCAAAATTTCCAATTTTATCATTATCTCCTTCCTTTGTTGTTGAGCTTGTAGTATCAGAAAATCTATCCGCTTCATTATTAAAAGGTGAACAATTCATGCATAAATTTAGGCCGCCTTGAATTAATGCTTTCTTTAAAGGATGGTGTTCCTTAACAGAATAACAAGGGTTATAAAGCAGAAAAATAACGGCTAATCCAAGGATTTTCATTTTGAAATTGAGTAATATTTACTATATCCCTGCAGGGATTTCTTCTCTTCAATTTTAATTTAAAATTAAAATTAAAATAATTTAATTATTAAATAATTATGAATTTAAAAATAAATGTCTAATTTTTTATAAAATTATTTTTCCTTTTTATTTTTATCAATTAACGCTTTACATATCCCGACAATCTCTCTTTATCTTTCATATGCCTTTAATGTCCTTACCACCTCTCAATCTCCTTTTATCTTTTTATCTGCCGTTAATGCCCTTTATTACCCTTTCCTTCCCTCATAAGACTTGGATAAATTACGCAATAATTCCGGCGATTTCAAAGGAAATCATTGAGCAAAACACATATAACGCAAAACACACTCAACGCACTTTTACAAAAAACACATGAATTTCCACCGGAAAAACTTTTTTTTATTTTATTTTGAAATATGTCTACAAAAACGAGAATGCCTTTTAATAAATCCTATAGGGCGGTATCCTAAATAGAGTGTAAGAGAATTCGTGTAATAGAACCCCGAGCTGGGGGTTAACCCTTATTCCAAAAAATAGATTTTTGTATTTGCTTGTTGACTGCACCTATAGATAGGCAGGAGTGATTGTAAGTTCATCAAAGAACCGGAGAATTTACAGAATATTTTTAAGTTCATCATCTACAGGATATTTTACTTCTTTACTATCTCATTTTGAAATCCCTTCAAGAGATGCTATCGAGACTTATTCATGTTTATCGCCGATTGTTAACAAAATTTTAAAATTCCATCAGCACTAAAACCATACAAAAGAAACTAAATCCTCTGACATCCAATTAGATTAATCCCTAGGTTTAACTTGCTGCCTAAAATATGTCTTCAGAAATCCTCTACTCCCTAATTCTTGTATTTAATGAAAATCTAAGCATAAACATATTGTAATAAAAAATAAACAATAAAAATATAAACAGATTTATCAAGAATAATAACAATGTAAAAAGCAGGAGATTTCCTTAGGAAATCGTAAAAATATTGGAATAATGAATAAAATTTCATAGGGATCATTGAATAATATAAAACTCTCTATAAATAAACCAAGTGTTTCAGGATATCTTTTATCTATTTACAGAGAGTATTTACTGTAAAAATTCAAAAAATTTAAAAAAAATTCAAAAAAAATTTTGGTATCTTTCTACAATCATTTTTGGTACTTCTCTGTTATCTCCCCCAATTTTCCTTCTTTTCCCAATTTGATCGGATATAAATTTTTTATCCTAAATCCAATCTGAATGAATCTCGTATCATTCGAAAGCTCTCGATAAGCTTTTCTTTTCCCAACTTATAAAGTCATAATTTTGAGAGATCAGTCCTGATCTATCCGATGGGAAAAAGATAGCGCTTATCGAGAGCTTTCGAATGATACGAGATTCATTCAGATTGGTTTAGGATAAAAATTTATATCCGATCAAATTGGGAAAAAAAGGAAAATGGGGGAGATAACAGACAAGTACCCCATTTTTTCTTTTTTCAAACTTTAGTCTATTTTCCAATCTTCTGTATTTTACTCATCTTCTTTTGCTCAATCAGCTTGATCTCTTGATCACTGTTAATTTCATACTCTTCAAACCCATCATCTTCCTCCTCATCAGCTTCATGTTTTCTCTTCAAAGTTTTTTTGTCATTAGGTTTGTCGATAGGATTCAATTCTTTCCCCTTTGTTCCATTAGCATCATTTTCTATACCATTTCCCTTAATATGATTCAATTCAAATATGTCCTCTGAATCATAGTCCTCAGAATTCTCAGTTTCTTTCGCGACATCCGAGAGACGTTGCTTATCAGTTGAATCTTCGTCCTCAAAATGCACAGTTCCTTTTGCGACATCCGAAAGACGTTGCTTATATGCCGAATCTTCGTTATCATAATTCTCAATTTCTTTCGCAACATCCGAGACACGATAATTATTGGTAAATGATTTGTCCAAGGAGCTTCTCAGGGATAGAGGATTTGAGGGATTTGACGAACTAAAACTGCTTCCATCTCCCTTTTTGAGGGTTGTGTCTGAAAAGCGTACCGGGCTTCCTTCTGAACTATCATCTTTAAAAGTTAACATGTTGATAAGTTCGGCGATTTTATCCTCTTCACTATTTTTAGCTTTCTCCATTTCATTGTCCATATGATTCTTTTTTCCTTTATTTATCTAGATTTTAAAATTGGATTTACTAAAATAAATAAATAGTAACTACCGTGAAAAATCTCTTCAGAAAACCCCGGTTGGCCGAACCGACTGGCACTCCTTTGTTATTTCTCTTTGATAAACTGCCAATTCGTTTAAATGTATTCGTAAGACCACTTTGTTTTTTGCCTGGACTTGCTGGGGTTTCATCAAAATCTTCTTCAGATACGCTGCTTTTTAAACTTAACACGCGACGTAATGTAAGACGTGGTGTTTTAGGACTATTTTTAGCCTTGTAAAGTTCTTCCCCCTCAACTTTTGTTGGACCTTTGTTTTTGTTCCAAACAATAGGAGAATTTAAAGTCTGTTCTGAATAAATTAAAGGATTAATTCCGTTAGCTTTAAGGTCAAAACTTCTTGTTTTTCCTTGTTCAGGCGTTTTCATTTCCAAATCTTGTTTGCCCTTCCACATGCTTCCAATTTCATAACCATAGGGATTACCAAGAGATTTAAGGTCAAAAATTCTTGGTTCTGCTTGTTCAGGCTCTCTCATTTCCAGATTTTGGTTGCTTTTCCCCTTGCTTCCACTTTTAATTTTTTCAAAAATTCTCGATTTCGAGCTACTATTAGCCTTCTCATTTTTCGCGGGTTCTTTTCCTTTGCCGTTCAACAATTTTAAAGATTCCTCAAAATTGCTCGACCCCTCTATTTTAACAATTCTGGGGTAACCGGGTTCTGCTCCCATACCGCCTTCCTTGTTTGCTGTGCTTCCAAAATATCTCGGTTTTGAGCTGCTATTAGCCTTTTCCTCTATCTCAGGTTGTTTTCCTTTGTTGTTAAACAATTTCAAAGTTTCATCAAAATTGCTCGACCCCTCTATGTGAACGATTTTGGGATAAACGGGTTCAGTTCCCTTACCGCCTTCTTTCTTTACTTTGCTTGTATTAACCTCACAAGAAACATTTAAATAAATAAATCCAATTAATAAACATTTAAAAAACATTTCTAAATAATTTTACTAAAAAAATATTTAAATGAATTAATTGCTAATAAGGGAGGAAAATTAATTAGAGGCATGGCTAACACGCTCGCGCATCGGATTCTTTAAAGGTTGTTTACATATGTGGCTTCGATTGACTTTTTTTATTAATTATTGTCTATTATTTTCCCTTATATGCGCAGCCTTCAAAGCAATTTTTCTCAAGGGAAATTGATTTCACAATCAGGCGAGACTATTTTTTGGCCAGGGATTGGGTAATTGAATGTTTTGCTTTAAGTGTGTTTTGGACTTTGTTTAAAGTGCTTAGTTAATGTTGAAAACTAATAAAATAAATTTTAATTTTGCAAAAAACTTTCTTTCAAAATTATACCGTTTTTAAGGCAAAATCCACCAACTTTGTTTCACCAACTCACTACTTTTTCTCGAATATCCTAGCTCCGTTTTTATGCCACCCAGTGACTCGCCTTTGCTTTTTGGCTATCTATGGTCTCTATATTTTTGGAGCCTTTTATGGCTGTTCACTTTTACGACCAAATTTAACGCCCAGCAGGCTCTTGGTAGATGACTCGCCTCTGACGCATTATATGAAGCTGGCGGAACAAAGACTTTGGTCTGAAGGGGTTATTGGCAGAATTTATGTTAATAATGCACCTGACTTTGAAGCTTATCCGGAGAAGGTAGTGTATTAGGATTTACATTATCCTAGTAACATAAAATAAAATTTAAAGTTGGACAGACTGATGCAGTTAGTTGCTGAATTGGAATCTACTCCTTTCTCAATGGGTCCAAATTCGACCCAGCTTTGGATTCGGGAGTTCAACAATTACCGTCAATACTTTGCGGACAGCAATCAAGGCTTTTATGATACACTTAGAGCGTTTTTGAAGATTTCTTTTAATAAACAATGGTCTTCTTTTCTCCACTGGAAGCCTGGACCAGTTAATTTAATTAGAAAATTTTTATTAATATTTCCCAATATTTTCCATTTAAGAACGGCCATGAATACGTTAACAAATTCTATTTTACAACAGCTTTTAAAATCCCAGATTGGAATGTTAGGACACAACTATTACTTATTTGGAGAAACATCACATCTGACTACTCTGAATTCCAAGCAATGGTATTCGATGAGAACAACTTTTTCAGTGATCAAATGTTGGAATTGAAACAGACGACACTCAGTTCCTTGGGAACTGCAATTCTGGCAATGATTTTAGTAATCAGTATTTTATCAGTTTAAAGCTATTTTCAATTAAAGGTCTGTATTCTTTTCATTGCTGATTCTGCAATAGTATTTTGGGTTTCATTTATGCTTGTTTCAATGGATATTGGAGTGTGCGGGTATCTCTCACTTTGGGGCAGAGAAAGCACTTCTGGTGATACACTAAAAATATTCGAATAATTTTTTATGTAGCCCACAGCGATCTTGATCCAACTACAGTAGTCAACATACTTATGAGTATTGGTCTTTGCATAGATTTTGCTACCCACGTCGGGTACCGGACCTATCGATCAAGGCGAGTTTTTAAGTAAATATATGAAAAATCTTTTAAAGATGTCGCGATCCTGATGAGAGAATAGCCGATTCTCTAGGGGCCATAGGCTGGCCAGTTGTACAGGCTGGTGTTTCAACCATGCTTTGTATTGTAGTAATGCTCTTGGTGCCTTCCAATGTTGTTAGAATGTTTGCCAGGTTCTTAAACTTAAACAGATCATGTTCCAAAATATCCCTTTAAAGGACTAACATACTTGTTGTTTCCACGGGGTTGTTCCATGGCCTCTTCCTTCTTCCTATCATCATTCGCTCATTTGCATTTGGAGTGGGGGATTCTGTTAAGGAAACCGGAGAGGGTAATCTAAAAACAATGTCTGGAACGGATATTACACAAAATGCTTTAATGAATGCTGGGCATTCAAAGATTGCTAAAGTTGGACCTGTAGCTAATTTGAAGCCGGACAATGTTAAAAACAAAGAAGAATGCGAATTTCACAAATCTTATAATCAAAAATCAACTAATACTTCAAATGTGAAAGAATCATTAGTTAATAATGGGGAGAGAATCAGCCAGATCAACAAAGGGTCTGGTATGTTCATTAATTAAATTAATATTATTAATAAATTTTATTTCTGATTAAATTTATTTCTATTTACAATTAATTTATACAACTATTGAAATCTCATTTTTATCACATTTCTCTTTTATCCACAAAATTTGGCATGAGAGCAATAGATGCCAGGAATATCTTGTCGGCGTGTTCTTGCAGCTCTTCCCCAACCTCCCAATCCATAATTATAATAGTTATTATATCCTCCTGAAAATAAAAAATCCGTTTTTAATTCTAATTAATTATGTCTTAGATGTCAAGAGGGTTGCCCTTGTGGGCTTCAAGGGTGCCCATGCCTGCCTACTTTAAGGCCTGCCAGGAGAGATGCCTTAAATTGCCTCAAATATTTCCTATTGTACTATATTATCACTGTTTTTAGCTTACCATATCCATAGTAGTTATTATAATAAGGAGGGTATCCACCTCCAAAGCTGTTGTAGTACCCAAATGGAAGGTATTGAGCCGAGCAATCTTGTAGCGAAAAGATCAATGTAAAGACTAAAATTCTGCCCAGAAAAAGTGATTTAGACTGATTCATTTGATAGAAGATATTAAGGATTATTTGCTGTTTTTCTGATTGTAAATAATTTAAAAATTCCCGCACTTAAATAGCTTTTGGATTGATCCCAGATTGATCCCGCTATTTGGTTTTTGATTTAATAATTAAAATATTAATTCTCGACCAGTCGGCGCCATTTGTGCCAAGGGCAGTTAGAAGAGGAATTTTATCAAGTAAAGGTAGTTGTGCTCCGGTTTTCCGTTTAAATTCCATTCCCTTAAATCTCCCACAATAAATCTCTTAATTTACTAATCACTAATTAAGTGTTCAGATTATTTTTAAGTGTAATAATCCGTCCCTTTCAGTCGACCCATTTTAAAAAACTGACCTTCAAAATTTGGCGACTGTCAGGTGCCACCCTCATTATTTATACGTAATTACTAAAACATTCTTTGTGTGGATCTTTTAAATTTATTTTATAATTTACTACATTGTCAACTATTTTTTCTGTTGCGATTAAAAATTAGTACATTATTACAATAAATAATTACATAATTTCATTATTACCTACATTGTTTAAATGATTAAATAATTAAATAATTATAATTAAATAATTAATTATTCTATGTTAAATAATTACTACTTCGTACGAAAAAAAATAAAAAAAATATTTTTATGACAGATGAATCATCTTCACAATCCATAGAAGTATCAAGCTCTAATCCTAACGATACAGTTAAAAATAATGGAACAACAACCCTTAACTCGGAAATACCTTCTAACAATTTAAATATAGAAATGAAAAACATCGAACAAGCTATTTTTAATAATCAGATGAGGAACGAGGCAAAATTTTTTCAGAAATTTTTTCTTATCTTTAAATTATATTTAGGCACCGAACAATTCATTATTCAACGAGAGTAGATAGCAGAATCAACAATATCTATCAATCTAGTAACAGAATATTTTTAAAATTGAGTTATATTTTTATGTGCCAACAATTTTCTTAAATTATTTTAAATTAATTTTAATTATCAAATTATAATAAACTATTTAAAATTTAAAAAAATACACAAAAAATAAAATTTACTTCCATCCATTGCCTTAAAATTAGCTTTATTTTATCCATGTTTATTTAAAAACAAGCATCATTAAATAGCTACTTTTTCGCTAATTGACTTCCGGACTAGTCCAAAATAACTTTCGTGCCATCCTTAGCTTTATGGTGTTAAATGAGTTAAAATTTGCCGTTAAAGATGGCTAATATGTTTCTTTTTATCATGAAGCTTATTTGCATATATAAATTTTTCTATCCATTAAACACCCATTAAAATGTACAAACAATACCAATCAAAGGTAATTCTAGCTATTTTAAAGCCTTGTCTTAAATGTTTATTTAATCAGGAGCGTCATATCACCTCAAATAATCACCTTTCTCCTCGAGTACATATATCCAGTCATAAATCTAAGAGAAATAGTCTAACAAAAGCACCATCTAATTCGCCTTCTAACAGCGGATCTCAGCATTCTACTCAACAATTGCCTATTGAGCAAAAATCTTCTACAGACTACGACGATGATGCAGATACATTATCATCTGTAACCCTTCGAAACGAGGCAAGGGGTTCTTATTAAACTAAAATTTAAATTCGGGTGTTTAATCGGGCTAAGGTTCAAACTATGTCTCCTATTAGAGGGCATTTGATAATGATTAATTTATCCAATTAAAGTTACTCGCACCAAGGGCATCGGCAGAGGCTGACGATCAACTATCGAACTCAATCGGCGACTTTAGCGATGATCAACTCCTTGATGAAGAACCGACCAAGAATGAGGATAAGGAATATACTGGACGATACAATGAAAGTGATTATGTATATTTTGCGCAGATGCAATTGGCTAGAGCCCACTGGATGCAACTGCATAAAACAAATATGCAGGCAAAAATAGACTACTAGATAATCCCTGAATTAAATTTTTAAAGCTACCAATAATTGCTAGAACCTTCGCTCGTTTGCTTCAGCATCAGCCACATTTGCGTGTCCTATGGCCTTTCTCACGACAGCTTGAAGGAGGGGGATGTGCTTTACGTATGGAACATCTTCTAAAAAGCGAGGCATTTCGGTGATAATTGAGTTAAATAAGAAAATCTGGCAAGCTTTTTTTATTTAGACATCATTGTCAATGCTATCAGGCTTCATTTACAATGATTATGGATAATATAGATGATGAGCCAGCCCTAAGTCATATTCTCCAACAATTTGGATCTAATCATTTTTTCTATGATTGTATTGAGCCTCACATTCGAGTAGTATTTAAAATCAAATTTTGATCAGTCAAATTAAGATGATGCGCGAAGAGTTTTTCAATGCACTTGTTGATTGCTTGATAGGAAGCAGCGAAGAGTTGGATGAGGATATAGCAGAAGATTGGGATGCGGTAAATAATAAATGGTTAAATATTAGAAATTATAACAACTCAGCTTTGGAGCAAAATAGAATCAAATATGAGATTTGGGCTGAAAGTTCAACGGCACAATTATTTGGCCCATTGTTTAACTTCTAGTGAAATGGAACTATTAAGAGCACAATGGTACCGTTTAGCTGGAGCTGGAAGTGGAATTGTTCAGCTTGCTACAAGCATAGGGGCAGCTGGAGCTGAGGCAATATTTGAAAGCTACAACTGATGAATTTTAAATTTAGCCATTTATAAACTCAATAATTTCTTTTGGAATGATCGAACATGATAATCAGTTGACTCGTTGTTCGTTCAGAGAGATGTTCGTTAATGCTTGTCGTGAACTTCTTCTGGCACGTTTTCTCGAATTACTCTGAAAATCTTCAAATTACAAATTAAGGCAATTGAGAAGGCAATTGCGCTATGGGAACCGAGCAGTGGATTCCTCCGTTTGTGTAATGAAATTGATGCCAAATGTCCTAATACGGATGAGTTAATTCATAGAGTTGGTGCTCCCTTGATAAGACGAGCATTTATTGAAGGTGACTCTTAGAAGCTTTGCTTATATCTCAGAAACTTTTAAAGCTCTAAACAAGGAACTGTTAATACTTCTAAATAGAGACCAGCCTTCACCAACAGTACATATATTGGAAGAAGGGGTTCCTATTGAAAACAAGAATGTTACGAAAAAATTTTCAGCTACGAATGCATCGATAATACACACATGGACTAAGGTTTATCGAGTAGTTGAGCAGGTGAGGATTAAAGAAGTTCGCATCAAGGATCTTTAGGATCTTACTTATCTTGTTAAGGCAAAATAATAGGATCTCTGTTAAGACTTGCCCTTATTAGAAGGGATTTACTTCGCCCATCCTTTTATCACAGGGATTGTACCCGGAATTAAGAGGTAAATTCCCTTATACCAGGCTATTTAACCTTTAATTTTCCTATTATTTACAGGCCATAATAGCTGACGAATTAACTAGAAGTGGCAGATTATAAAAAAGATGATAATATAACTAATTAAAATTTATTTTAAGAAGATATCAGAAATTGAATAATAATTAAAAATAATTTTGCTTAGATTTATCTCAAAGTTTTTATTTTGAAAATAAATTGCAACTTACTCCATTGTTTACCTAAAATTTTTTTCACCTTTCATTGTTCATTCTAATTTAAGCCCTAATCTGTTGCGGACGGTCCAACACCTATATATTAGCATCAAAGCTAACACATTTTTTCTTTGAAATTTTGTTGCTAATTTTAGTGAGCTAAAAAATTTTTGATGTAAATGCTCAGAGAATGTAGAAAAAGTAAAACTCTAAGTGAAAATATATAAAGATATTTGAAAGTAAAAAGATCTAAGACCGACTTTAAACAATGAACAGCTCTCTATAAAGATGGCTATAATAGTGTTTTGGTCATCTTTGTTTACCTCTCCCGCTCAGTCGCGCACTGAGCCTATAAACAGCTGCCGCTAAAGGGGAAAGGTCCTTTTTTTTCTCCAATATATGCTTCTCGCTTTGTTTTCGGAGAACACAAGAGTGAAGTGGACAGCCATTCCTAGGCCATTTTTTAAAGAACAACAACTGACTTTTGAAAAAACCGATGAGTGAATTGCTTTTTTACTCAAATACTAATTCATCTTCTTTATTTTAATTTAACCCCGGACTATGTCCATTCACCTTTGATTTTTATTTTTTTCGTAAAAATTGAACAGGAAAGAAAATATTATTTTCAAATTTCCAGTGGAATGGGATTCAATTTGTCAGCAAAAAAAGAAATTTTGCTTTATTCAAATTTATATTTTCTATTTTCATTGTTGATAGCTTTTATGGAAGGTATAAAAATTGAGAAGGAAATCCCGAGGGATATTGGGAAGGATATTAAGAGCAAGCAATCATTTAATAATAAAAAATTGAATGAGCAACAGCAGGACACGATTCAGGTGATTAAAAATTTTTATAATATTACAACATCTTCGTTAGTTCTACGATTTAAATGTCCCTTCATATGAAACTGTCCTAACTCCAACGGATTTTGAGTTGGCCATGGAACTAGATGATAGCCCTAATGAATCCGATTGGGATAGTGAAGCAATGTACAATTTGGATAAATTTGAAGGAGATATCGCTAATAAAGTAAATTTTGTACTTGAAAAAATCTTTTAAAATTATGAAAGATTAATGCTTCAACAGTTGCTTTATTCATTCGTGGAGCACCTGAGAAAGCTGACAGCAAAACTAATAAAGGCAGAATACAGTTAAATGCTATTCGGGATCGCCGACAGTTATGGAACAATGCAAGGATTCCGTATGCCCTCAGTAGTCAATATAGCAGTTATAGGTAGATAAAGCTTCTATTAGGGTTAAAATTCCCTGACTTACTCGGGGTCAGTGTAGCTAGATTTAATTTTTTCAAAATTTAGCCGATCAGTGATAGCTTCAGCTATGCAAGAATACGGTATGTACATTTGACTCCAATATGATCCTAACGATAAGATTCATAGCTAAACACACATGCATACAATGGACACCAAGAACCGCTATGGATCGAGATTATGTCTATATTGTGCCGGAAAGGGGCTGTTACTCCATGGCAAGTTGTAAAAATAAAAATAAATATTTAATAATTAATAATGACTGATTAGGTTGGTAGAACAACTGATAGGCAAATTCTTTCATTAGGAAATGGATGTATTCAAAAGGGCATAATAATTCAGTTTGTTTTGAATTAAAATTTCTCGAATAATACTTATTATGACAGCGAAATGATGCATGCCGTCGGCTTCTTTCACGAGCAGTCACGACCTGACAGGTGATAAATCAAGCAATTTCTATATCTTTTTATCAATAGAGACGATTTTATTGCTATCCTCTGGCATAATATTCTTCCTGGAATGCAGGGTTACTTTTAAAATGAAAATTCGCTAGAAATTTTGACGGATTTCAGGACAATTTGAAAAATATAGTCAAGCAACTATACAAACTTTAGGCAGTGATTATGACTATGGATCTATGTGAGACTTATCAGAATTGAAATTAATATTCTAAAAAATTTAAGAATGCATTACGGACCAAATGCCTTTACTAGAAATGGTTTACCTACAATAATGCCTCGAAGGCAGGCTGCTATTGGGCAGAGGGTCGGTTTTAGCAAGTTAGATGCGTGGAAAATTAATACACTGTAATAATATTCATTTGAATCTAATATCAAAATATTTTACAGTTATGACTGCCCTAATTATGGAGGGAGTTATGGAGGTGGAAATAGTCAGTCATCGACTACTTCATCTGTATTTCCACAACCTCAACCAGTTGCATCAACATTAAGGCCTTTTGTTCCTACTACACCTAGAGTGAGGGTCGTTTATAGTCATCTCTTATACGGGGGGTATTTTATATAACTTGTTTTCCTAGTTATGCCGAAACACTCGTCCAGACTGTGATCTCTTAGCCAGTCAAGGTTGGTGCTCCCGTAACCCCCAATGGATGCGTGAACATTGTCCTGTCTCCTGTCGGATGTGCTTAATTCCAAATGTGGAGACAAGAAGGCCATCTCCACCACATTCTCTTCCATTCCCTTCTCCTCGACCTATTGTTCCTTTGACAAGTACAATAGTAAGTCTGAAGGATATTTAGAATCTCAATTTACATTTAACAGCCAACAACAACAAGTACCTTACCACCAATGCCTGTGTGCGAAGATTTACGAGTTGACTGTGCAGAATTAGCCAAACGGCGTTATTGCATAACTGCTCCCTCATTTACTAGAACTTTTTGTGCCCGATCCTGTGGCTTTTGTTTTGTTCCACTAGCTACTGATTCTCCAGCTTCGAGTCTCGGCGGAAATTCTTTAATTATATCTTCAAGTCAATCTCCTCCAACAACATTTACGCAAAGACCAATGGTCACTTTTTGGCCTTATAGGTGATTTTCAAAAATACCAAGCTCCTTATTAAGTTCAAAAATTTAAGACCTTCAAGTTCTAATGAAACAAAACCTCCATTATCCTCATCTTTATATTCAAAAGGAAAACCTCCCATGGGAAGTTGTAAGGACAGGAAACATTTTTGCAGTATATGGAAACATTCAGGATTTTGTCAAGGAGTATTTCAAGGATATATGAAAAAGAATTGCCCGGCAACTTGTGGATTTTGTTAATATTTTATATTTTAAAAAATACATAAATTAATTCTTATAAATATTTAAGAATAAGAATTTTCATAAAAAAGATTAAAAATTTATCTGATTAGTTAAAGTTAATAATACTACATTTACATAAATTTCTTAAAGGAAAATTGTAGAATTTAGAATGAAAAAGAACAGGAAAATCTATAAAATACCATTTCCGAAACAAAAATAGAAGCTAAAACAAGATTTAGAAAATGCCGTATTTATTCAAATAATTACCATGGGTATTAATAGAGATAATAATTAATAGAGGGGGGTAATTATGCTATTGCATAAAGGCTATCTATTTTTAAGGGGGTAATCAATTTTCACCCTCTGACCAGACGGAGTAATTAATAGGGATCGGGTAATTAGTTGCGTAAATACGGTAACAAAATTATAGTTTATAATTTAAATCCAATATAATGGAAATTGAATGTATATAGTTACAATTAGCAAAATTTTTTAGCATTAATAATCACATCCATGATCCAAAAAATTCAATCCTCATTTGGCTGCTTCTTTTTAGGAAAGTTGGTTCTCTTTGACTGTAACTTAAAATGTTTAAGTCTAATATCCGTATGTACATGTTAAAATAAACCTTTGGAGATAAAACACTCTCTCCATTATTTGGACCATTGCTACTACTTCCACCGTTTCTCTTTAGTATTTGTTCCGCATGCATTCTGGGTGGCAAAACTAACGGACGGGTTTCTCTAGTCATTAGTTGATTCCCATTATTTGCTCGAGTAATCCATCCATTAGCATTTATATTAGTCTCCTGATCACTTTCATCAGAGCTTTCATTTCTCTCAGCTTTTAATAAAAAATGATTTAAAAAAGGCACAAACAAACCTCGATGAAAAAGGTTCTCAAAACGATCTATTTGATTTCTAACAGTTGAATTACTGCTACTTGATTCGTTCACATGCTTTTTATTTTTATCATTATTTTTTATCTCGTGCGTAGGAATTTCATGAGCTAATGGTTTGCTTATAGTTTGCTCAACATTCCCTTTATTTTTAGACCCAATCTTAGGAATTTCCTCTGTTGTTGGTTCAGCTACATTCTCTTTTTTACTATATTCCGATAATAATGGCGATCCAGTTAGCTCTGATACATCCAAGCTTTTCTTTTTATTAATTTCTCGGAAAGATCTATTTTTAAAAATCAAGTCACTATCCATGTTTTCCTCATATGTTGGCAAACTTTTCATCTTATCCAAAGGAGGCTTAGAAGAACTCCCTAAATTTAAATCCAGAGGTTGACTAATCTCCTCTGAGGATGTGTCGAAGTTTGGATTTGCGGCGCTGATGTTCGAAGACGAGCTTTCATCCAAGTTTCTGGCTCCTTTTGGAAGCCTGTCCAAATATAAACGTGGATTGTTTTCTATAGGACGTGAAGCGATGATTAAGCTAGGATTGTTTTCTTCTACATAATTAATAGCCTGTTTAAATTTAAAAATATATTCTACAATTATACATATTACTAATACCTCTTCATTTTCAGTCGAAGCTGAAGAAGTATTCTTCTCCATAATTGATAATCGGGATTTAGCTTTAATTTTGAAAGATATTTCATTAATATAAGGGTTTCCACAAGTTGAAAAAATCAAGCCGGGGTTAGGTTTCGGGTCGGATCTTCAAAATTCGCCTCTGATCGCGGTCTGGGCCTCGGGCTGAGAAAAGTTAACCCATGACCTCCCTGATTTATATGTATCTCAATTTTAAATGGTTCGATCACCTCTTCTAAAAAAATTCTCTCCAAGCGGCATACATAGCGGTGAGCATTTAAAGCGAGCAGAGGTATCAATAGCACTTTCAGAGTTCGTTCTTCTTAATCCTGGAATATGTTCCTCGAGCGATCTAGTCCCTTGACTATTCTCTCCAGTTGACTTATTCTTCTTCAGGCTTGCATTAAGCTTATTATAATACTTTACAGCTTTATCTTTAGCATTCATATATTTAACAGAAATCGTTCTCTGAAGTGAATGAAATCTTTTAGGCTTAGTTTTCTTGTTTTTATTGGATTCATCCATAGTTTTAATATAATCCGCATAATCTTTTTTGGCCACTGGTAAAGATTTAGCCCTTCGATGTCCAGGGGAAACATAATTTACGAATGCTTTTTCTTTTTCTTTTCCTTTTCCTTTAGCTTTTTCTTTTTCCTTTAAAATAATATGTTGATTTATCTAGATTAGGGTTGGGCAGGATCGGGAGCCCGGTCGGGACCGGCTGGATTTTTTGAATCCCGATTTTGCTGATCCCAGACCCAAAGATAAATCCCGATCCAATTTTTAATGATTTTTAATGAGAATAGGGTAATTATTCCAAATCCCGATTTTATATAGGGATCCCGATCCCGCTCAACTCAAATTTAAATAATCCTTCGAGATTTCCCCACCTTTCTCTTGTTTTCAATTTCTTCAATACTAATTATCTCATCCTCATTTGTCGAAGCATAAGTTGAAGAACTTCCCGTCTTGATCAAGTTTTTGCCATGTTTTTGATTTGAACTCCCCTGGTTATCCATCCCGAAACATTCATTAAAAAACAACAAAAGAATTGTCAAAGCAAATAGTTTCATTATTTAAATTTTAAAAATATTTTACAATAAATAACACTGATTGAGCGTCTTAAATCTGCCTATATTTATTAGCCTGTTTAACATTAAAGGAGTAGCGACAATTCACACAGCCTTGCACTATTAAACACATGTGAAATTATTTTTAAAAAAGTAAATAGATTTCACAAGATTGTCGACGATAAATAAATTTCATAACAGATGTTGCCAAACAAAAGGGCATTTTAATTTAAAAAAGGAAAAGCATAAAGGTCAACGAGAGCAATGCAATTTAATTTCCCGACGCAGTGTAATAAGATGATGCAATAATTCCGCGTCGGATTTGAAAAATTGCACTTTTTTAAATCCTTATGAAGGATCTTGAGAATTAGTTAACTAACAAACTAAAAGAAAACAAGTGATAAAAATTATATTTTGTTGTAAGGCAAAGAATCAAGTAAATGTAGTGCAATTCCGGCAGCTTTAAATGAAATCAAAAATTTTTGAAATTATTCGTTTTTACATAAGATTAAGAAATATTGTAAATAATCAGTATGATCTAGCTACTTATTTGGCTGTAGCTAGAATTGCCGGCCATTCTATTTTTCAATCACCTTCCACTTCCACTACCACTTCCACTTCCACTTCCACTACCACTTCCACTTCACTTCCACTACCACTTCCACTACCACTTCCACTACCACTTCCAAATTTTTGAAATTATTCGTTTTTACATAAGATTAAGAAATATTGTAAATAATCAGTATGATCTAGCTACTTATTTGGCTGTAGCTAGAATTGCCGGCCATTCTATTTTTCAATCACCTTCCACTTCCACTTCCACTACCACTTCCACTTCCACTTCCACTACCACTTCCACTTCACTTCCACTACCACTTCCACTACCACTTCCACTACCACTTCCACTACCACTTCCACTACCACTTCCACTACCACTTCCACTTCACTTACACTTACACTTACACTCACACTTACACTTACACTTCCACTACCACTTCCACTTCACTTACACTACCACTTCCACTTCACTTACACTTCCACTTCCACTAAATTTTCTCGTTAAATGTAAATTTTGAACGTACTATATTATCAATTTATTTTTATACTAAACGCAAATTCACAGTAAAAAATTATCGAAATAGATTTAATCAACCCCTTTCAACCCCATAAATCAACTCGTTCAATTCTTAATCAATTTTTCCCTTTAAATAAATCCATTCTTCCAATCTATCTGATCAATTAAATCAGCTTTTTGTTCCCAATCCATATCAGCATCGTTTGAAATACCTTTTGTGGCTTTCTTTTTAACTGAAATTGGAAGGTTTTTTTTCATTATAAAAATAATAATAATAGACCTTCCTTACTTCCTCCTTGAATTTTCAATTTATTTTCTGTTTTATTATCCATAGCATTATGATTATTCAGCTTATTCATTTGTGGATTTATATTAACAAAATTTTTGATTGTACACTCCTCATCCCAAGCATTGTCCAGGTTTTTGGGAGAGTCACATTTTATATCTCCCTTTGTTTGTACAGCATTTTTCTTTCCGATTTTTAAGTCAAATCCAGAGTCAGCTTTCTGTTCCCAATCCAAATCCGAATCGTTAATGTTTGTTACTTTTTCCTTTTCTGCTTAAAATTTATTTTTTATTCATCATTATGGATTTTTAAAATCTACTAGTCAATTAAGAGCTCTCCCACAATTTTTTATTCCTAAATTTGTTAAACATACCTTTCTGTTTTAAATTCTCATTAAAAACACAATCTTCATTATCCCATTCACTATCAGGATCGCATTTTATTTTATCACTAATTTCGATATTTTTTAATTCTTTTCCCCAATCCATTCCATAATCTTCCTTATGTTCCCAATCAGATTCGTCTTCGCTATGTATTAAATGAACAGAATTGCCCTCGCTAAAAGTTTCCTTCTTTCCATCATGCTCTAATTGAGGCGAATTCGAAGAACTCGGTGAATTATTTGTTAATAAGATACCCTTAAAATAGGATTATTTTTATTTTTAATAAGCAAATTGCCTTATAATTTAGCTTAGACTTCTCTCCTTTCATTGCTTCACCTGTATTCGCCTCAAGTTTCGTAGGAAGTGAAGGCTTTAATTTAAATTTAATTATTAAATTTTAGTTAAAATTATTATTATACAAAAGCATCAGCATATCTTTCTGCTTTTGTTTCTATAACATTTTTGTTTCCGATTTTCAAGGCAAATCCACGATCTGCTTTCTTTTCCCAATCCAAATCCGGATCGTTTATTTCTGTTACTTTTTCTTCTTTTAAAATACATTCTTCATTATCCCATTCACTATCAGAATCGCATTTTATTTTATCACTAATCTTGAGATTTTTTAATTCTTTCCCCCAATCCATTCCAAAATCTTCTTTACGTTCCCAATCAGATTCGTCTTCGTTATGTATCAAAGGAATTTCCTTTTGAGTCAGGCTTACTTCTGCTTTAGGAATGAGCTCTTCTGTATTGTCAGAGGTGTTATCTTCAAGTATATAAATATTTTTAGGCTTTTTCTTCTTTTTTCCTCCAAAAGATTTTTTATTTTTAAGTGTTTTGCCACTTGTTTTTACCGTCTAATAAAAATATAAAAATATACTCTCATAATTTGGTATCTAATCCTTTATCCCACCCCTCATAAAGGATGGCATAAAGATAATTTAACTTTACATACCGTCCATTCAACCTCATTTGTTCCTTTACTGGAAGAACTGCCCTCTTTAGATGGTTCCTTCTTTTCATGTATCTCATGCTTTGATTGTGAGGAATGAACTTGGTGAATGTGCGATGAACTTGGTGAATTATTTGTTAATAAGATACCCTTAAAATAGGATTATTCTTATTTTTTAATAAGAAAATTGCCTTATAATTTAGCTTAGACTTCTCTCCTTTGATTGCTTCACCAGTATTCACCTCGAGTTTTGTAGGAAGTGAAGGCTTTAATTTAAATTTAATTATTAAATCTTAGTTAAAATCATTATTATACAAAAGCGTCAGCGTAACTTTGCTTCTTTACTTCTGTAATTGAAGCCCAGGTTCTGCATGCTTTATCTCTCACATTAGAGAAATCCTGGCATTTAATTTCATTTTCTTCTTCATTTTGTGTTGATTGAGGTACTTGAAGGTGTTTAGGGATAAATTCTTCCGCTAAATTTTTGTTTTAAGATTAAGCAAAATTTTAGGATTAAGCAAACCAAAAGGATTCAATTTTGAATGGGTTACTTTTGAAGTTCCTGTTTGAGTTTGAATACTTTTACCCTTATCGATAGTTTTATCTAGGGCATTTAACATGCATAAATTGAAGGAAATTTTGTTAAACAAAATAAATAATGCCAAATATTTGGCTTTAATTGGGTTAATAAATTGTTTTTTCATCAAAAAATATTTGAATAATTTTAATAAGGGTTTTTAGTTTTTATTTAGGATTATCTAAAGTACAACAGAATAATAAACTGTTGTTTTTATTATTTATGAAAAAACTCTCTGACTTTATATCACGTGAAGAAACGGAAATAAATATTACATTTTCAAAAACAACGCCCGGATTTATTAATCATAAGGTTAAGATGTCTAGCCATGAATCTAAACATAATTAACAGAAATATTTACTCATTCTGATGAAAAGGGCATCGGAAACGGACAGATTAAAGATGAATCTTTCATAATTTTTAGAGGAAGGGCTTTTTATGTTTACCTATATGCACTTTAATAAAAAAATTAATGAATTAATTTTATTCGTTGCTATTTCAAAATAATGTGTGAAATTATAAGGAAGAATAAGTGCAATTTCCTGTAAAGTTAAATTCTTATGAAGAAAATCCTTCATTCGTCAAGGGTTTTTTCTGCAACCCAAGATTCACGGAGCTAGGAAACTTGACTTGTTGACTGCCAGGATTAGTCTCCACAATTGAGAATGAGCCAAATCCTGGAGAAATTAGGCCTCGTCCGAGGGCAGGAACTTGATTTGGTGTTTTAGGGATTGCTGGAGGAGTACAACTTGGAGTTCCTCTGAAACCGCAAGCATACTCATGGTACGCAATCTGAAAATATTTTGATGAAATTCTGCATGTTATACTCCCAAAAAAGAATCTGGAGACCTTTGGTCCAAGTCTGTAGCAACGATAAACCATTCCTTTCTCGACAACATCCTGTCCAATTGGTAAATCACGATTTTCGTTAATATAACAGCCTGTAACATCCATAATTCCTCCTTGGCATTGATAACGTAAATGATTGGTTAAGTAGACAGCACCTTCGGCATATTCTTTCCCAGCTTTTACACAACCTCCTGATCCTTTAGAATAATACTGGAGTGTATTACCCTTTGCTGGAAATTATCAAAGATATTTGAAATGAGATAATTTTAAATACTTTCACAGAAATGTAACGCTTTTCCCACTTGTTTTTGTTCTCCTACATTTAGCTTCTGGACTTGTCCATTATTATAGAAGTAGCATCCTTTATGAAAATTCTTTGAATAATTTTTTATTTTTATGGCATACCAACAACACTATATCCCTGATCACCGCAAACCACTCGCAGGTTGCCTAGCAAAATTTCTTCACCCACCCTGTATTCATTACTGCCAGTAGAACAACTACTAGCTATAAAATAATTTCATTCATATTTATAAAATTTAACAAAAAAATTCTGTCAATAGCCAAAAATAAGGGGAAAAGTTTATTAATTAATAGGTAGATAAAGGCTGTCGCCTATTAATCGATCTGTTATTATTCTATAACTTGATTGCCCAGCTGGTAAAACCAGTTTTTGATTTGTTATCAAAATATTTGTGAAGAATGTGTGAAAAAACACTCGACCTTGTGTATAGATAACTGAACCATTCGGGTATTTCATGCATTTATGCCAGTAGCCCTTGATATCTAATGTTTGACCCACAGGAATGCGAGCATTGTTTGTTCTATCAGAGCCAATACATGCTGTGATTTTGTTTATATTTAAAGAATATTTACCAAAATTATAAATTTATTTGGCCACCTGAAACCTCCTCCTGCCCATTTACACAGCGATATTTAAAGTGTTTATTCTGGCGTTCATATTCTACCCCTTCCGGGTGATTTACACCGTCTATATCAATACAACCCGAGCTTGCTCCTGTGAATTTTGCTGCATTTAACGGATTTCCTGAAAGGATATTGAGTGATAATGAAAATTCCGAGAGCACCGTTAGCATCGAAAAACTGCGAAGGTTTAGTCTCATATCGAACATTCTTTTGTCCAGAAAAGACATATTCTTTAAGGACCTGGTAGCGTGGTCCTAGACGTCTGTAACTTGATGACAACTCATGTTTTTGAGGTGCGGAGACGGTCAAAATAGGAAGGAGTGAAAGCAAAAGTGAGAGGAGAATCATAATTATTTGATTATTATAGGAACTAAAATATCAAACTCGAAAAAATAAAAGAGGATTTAAGTATGCTGATAAGGGAGCAGACAACGTCCCGCGAGCCCAACGGTCCGCCGAGCTATAACTAAGTTCAAAATTGTCGGATCTTGGACGGCATGGTATGGTTCGATGCGTCTCGACGAGCTGAACCAAACATACCGGAGCGTCCTGGATTTGAACCGCCCCATACCTGGGCTCGTGGTACGTTGGAGTGTACCCAACGATAGAATATTGGGAGATTATGACTAAATATTATCACTTAAATGGACATCGATAATCACTACAATAAGTGAAAATATATTAAGGGATAAGTGGGTTGGACCTTCATTGTTATGTGTAAAGTCTTAAACTATTTCTAGTTATGTTATTTATGAAATGATCTAAAAAAATTTTGGTTAACGCCCAAAATAATCAAGAAACAACAAAATAATTTAAAAAAGGAGTACTTATTTTTAACTTAATTTAGTGATTATTTATGATCTAGAGTATTTTTAGTTTAAAATGATCTAGTAAGTATTCATTTCCTTCTATTTTTATAAAAAAATTACAAAAAGTTCTTTAATTGTTATATACGTATCAGTGACGAAAGCAAAAAATGATCAAAAATATGTGTAAAAAATGGATCATTTAAAAAAATAATTATTAAAATTATAATGAAAATTCCGATGATTTTTTCAAGTTTTGAGAATGAAGTAAGAAATAGATAGGCATTATTATCCTCAAAGGGATACTAATTCAGGAATACTGATCTGATAAGGATAATTAGTAAATCATTCGAAACAGCATTAAAAACTGTATTTAAAAATTACAGGTTAAGATTTTTTCATCAACTTACTGTATGTCTACAATACGATCTTTAAGCATTATTATGTATTTTTTGGGAATTTGAAATTTCAAAAATTCATTTATCAGTGAATACTGATCTGATAAGGATAATTAGTATATCATTCGAAACAGCATTAAAAACTGTATCTAAAAATTACCGGTTAAGATTTTTTCATCAACTTACTGTAAGTCTACAATACGATCTTTAAGCACTATTATGTATTTTTTGGGAATTTGAAATTTCAAAAATTCATTTATCAGTGAATACTGATCTGATAAGGATAATTAGTATATCATTCGAAACAGCATTAAAAACTGTATTTAAAAATTACCGGTTAAGATTTTTTCAACAACATACTGTAAGTCTACAATACGATCTTTAAGCACTATTATGTATTTTTTGGGAATTTGAAATTTCAAAAATTCATTTATCAGTGAATACTGATCTGATAAGGATAATTAGTATATCATTCGAAACAGCATTAAAAACTGTATTTAAAAATTACCGGTTAAGATTTTTTCAACAACTTACTGTAAGTCTACAATACGATCTTTAAGCATTATTATGTATTTTTTGGGAATTTGAAATTTCAAAAATTCATTTATCAGTGAATACTGATCTGATAAGGATAATTAGTATATCATTCGAAACAGCATTAAAAACTGTATCTAAAAATTACCGGTTAAGATTTTTTCATCAACTTACTGTAAGTCTACAATACGATCTTTAAGCATTATTATGTATTTTTTGGGAATTTGAAATTTCAAAAATTCATTTATCAGTGAATACTGATCTGATAAGGATAATTAGTATATCATTCGAAACAGCATTAAAAACTGTATCTAAAAATTACCGGTTAAGATTTTTTCATCAACTTACTGTAAGTCTACAATACGATCTTTAAGCACTATTATGTATTTTTTGGGAATTTGAAATTTCAAAAATTCATTTATCAGTGAATACTGATCTGATAAGGATAATTAGTATATCATTCGAAACAGCATTAAAAACTGTATTTAAAAATTACCGGTTAAGATTTTTTCATCAACTTACTGTAAGTCTACAATACGATCTTTAAGCACTATTATGTATTTTTTGGGAATTTGAAATTTCAAAAATTCATTTATCAGTGAATACTGATCTGATAAGGATAATTAGTATATCATTCGAAACAGCATTAAAAACTGTATTTAAAAATTACCGGTTAAGATTTTTTCATCAACTTACTGTAAGTCTACAATACGATCTTTAAGCACTATTATGTATTTTTTGGGAATTTGAAATTTCAAAAATTCATTTATCAGTGAATACTGATCTGATAAGGATAATTAGTATATCATTCGAAACAGCATTAAAAACTGTATTTAAAAATTACCGGTTAAGATTTTTTCAACAACTTACTGTAAGTCTACAATACGATCTTTAAGCACTATTATGTATTTTTTGGGAATTTGAAATTTCAAAAATTCATTTATCAGTGAATACTGATCTGATAAGGATAATTAGTATATCATTCGAAACAGCATTAAAAACTGTATTTAAAAATTACCGGTTAAGATTTTTTCATCAACTTACTGTAAGTCTACAATACGATCTTTAAGCACTATTATGTATTTTTTGGGAATTCAGTTAAAAATATTACTAAGCCTCATAGACCAAATCTAGTTAGATCACTGTACAATTAGACGCTCCCAAATATTCCCTCTCTCTCTCTCTCTCTCTCTCTCTCTCTCTCTCTCTTTCCAAGCACATTTCTGAAGGAAAAAATTTTTTAGTATGATTATGAAGCTAAGACTTTGAACTACAAAAAATTATTCCATAAAAGGATCCTAATCCAACTCTAGAATGTAATATCAATCGTCTAACATAAGATGAGTTTAATTATGATTCACTGGCCAATTATACAAGTCCAGTTGTCCTTCTGTCCAATTGTCTTATTATCTATTGTACATATTCCAATTGTCATATACCCATTTTAAAAATACCCATTTTAACTTTTCTACTATGAAATTTTTTATTTTAACATCGGGAGTTTGAGTATCACAATTCATTCCCTAATTTTTCCGGTTCGGCATTTCGTTTTTAATACTAAAATTTAAAATTTTTAACAATTTTCAGAGTTGATTCACTCTAATTTTTACAAATTATTTACTCAATAAAAATGAATACTCAAAAGAAAGCATCAAATTTGGCAATTTCTCCAAAGACTGAGCATAAGAATAGACTGGCTTATCGGCAAAAGAAAATGGAAGAATTGAATAAATTAAAAGTTTATTAAATCCTTTAACTGAGTCATTCTATTGTAATTTTTTAGCAAAAGATCAAGCAGCTTGATGATGAGTTGGAAAAATGGGATAAAGCTGGGAAGGAGTGAAACTTTGATTTTTGATGACTTTGATAATTAAATAATGGTTTAGATTGCTCATTTTAATTTATTTCAAAAAATATTTTGACCAAAATAAATTTTTTAAAAATCTCAATTTTGAAATTAAAACGGTTTTTTAATTCAAATTTATGGGTATTCTCTATATGTATAAACTAGAACGAAAATTATAAATAATTTTATTCAAAATTTTCACAAGCCACAAAAGGCACAATTATTAAAAAATATAAGGCGGATATAAAAATAGTATAAGGCATTTAAATAAATTTTTTGAAAAAATATTTACAAAATGAAGGCACAATAAAATCATTATTGATGGTGAATGCTTCAAAAATTTAGAAGATATATAATTTTAAATTAAACAAATTTAAGTAAATTTTTTAACAAAATTAACTATTAGGGAAGGAATAACAAATAAAGCATGTAATTTTTTGATAAAATCTAAAATCTTTAAGCCTTAAAATATCTCGAGATTATTGTCTTTAGATTTTATCAATTATTTTGATAAGTATAAAAATTTGGTGGGCATTTGCGAACTGACAATTTCGAATCAGTAATGTCAGGGGCCAATTTACTTGTTTCGAACCAATTTACTTTTAAAATACTAATTAAATGTCAGATAAGAAAATAAATAAATGTCAGATAAGAAAAAATCCCTAGGATTTTGTATCACGGTAAACAATGAAAGGCATCTTAAATTAAGCAATTTAAAGTGATTGAAGTAATAAAATAAAGTTAATAATTAAATAGAATCTAAAAAATTAAAAAATAGAACGAGCTTTTTGAACACTAAAATTAGCTTTGTGTTTAAAAAGCTCGTTTTTTCCTAAATTTTTTGGCTTTATTTAAAATTTATTTGTTTAAATACACCTTATCAGTAACATTTGAATCCAAACTTCAATTGTCTTCATCATCCTCCTCTTCAATTTCCAATTTTAATTCGTTATCTGATTCAAATAATTCAATTCCTGATACATTATTATTTTCCTCATTTTGCTTTTCTTCCCTATCTTCCTTGTTTCTTATGTTTGAAGGTGGTGTTGATGATTTGTTCAGGTCTTTATCACATTGTTCTCCATTTTCCAAAAGTAATTTAGCGCGTTTTTTGCAGCCTACTGGAAACTCGTCAACATTTAAGCCCTCCACTTCATCGAAACAACAGCAACAGATTAACTAAAATTCAATTATTTTTAATAAGAACTAATATTCTTAGTACTGATAAAGAAAATATTTTTTCGGTCAAAATAAGAAAAATAGATAGTATCGCCAATAATGTGACAATACCGAAAATAATTTTTGACTTTAAAAGAATCATAGGTCATTCTTGAATTTACATATTTGGATTTTGGCTAATTCATTAAAATATCCCCTACCCTTTTTGGCGGGTGGTTCATGAAGCCATTCAATTTAGCTCTCCCATTTTCAGCAGAATTATTATTGCCATTCATTTTATCCTCAGTTGTATATCTCTTTAATCCCATTTCATTCATATTATCCGTCTGTGTTTGCACACTCACCAGTAATCCCTTTTGTGCCATTGGATTTAATTCCTCTTTTTCTTCCTTTATGGCTACCGTATTAGGGCATTTACTCATTTCATTCCCTATAAGTTCCATGGGTGTTGTTGGGGCCGGGGGCGAAGTTGAGACTGCAGCGGCCTTTGTAGAGAGTCTAAAATTTACTTAAAATTTTGATTCAATGAACCAAAAATACTTTTGAAGAATGCCATTCACACGAGCACCCTTCCTCTTTAAATTAATGCCTTCAGTGGCAGTAGTACTTCTAGCAACAGAATTTGTCAGTGGAGTGATTGCCCGCATTGGAGATGCTCCATTTGTTGTAGCTCGATTAGTGATGGAATTATTGTTTACTCTTGTTCGTTTTGAAGGGATTGGAAGGGTTGAATTATTGACAGCCTCTTGTAATTGTTGATTCTGTTGGCTTTGGTTCTGTGAAGCTTGGGCACTTCCAAGCATAGCAACAGCGTACAGGGCAGCTGCCAAAATTTCACTGGGCATAGTCATGTTAACTGATAAATTTGAAGGATATAAGTAATCAAGAGATTTTTTCTCAAGGACTGGACAGTCTTTATGTGTGTTTTAAAAATCCACCTGTTCCATAAGGATTAATGGATGATGATGATGCTTCTACCCCTTCAGTAAAGGTATTATTAAGTGCAGAAATTGAAGGCATTTCAAAATGTGAATTCTGATTCCAACTATTTTGTTGAGTGTTAGGCCCCATCGAGGAAAATAAAGAAGTGTCTAAACAATCAGAGCTAGACAAGCTGCTTCCAATTCCACTACTATTGTTGCTTCTACTTCCAATGGAAATGTTTGGAGAGAAAGGAGAATAAGATCCTGTTGATGTGCGATTATTTGGTGTAGATCTTTGGCGTGATGTACTTTGGGACGATTGTGGGAGGATAATTGAGGGAGTTGAAGTGGCAAGCTAGAAATTTGTGAATAATTCATTAGATATCCCTCAGTCTTACATTCTTAATTTGAGGCCCACTCTTGCTCACAGCAGCGGCTTTTGAACGAACGCTGGCACGTTTCACACTCTTCTTGGATCTATAAGGAAGTTGACCCAACACAAGTTCGCCTGATTCGGCAGATTTACGGGCAACTATTAATGACCTAAGAATTTGAATTTTAGTTAGTAATTTCTATTGTTTTAAGCTCACTTTTTCATGGATTCACGATTGCCAAAACTCAATCCTGGGCTAAGGAATTTAGTTGCTTCATCAATGAGAAGATTCAAATCTGTTGTTGGTTCAGAAATGGCAGCAAATATTAGTTGGCTCTATAAAACTTGATTTTAGGCTATTTTAAATGGATCAGTTTTCCACCTTAAAGTATTCCAACTCAGCCAGATCATGTTCAGTTTGATGGTTGTGCTCTCCCTTAGGAATGCCCTTAGTGTCACCTTCCCAAGTTTCTGCTCTCCCTTTGCACCAGCTCCTAGCTCCAGTCAATTTTTTGGCACAAACACATCTCCATGTCTTATTGTTAACACCATCCTGGAAAAATGAAATCTTAATTTCAAATTCAAAATTTTCTCTAAAGACACCTTCACATGATGAATATTGTACCGGTAACCACCAAGTATCAGCTTTTGATTTCCTAAATGGTTTATAACATGTATTTTTTAAACAATTTCAAAATTTCTAATATTTATATAAAGTAAATCCTTTAAAAACCACCCCTACGAGAGGATTGAAAAATAAAAGGACCTCTCCAACAGAGGGACACTAATAAAATCATGGGATACGGTAGGGTTGAAAAGTGGAAACACTTACAGTTCTACAGATTAGAGGATTTATGGTATCTCTTAAAAATTTAAAACAATTATTTGGTGTGAATTACCCTTAAATGAAGTAATAATTCGAGGCTGTTCAGGATTGTAATAATGGAATTCAAACATTTTAAGAAATAAATTAAAAGCCTGAAGTAAAGTTTAAATTTTTCAAAAATGATAATTAATAAAAATGCTTGAATGACGTAAATTATAAGAAATCAAGTAAATTATACATACGAATTTGTATTATCCAGACTTTAGTTACAAAAAATGGTAAAAATAATTGGTCAGTCGGTTATGTTCTGTAATTCAGCTGACTGCCTTTATGAAAAGTGCATTTTAACCTCTCTCAAAAGTTGTAGGATTTGGACTAAAATTTCGAAAAGACTTTTGTCCATTCTATTTTACCGATCGTGCGCAAGCTGACAAAAACTGCTAATGTTCTGTCACTCGCGTAAATAGTAGTTGGCCTCCTCCTCCTTGACGCCAAGTCATTCTCGGCGGTCACAAGTCTGTCCATCGATATGGGGTAATAAAGAAGGATAGAATGGAAAGGCTGGCAGGAATCAACAAAGACTGGTGGAAATGGAAAGCCGGTTGAGTAAAAAGGGAAATAATGAACAAGACTAAGTGTTTACAATGCGCAAAATTTTGCCGCGATCACATCGCCGCCATTCTTGTTTATCTCTTTTACTTATCCTTTGTCCTATCAACAAACAGTCAAAAGTGGGCAAAAATTTTTTCTTTTTTTTTCATTTGGCCTCTCCTTTTCACCTGTACGCCACTATACGATTGCCGCAAAAAGTTTTGGAAAGTAAATAACTAAATGTCGATATGAACAAGAGGTCTGTGACTGCCACAGTTGTTGGCTCTCTAGGCACACTCTAGTTGGGGAGAATGTGGGGGTGGTGGCAATGGGAGTGGAGTATGGCGGAATGTTCGTTCGCGGCGCGCCGGGCCGATTGGGGGTTGAGGGAAGGGAGATGACGGGATAGGCAAGTGTAGGCAAACGGTGGAACGGGACTGGTTGGAAAAGGAGAAAGGCAGTTAAGCAATGAGAGGAATAGGCAGGCAAAAGAAGAGAAAAACGGGTGGTGGAAAAGATGCGAGGGGCCATCACCGATATGTTGTAAGAGCTCCGTCGATGGGTTAAAAGGAATTAGAATTAAATCGGGTGGTGGCAGTAACGACGGCTGTGATGACGATGGCCTGAGAATGATGGCAATGACAATGATAGCGGCAATGGCAATATTTTGTAATGATTCTGCTGATGCAGTGTTTAGGCGATAAAAAAGTGGCGGAAGAGAGAAATTTGGCGAAGTGGTATGAGAGGGTTATTGGAGAGGGGTGGTGGTGGTAATGTGACGTTGGCAGGGCGGGAAAAATCATCACCGGTGGTCGCCATCACGGCCTCTCAAAAGCGATGGCGGAAGAAAAAAATGGCAAGAACGAGAGCAAGAGTGGCAAGAAATAACAAAAAGGGGGGTTGGTTGAACTGGACTGATGGCAGTGAATGACGGCTGAGAGATAATAGAAACAGAGGGGGAAAATAAAAAGGATGAGTATGAAGATCTATCGACGAAAAAAAGATAAACGCCGGCACAAATTGATTGGTGCCCGTCCGGCCCAACTCTTTATTTTATTCATTTTACTAAAAGCGCCTTTCGATTCGAATAACAAATAATAGTGACTATCGGTGAAGGCATCGGCCTTGGCCAGTATATTTTATGTATTGATCTAATAATCGTTTGAAAAAAAGAATGCCTTAGTTTTTAGTAGATATTAAACTTAAAATAGCTAATTTTAAAGGAATTGTGTATAAATAGATAGATAACAATTTTTAAAATTAAACTAAAAAAATACATACGTACCAGATGGGTGGAAATAAGATTGACGGTTCCGGATATCCGAAACAGAAAAAAGACCAGATAACCATCAATTATCGTTAGTATATCTGCTCCGGATAACTATAAATTCTCGGCTAGGAGATAAGTTCCGATTCTGGATGCCCGGAGATTACCCAGGAACTGCTTAATCTTAGTTGGGAATAAAAAATATTCATGTGTAAATTCAATAAATAAAAAAGAAAGTTTAAAGAATGAGAATTTATTGGAATTATTGTATTAAGTGATTATGAAAATTATTAAAACAATTAATTTAGGTCTATTTTTAGGGCAAATAACAAATAATGCCTTAATTGTGATAAAACAATGGAACACAAAATAATTTTTGTATTGTTTTATCTTGCCGGACTTAAGTCTGGGAGATGTGCCTGAGGGAAAATAGTAAGTTTTCTAGGTCTGCCAAAACATTTTTTTCTATAAAATGAATTAAATGAAAGGATAGGATAACCCTTGAGGAATGATGAAGGTTAATGTGAAAAAATTTGGCGCGTTTTAGGCATTTTAAACTTTTGAAGTGGTGTGGCTATAGAGGTGGAAAGATGGGTCGAAGGATTTATTTTTCCAGTCAACCGGTGCGCCAATGTTGAAAAAGAAATGAACACAACTTCAAAGGCCGAATGCAAACAATGAGTAGAGTCGGCCATGATTTGTCATTTTTGCCTTGAAATAAAGGTCAGTCACGCTGAGAATAAAATAAAAAAAGCCGATTTGATTTTGCCCGCACGTCCTGGCCACAGGCTCCTCCCTTCATTTTTCTTGCTAAATTTTTTTCTTACCCCAATATCTATCGGCGAAATTATGTACTCAAACGGTGAGTGAAATGCCCATTCTTTGTTCAATTTGCATTCACCTCTCTACGCCAGTCAAATAGTAGCGGTTTGTCGGGAGTTGTTGGCCCAACCTTTCTCAATGATTTAGAGAAGAGGCATCGCTCTCGTCTGTCATTTCTTTTGTCAGCGCCATCGGTAGACCAGTGCCTGTCTTTTTTCATCTAAAATGCTTTCTCGGTCGGCGAATCAGTCATGACAAAGGGAGAGAAGAGCGGAGCTATCGGCCAAATTGACAAAGGTGTGGCAGACCCGACTGAAAAGACTGTGCGGTAAAAATAGACAAAAGTAAAAAAAGTCGATGACAGCAAAAAATTTTTTTGAGAAAATGCGGCATAAAAAGACCGCACAAAGTAATTTTCTTGAAAACTTGAAGAAAAAAAATGAGAAAAATTGTGGGAAATCATTTTAAAAACGAGATATGTAATCGAGAGACGAATTGATCAATGACTGATCAAACAGAAAAGGGCAAGTTTAGGGGTATTATTTTTCTCTCATTTTGATTTTTTGTGTTTTTGAAAGTTTATTATAGTATAAATTATGAATAAAGCTAAAGGATAGCATGCCACTACAAAGGCATTCATTCCAAATTTCCTCAAAAGGATGTGTTCGCGCAAAAAGCTATGCGTGTGCAAGTGAGCGATAGATTCGCGCAAAACCTCCTTATTGATTGAATGAAGCCTCGGGCAAATCCTTTTTTGTGAGTTGCCGCCTTTTTACAATCTGGCTAATCGCAGCTCTTCACACGCCGAAATGGAAGGAGAGGGGAGTAGTTGAAAAAATTGGCGTTTTTGGAAGTTGGTGGTGGCTATTTTATGCTTCTAGGTTCTAGTTGTCCTCTTTTGATTCGACGTTTTCCTCTTAATGCATAATTGTGCCTTGTTTCCAGCCCAACTTTGAACAGCCAGCCGCCACCTATTTTTCCTTATTTTACACGTCGCTGTGGCAGGCAGGCCAAAATAATTTCTTTTTAGTGTTTTTGCTTCCCCCCCCCCCCCCCCCATACTTTTCCTTCTTTCCATCGCTTCATTCGCGATTTTAGGCGCGATCGGCGGCGGACGAAACGGGCAATAGGTGAGGAGAATGACTAAAATTGGGAAGAAGAAGAGTTGGCGAATATTTTGGATGGAGAAAATGTGCAATAACAAAGAATAAATTGGAATGAAAGGCACCGTGAACTGACTGAGAGTAGTTCTGCGTTTGGTTACACAAAAGGAGACATTGTCGTGTTGAGCAGGAATTTGCGCAGTGGCAATTGTAGTGAGTTGGCAGCTATTATTCTAACTTCCAGACCAGATATGGTTCGGCGGCATTGGCGCTGGTAGATCTCAATCTTCTTCACTTCAACGGCAATGCACACAATGCTTTATATTGTTTCCCGCACTCTCATTCTTCCACTTATATGCCTGCCAAAAAATCTCTCAAATGCGCCACAATTTAGCGCGCGACCCTGCTGATGTGGATTAGTTGCTGATGCGATGTGCCAGTAGCAACCAGTCCAGATATAATGGCGTTTTATGGAGAACAAAAGGACAAAGAATAAGCATTTTCTAAGTAAAATGTGAAGAATAAATGAAATTAACACAATAAGGAAGCAAAACAAGTTTCTGGAGTTATTTTAGGCTTAATATTTGGCATTAGATTAACTGTGAAAAATTGTGTAAATAAGAATTACTGTTTATCAATAAGATATGTAAGAAAAACTAAAAATTTTAATGCTTAGTAAAATATTCAGATAAGCTGATAAATGTTAAGAATAATTTTACCAATATTCTCAGCTAACTCTAAGTACAAATTAAACTAAAAACATAATCCTTTTCTTATCTCTTCTTATGCAAATGTTTCAGATTTGGAAAGTCCCGTACTACTACGCTGCTGCGGCACATTCAAACGAGATCGTGAACGCATCCTTGCCAAGCTATTCTCAGCTGTTTGAGCACGCTCTTCAGCATTATCAACTGAGAGTTGTATTTGTTTGTATTTTTGTAGATTTAAGCCGGCTTGTTCCTCCTAATTTTTTTAAAATAATTTTATTTTCATTATTTTTGCTAACCGTTTCCTCAAGCTGTTTCTTTTGATTTCGAATTTTGGCTTGAAGCTTATCAGCCAAATCGCAAAGCTTTTCATAATTCTTATGCTCCTCATCTGTCTGAAAAATAAATTGTTAACTAAAAAGCTTAGCTCAATTTACTTCAAATTGAAGCTCACGGACGCGACGCTCAGCTTTTGATGCATTTTTAGCAGTATCCGATTGTCTTCGTTGTTCATTCTCCAATTCACTCTCAACAGCTTTAAGCTGTACTTCTAACTTGGCAGCTAATTTTGGCCCAGCCTTCATGGCAGCCATCTCTGTCTCCTCTATGCGCATTTGCATGTCCTTAATTACAAGTTTAATTTTTGAGATCTTTGATAATTCTCTAAATTTCCAAGCAACCTTCACTTGGGTGTCCAACATTTTTTTCTGCCTTTCAACTAAATTTGATCGTTCCTGTTCAGAACGAAGCTCCTCCGCTAATTTAGCAGCTTCTATGGCTCCATTCTTTGCGCGTTCTTGCTGAGCAAGAACCTCACCACTAGCCTCATTCAAATCAGCACGGATTAGGGTTAATTCTTGTTCAAGTTTCTGTTTGGCCAATAATAAAGATTGGCTATCCGCTTGGGTCTCCGCGTTCTGTGTCTGGAGTTCGTTCAGTTCTCCCTCTAGTTGCTTCTTGAAACGCTGGGTCTATAAAAAATTCAAATTTTAATTTATGCGCTCTAAAGCTATTGTGAGTATTTGTACCGTTTCCAAAGCAAGGGACAATTCTTCATGTTCTTGTTTAAGAGACTGATAACGCTTTTCGGCAGTAAGGTATTTTTCTCGAAATTCATTGCGGCGGCGTTGATCCTCATCAATTTGGGCTTGTAATTCTTTGCATTGATCCCCATAACGGCGAATGTTTTTCTGAGCATCTTCATTAGCTCGGTTGGCGTGTTCCAGTGCCAACTCCAATTCCTAATAATGAAACTTTTTGTATCCTACAATTATTTTGCTAAATTTACGTTAACATCAGCTTCCAGCTTCTTTTTAACTCGTGCCAATTCAGCTTTTGCATTCGCCTCTTGCTCTAGTGACGTTTGTATTCCCTCGATCACACGTTGGTGTGCTTTACGAGTGTTTTCAAACTCTTCCTCCTTTTCCTGAATTCTCTTTTCTATTTCTGCACGAATTTGCGAAAGTTCGACCTATATTTTAGAACTACTTAATTTATTTTCGATATAAAACTTGTGTCCGAAGAACCCTTCCTTCCTCGGCCTCGAGCGCAGCTTCAGCCTCATCCAACGCATGTTGCAGCTCATCCTTCTCTCCTTCAAGTTGACGTTGGAATTTTTCCAATTCATTTACAGTACGTTGGCCATCAATTTGTTGTTCCTATCAAGTTAATTTTGGAATTCAAAATCTACGATTTCATAAGAATTGAAGATTACCTGAAGATCATGTACTTCTTGACTAAGCTGTTTATTCTCACGACGCAGTCCCTCAACTTGTTCCTGCAATGAGTCCTGGGTAGTTGCCAAACGATGTGCCTCTATAGCCTGCATACGAGCCTCTCGCTGAACAGCGTCTAATTCACTTTGCAAATCGTCTGATTGATGACGCCACTCTTCAACCTTTTGATAAAGATTTTATTAAGCATATCAGATTAATGACAGTAGCACCTGCTTCTCATGTGCCCTCTGGCGCTTTTCCAATTGATGAGCTTGTTGGGCGAGCGAATCCGCATCGGCTCTGGCACTGTCAGTTTCTGCACTAAGCCGTGCTCGCTGCTTTTCCATTGACTGAAGACGAGCATTAACTACATCTATCTCATTCTGCAACTCGGCAATTTCAGCCAATTGTTTCCTTCGTAAGTCATCTAATTCATCGTCTGAATGATCAAACGCAATTTTGATAAGGTAAAATTAAAGACCAGAAACGAGCGCTTCGCCCTCAAATTTGGATCGCCATTGTTGCGCTTCAGACTGTTCACGTGCAAGTTGTCTTAGCAAATTCGAACGGCTAGCAACTTCCTCTTCTAATGTCTCTCTAAAATTACCAAAATTGAAGAGTTTTTGAATTATTTAAAATCTCCTTATGAGCTCAAGATAAAATGATAAAATTATTCCACCTCAGTTGTTCTAGTTCATGATGCAAATTTTTAATATGCATGCTAAGTGCCTGCTTCTCACGTTGTTCTTCACCAGCAGCACGTTTAAGTTCTTCCGCTTGTGAGAAATATTGTGATTTGAGACGAGATGCTGTTGTCATTTTCGAATCAGCTTCCTCTAACTGACGTGCAAAATCTGTGCATTCAGTTTGTAAACGACCCTTTGTAAATTGAAGCTCCTAGAGGATAAATAATATCAGTTTTGGTCAATTTTTGATTTTACCTGTAATTGCCGACTCTGCTCATCCGTCTTAAGGCGCAACTCCAAAAGTTGACCTTCAAAGTTTTTAGACCTTCGTTCCATTTCCATTCTTTGTTTAGAATCATCATCAAGCTGGCCTTGTCCCGTTTCTAGTTGTCTTTGAAGAGCACTACGTTCTTTCTCCGAACGATTTTTTATTCGTTGTAGCTGATCAATTTGTTCAAGTAACTCGGCTAGACCAGATCCTCCTTTCTCTAAAATAACAGAAATGACCTTATCTGAGCCTCTTAGAGCACAAATCCAAAAACCTACTCTTTAATGCGGTAGCTTGTGAATCGAAGTTTAACTTTAGCTGGTCTATCTCGCGACGCAACTTGGCCAACTCAGCGTCCTTTTTCTTATTAGCCTCCGATTGAGCTTGTGTAGCCATCGTATGCTGATCCAATCGTTCTTGCAGCTCATCTGCTTCATATTGGCTATCATTCTTTGATCGTTCAGATCGGGCACGTGCCTGGCGTTCATTTTCCAGCTCACTTTCTAATTCTTTACAACGAGCATCCAGCTCCTTAATGTTAGGAAAACTAATCTTATTTGAATAAGTTGAATCACTTTAGCTTGTGATTGGACTTTAGCTGCCTGTGATTGTGCCTCCTCGAATCGTACAGAAAGGGCGAACATATCGGCCTCTTTGCGCTTCAGGCTAGCTTCCATATCCTGGCGTTGCTTTCCAATCTGTATTTTTAGGAAAAAGTCTTATAAACTATCGTGACTGATTATTCACCTCCTCAAGATTCTCTCTAGCAATTCGAGCTTCACCTTCCATTTTCCTTCGAGCCTTGTCAGCTTCAGCACGGTTCCGTTTCTCACGGTCCATCTCCTCTTCTACTGATTCCAAAGTCTGCTGTAATTTTTGTCGATGCGACTTTCCCTGAGAATTGCGCTCAGCTTCTGCTTGTAGATCTGCCTGGAGTTTAGCTGCCAGTTCCTGCTGTTGCTTACGCTCACGTGCCAATTTGTTAAGTGTGGCCTCTTGTTTGAGAGCCTCATCAGCTAATGTTCGCAGCTAAAATCGAAAAAGAGGATTTATTTGTGGGCTTGATAATGCCTGATTTTCTTTCGCATTTTTCTCAGCTTCAACTTTTCGCAGACCAACATCAAGATTTGAAATATTCTTACGAAGTGATTCACATTCTGCTTCTGTTTTCTTACGTAACTTTTGAAGTTCAATAGCCCTGCTCTCTTCTGATGCTAATTGCGAATTTACTTGTGTTGAATCATTTTCTAATTGCTCCTGAAATATTTACTTAATAGTAGAAATTATAAAAATAAAAACTGATCTACAGTATACCAATTTTCTCTCATTTAGGGTATTTATTTATAAATTAACCTTTTGCCTTTTAATCTTTGCCAATCTTCCCTTAAGTTCTTCCAGCCGATTAAGGGCTTGAGAAAGCATTACTAAGATAATTTGGCTGAATAAGAGGAATACTCGTAATTTTTAAATTTTGATCAGAAATAATTTCTCGTAATTTTCTTCATAATTTTTGGCGGAGGAGAAAGTAATAAGATATGTAAAGGTGGTTGTCAGTAAAAACAAGCTATTTTCGAACTTTAATTGCTCAATAAACTGCGTGAACAATTAGGCAAGAAAAATAGATCGGATTTCAGAAATTGATTGGCCATTCGCGCTCTTCAAGAGGCTGAGTAGACAATCAAATGCGTAAAGGACGTAAATTCGGATATACTTAATGATATTCGGCTAAAAAAACAAGTTAAATATTTACTCCCAAACTCTTCATAAAATAAACTATTATCCCACCTTAGCCGAACTCAGATTGTTCAACCGTTGCTGAACTTCCTGGCCTCGACTTGAAGACTTTTCAAGCTCTTTAGTCATTTCCTCTTTTTCTTCAAGAAGTTGTTTAGCTTCTTTTTCCAGCTTCTCGGTTAATTCCTTCTCTTTTTGCAATGATTCTTGTACACTTTTTAGTTGTTCCTCAACTTTTTCCATTGCTTGTTGTGCTTTACCTTTTACACAGAGTGGGCGAACCTTGCTAAAGTTGGAAAGAACTAACGATAAAAGAGAGATGCCTTACCCGTAAAGACGAAACCAGACCCAAGTACGAAGCTGAAGCCATGAGCGAACATTAAATTGAATAGTCCTAGTTTGAAATAAATCTCTTTAAGGAGGTAAGAATTTACCTATAGGCTAGGGCTTGTTTGCGAAGTTGCTCAAGTTGAATCTAAAGGGCAATAAGTATAAGGTTTATTTTGTAATGAGAGAAAATTACCAGAGAAGTATACCAACGGCATTGAGCTTGTAGCCCAGTGATTAATTGAGCTAATCTATTGTCGCGCAGATCCTCAACATGGGCCACAACACCGGCACGGAAAAATACCTTAAAAAGGCAGGAATAAGAAAAGGATAACGCTATAGAACCTTAGTCTTTCCAACTTTAAACTGATCCTCATTTAAGTCTCCCTGCTTGACCTTAAAAATGAAAATTCAGTCCATTCTCTTAAATTATAATGCCACAATTGATTAATTACCAATCGTGCAAGCATTGCTGCGGCACAAGCCTTTGGATCCTTTCCACGTGCTTCATTGGCTGCCAAAAGTGCATAGCGTTGCACAAAATCTGGCTATAAGATAAAATTGAAATGGAATTTCGTATCACAATTAAAACAGTTTAATTATGTATTAATGCACTCACATGGAAAGTACGATTTGGAAATCCTTTACGACAGATACGGATTCCTTCTAATACTCCATTGCCTGTTACAGATTAAAAATTATAACATTTTTCTAAAATAATTACATGTTAGTTGGTTAAGTACCAAAGAAGCATCTAAAAATAGGTAAAGAATTTTCCAAGAATTTTATGGTAAACCTATTAATCCACATTGCTTTTTCTCATTAGGAATGATACAACGAATGAAATGGGGATGTGTTTGGTTGAGCATCTAAATATTATTTTAGATTACATGCAGCTAAGGATCAATCATACGCTCATGAGGTTGTTTAATGACTCTCGGTAGATCATAGAGATAGTTTGGAAAGACGCGGCTTTTCCCTTCTTTTTGCTTGCTTTTTCACCTTCTGAAGCATACATAGAAATAAAATTAAGTCAAATTTCAATGGTATTCCCCACTTTTAGACTTTTCAGCAGCCTCCTCCTGTGTAGTATAATCAGCCCAAAGATTAACAAGTAGAGCATTATCAGCAGAAGATTTCAACACTCCAACCTTTAACAAATATTTTTATCAATCTGAAGAATTTCCTAACCAATGTATCGTTTAACGGGTCCTTATTTTTTTCTAACCAGGCTGTCACATTGTAACGCACTGAATAACATAAGTTTTATAAAGAATCTAATATGAGGTTCCTGAACCTGTTCCAGCATAGTGTCTCATGGCAAAATGAGCTTCTGCTTGTTTCCCTTTTGGGGGTTTAGGCTTTTCAAAGTTGGGATGTTTGCCCAAATGTTGTTCTACCAATTTTGCTGCAAGTGTTTGATCTGAAGCCTTTGGCACTATACATTCCTCATCCAGCATAGCGATTATACCCATTGGCTAATATTTTTTATGATAATTAGTAAAAAAGATAAAAGTTAAAAAAAAGTTAAATATAAAGAAAAAAAGTTAAATATAACGAAAAAACTCCGCTTATTTAAAATCTTCCTGTGGAACTTTTATCTTCCAATAATTAAATATATCCACCTTCTCAATAAGCTCAATACAAGCTTGAAGATCTAGACCAAAGTCTATGAATGTCCACTGAATGCCCTCACGAGCATATTCTTCTTGTTCAAGTACAAACATGTGATGGTTGAAAAATTGTTGAAGTTTTTCATTCACAAAGTTGATCCAGAGCTGTTCAAAGCTGTTAAAATCAAAGATTTCGAAGCCAGCAATATCCAATACGCCGATAAAAAAGTCTTTCTTCGTTCCTTCTTTTGCCAAGGTTACATTACACTTTTGAACTAGCCAGTTGAAAATACGCGTATAAAGGCCTTTAGACATAGCTCCAACTGACCAAGCGACCTGTATTTTTGTAAGCTTAATTTGCCAGATTTCCTAATCACCTGTTCCATGTTTTGACCTTTATTTACCCACTCGGTGCCAACTTTGACACGAGGTTTCAGTAAGGCTTTAAGGAATTCTTCAGACTCAACTCCATACATTTTCGAAGCGTTTACTGCATCCTCAGTGCCATCAGTTTCTGCTTGTTCCTCTCTTGGTCGTTGTTTGAATTTCATCTGAATTTTTGATTAATTCTTCTTACTATTAAATTGTTAAAGTTCACAAACATTTCCCATATGAACTATTCCAGCAACTAGACGATAAACATGTTTAATCTCATCATCTGAAAAGTTGAGTACATGAAAGGCTTCATGGGTAAGTTGGTGCTCCTCCTGATCATTAACTCCATCAATAGTCAATTCAGCTTGAGCAATAAAATAATAATCCTTTACTGGCTTAGTTAGCATCAACTCTTTTGTTAATTCAGGCAAATGCCCAGATAATATCTAAAAAAATAATTGACATGTTTAATTTTCCTGACTTGATAAAAAATGTGATAACAACGTTCGCCTGGTGCTTGTCTGATAACTCTAGATTTTTCTAACAAATCTGAAAATATGATAAATAAACTCATTAAAGCTAAATTAATTTACAATGTTCGATGTCACAAGAAGCCAGTCTGCCTGATTTGTTGAAGTGAATTCGAATGAATTTACCTTAATTTTTGTAAATTAAAGTTAACAAGATGGTTAGTTAGCTAAGTAACTAACCAAAACGAGAGGAATTATTATTTCTAACAGTTTTTGCATTTCCAAATGCTTCTAATACAGGATTAGTTTGAACTATTTGATCCTCTAGAGTGGGGCCTGTAGCACCACCAGCATTTTGCGCCTGAGAGGCACCAACAGAAGCAAAATAAGCTATAACCTTTAGAGATAGGAGTGATTATTTCAAAAATATTTTCTTCTTTGAGAAGCACCTTTTTAGTATTTTCAGTTTTACCGGCGCCAGATTCGCCGGTGATAAGCATAGATTGATTCTCGTGATTCTGAAGCATGTTTCGATAGGCCTCGTCTGAGACAGCAAACTAAATAGTAGGGGAAATATTAATAATTTAATGTTATTATCACCAAATGTGGAGGCATTTCAGTTCGACGTTTGCCCATATACATTCGAGCTACAGAATCTGTGTAGATTGGCAGCCGTTTGTACGGATTAATTACAACACAGAAGAGTCCAGAATAAGTCTGTCACGTGGAAATTATTAAATTTTAGTATAAAAAATTAAAAATTTACATATATAAGCATGCAGCTGTAACGAGCTCGCAAATCATGCAAAACAGAGGCATCATTTAAAAATGTTAGATTAGACATGTCTTCCTATTTAATGCATTTTAATTTGATTGAATTACTAAATATTTTTTACTGTTTTTTCGAATTTTGGAGGATTCATTTCCTGTATTTCCTCAGGCTTTACACTTTTCTCTGTCCCATTAGCCAATTTAACCGTTGTTTTATCCTTTCCGGCTGAAACTATTTCAGCAGCTACATATCCCTCCTCAGGATCTGGAATCCAGCAATTTTTCTTACTGTCATAGGGCTTTGATTGATCCTTTATATGGAGAAAAAAAATAATAATTTTTTCTATTCTTCGTTTAAATTTTAATACTTGAATCATCTGCTCGCGTGTTCGACGCAAATATTGCCATCCTGGGTCTTTCTCGTAATCCATAATAATTATTTTTAATAAATATTCCAATTTATGGATTAGATCTACGGTTTTCTATTAAGGCCTGATGAGGATCACAAAGCTTCAAGACGGATTCCTTTATTAGTTTTTTCAATAATTCAAGTCAATTTTTATTATTTCTAATAGTATGTATAACTAATTATGCACTATACAACTTTAGAAATTAGTATTTTATTTACTCAAAAAATTACTATTCTAGGTGGAATGGGAAGGAACACAAAGAGAAATTTTGTTCATTCTTAAGTGTATGGAGAAGAATAAGCTTTTCTCGATGTAAACGCAAAGCTTAAAAATGAGACTAAACAAACAAAAAGCGCAAAATGCGCGATGTCAATTACAAAATCCTTTAAGCGACTTATAAATCTAAAGCGATTTCGCTCTTTACTGATGAGATTTATTAAGGATACATCACAAAACTTCCTAAGTGTAAATAGACAAAAAATCTTGTTACTGTTTATTTTGCGGATATGAGGGGGTGGTAACATGTGAAGGAAGATGAAATAATATCTGAAAGTTTCCGGGTAAAATAAGAATTTTTTGTTAATTTTTTTGCAAGAATATTTACTAAAGAAAAAATTTTAAAAATGGAAATACAATTAAAGGATGAGTAAATAATAAAAATAATTTTATATTAAATGCGTAGAATAAAGTTGTAACAAATTAATACAAAAAATAAGTAAATAAACAGCACACGATAGTTGTTGACAGCCGGGATTGGAGCTGAGTTACACCCATCGGCGTAACAGCAACAAAATGTTGATTGTGTGTTTGTATTGTTTACACAAACTTAAAAAATAGTTTAAGAATATTAATTGAAAAAAATATATTTTACTTGGCACAACAGAAACTTGACTATTGGAATCGGCAGAGTTTATCTGAAACAAATTATTTTAGTTAATTATCTGTTACATTTTAGGAATAATTGAACACCAGTGTTGGGTATGCCTAAGGGAGCTGGCTCTGGAGCCGGAGCGAGTGTGTTGAACCCTAAAGCTGGAGGCAACAAATCCCAATATCCAGCACTGTTTAAAGTTCTTTTAGGTTAGTATTATAATATACTAAGTGATTAAAGTATAATTAAATTTATTACGTACTGTACAGTTTCCAGATGAGCAAGCACGTGTGATAAGATTTGACCTAAGATCAACTGATTTTGTGCAAGTAAGCATATTTGGCATAGGGCAATCCATTAAAGTTAAATTCAACGGGGCATTTAAATATTGAACACCTTGGTAACAACGTAGTGCGGAAGTGTAGTCAAAAATTACAAACAATAATGAAGGAAGAAAAATATGAAAAAATAAAAGTGGCGGCATCTTTCAAGATTAATTTCTAAATATTAAATTATGAACGATTATTAATAATATTTTGAGATACTATTGGATCATTTCCCCCACTTGTCAGCAGATGTCCGTAAATCTTTTTTCCCATTCCTTCTCATTTTTTTCAGCTTCTTTTACCCTTTGGAAGGAGAAAGAATGATAAAGAAAAATGGACAAAAGTTTGCGATCAGATGGTGAGGTAACCAGTGCTGGGCATGGAACCGGAGCCATAGTTTTGAAATGCCCGGAGCCAGGGCCAAGAATTTGAAAACCCCAGAGCAGAAGCCAAGATTTAAAAAAGATCGGAGCAGGAGCCAACAAATGCCCAATACCCAGCACTAGAGATAACCCAATAGTATACATTTGCATTAATCTTCTATAGATTTTCCTTAATCTTCTTGCAATTTAAAATTAAAATAAAAAATATAGAATTTTGACTTTTAAATTTTATAAAATTCCTGAATTAAATTATAAAATGTGCTGGACTGGTTTTATTGAAAAAAAGCCTTAGCAACCGTCCATAATTATACAAATTATAATAAAATTAATTAGGCAATAAAAAGGTTGAGGTAAAGTCAAACATTGCTTTCATGAACGTCGATGTTGGAGAGAGAGAATTGAGGGGGAAAAGCATGCTTAATGCTATACAAATCTCTTTATGGCTTCCTTCAGAGCTTAACTATAAATATACGCATTTATGTAGTTACTATATTTAGCAAATTTATTAAGCATATAATTTTAATGTATAGATTAAAATAACTACAACGAGCAAGGAATATTTATTTAAGCTCAAAATTTTTTTAATTTATCGACCATACTTTTTAAATAAATATCTATTTAGGTGGAGAAATTCGAGCTCAGTGTCAGAATTGTTTAGTTAACAAGGATTTTAAATTCCTTGACCTTGCCCTTTTATTTTTGCATGGTACTGGAAAGCAAGGAATACGTTGAGCAATTGGTGCTGCTCGAAATATAGGTGGTGCGGCAGCTGAAACTCCGACGGGAACGGGTAGCTTAATAAAAAAAGTACTTAATCTTTTGTTTTATTCGCTTTACAAACCGGAGGTTGTAAAGCCGCCTGTGCTGGCAAACATAAAGTTGATGCCATTGGGAGAAGGGGCGTTGCTAATGCTCGTGGCGGTAGAGAAGGAATAGGGGCAGCTGCAGCTATTCCTAACAAATATTTATGTTAACTTTCATTTTTAAATGTATTTATTTAAAAATATTTGTGTGAATCATCGAGAATTATTTATTATTTGCAACAAAATTTTAGTTAAATTTGTTTAGAATTATATACCAGGCGAAGGATATGCAGCAGCTGGCACAAAACTAGGTGGAGGATTGAAAAGAGGCGGTGGCAAAAGAGGTCTTGGAACAAGAGGGGCTGGCTGAATAACTGGAGCTGCTGACTGAATAACTGGAGCTACTGGCTGAATGACTGGAGCACAACCCAATGGGGCTGGTTGGATGAATGCTGGCATAGGCGGCGCTGCAACAGGAAGAAGTTGCCTTGCAGGAGCAGTTGCAAAATACCTCCCTGGATGCGTACATAAATTTTGAACTATCTTAAAATTTAGATTGGCAGTAATTTTTTAACTATGCAAAAACTAACGGCAAGTTGCCCCTTTGCATAATTTTCTATACAAAATAGTCTAAATTGAAATTAATTTTTCAATTAAACATATCATTTAAACTTTACATTATACATAGAATCCTCCTTGTGTTAAAATACAAGAAACAATTAAATATTGTTGTTGATATCATAATTAAAAATATGTTTGAATATTATAAATTATTGAGTGAAATGTTTCCAAAATTAGCTATATTATAAGCATAATAATATGATACAAACTTAGGACAATGGACAAGAAGTGTATTTGCATGAAAATAAATTTTAAACAAACTAGTTTGCTACTCAAAACATTAACAAATAGCCCAAGTAAAAGTTTGGGCAAACATTATGTACATATGATATTATATTGTTATAAGAACCTGTTATAAAATTAACTTAAGGTTTGCCGCTTTATTGTATGATGCAGTAAACTTATGTGGCGTTCTATCCAGCGAGAGTTTAAATTTTGAAATCTTTATTCTAATTTGATCCATAAGATGAGTATAATCCTCTAACAAATCTATATATTCCAGCTTCATCTTCCCGAAAAGCTAGAGATAGAGAAGCTGGAAGATCCTATAACAATACTACAGATAATAAAATTTATGTATCTAATCTGAAAACCCCTGTGAAAAATTTACAAAAATAAAATCGTATAGTTAACAACTTCTCCGTCATCAATTTTGCATCATTTTCTTTCATGCTGTTCAGGTTGGCATGGGAATTTTTCTTGACTTGATTGACGGCGATTGAGCAAACGCTCATCTGTTGGTGGAATCAAGTGCTGGAGTGCCAATAAATTATGCGCATCAGCACCGATTACAATTGATGGTGTTCTCGACATTTTATAGAAAACATTTCTGATAGAATTTTTTCTTTGTGGGAATGCTGGTGGGAATTGAGTAAGTGGGGCTGCTGGCTCAGAAATTTTTCGGCGAGATGGAGTTGCTGGAAAATTTGAAGGTATATGAAATGCTCAAAATAAAATTACAAGTTTCCTCATTATCTGCCAAAGAGCTCTGCCTTCGCATTCTGAACGATGGTGATTGTTCAGTGTCAAGGGGTTTAGGAATTATTTTTTGTGGTTGTCCAGTAATTGTGGGACAATTTGAATGATGTTTGAAACGATTATATTGTTTAAGTGAACACAAAGAATCGTCCATCTCTTCCAATGAACTTGCCGAATGAGACGAAGCATCCATTTCTCTCTCTTGTCTACCTTCATTTAATGCATTTGAACTGAACGATGAATCAGATCCAAAAGTTGAACTATTTTTAATTTTTGAATTTAATATTAGTTTGCAATAACTGACTCTGAAAGTCTCGTTTTTCTGGTCCCCGTTTCCGTCGTTGTTTTCATTCTTCCATCGCTATTGTCCGATGTGTCTAATGAGAAAGGTTGAGTGTACAACTATTTAATTTATATTACCATTATCAACAATAGTAGGCACATTGTCCAGATAAAGCTGGCTTCCTTTAAAACGAAGGACAGTATTTGAATGTGGCACATTGTTGGGATCATATATGGTATCTGCCATTCCGAAGTACCAATTAATTAAACGACCGGGTAGACAGAGCCCGAGTCGAAGAGATTGACGCCGTCTCGATTCAACGAAAAATTCACCTATCGCAACTAACTAGAATTTTTCACTATCATTGAGAATTGACTAAACTGATTAACTAACCAGGGCAAACAAAATTCCAGCGAATAACATGTAAAATACTCCTGAGGGATTTTTCAATGTTATCTAATCATAAGAATGAAACAGACCAAAGACTCGATGCAAGGATGAGTGAGAGTTGGCCCCGGGTAGAGGGCAGCCACCGCCGTAGCTCGCACCTTCCACAGCTTTATAAAAAGGAAATTTTAAGGAGATATATGTTAAAATTCCAACAATTTCTATATCTGTGTTCACCCTTCCACCATTTATTCTTTAATGCCTCTAAAATCGTGCGCTCTTGAAGCTGTAAAACAGCCTGTGTGAAAAGCATTGATAGGCTTCAAAATTTTATAAAGCTAATTGCCTGAGAAAATATATCACGTAATGGTGAGCCTTTAGGAAGAGCAATTCCATACCCCTTCGAGTCAAGAAGACCTCCTATTGTCTGAAGCTGACAATCTTCGCCAATCCTAATAAAGACAGGAAAATAAAATCATCGAAATTCATTAAAGCTTCATCTCTAACCAATATTCAAGCATAGTGCTTTCCATTAAATAGGCATAGTTTCCAGCCCTCACACGAGAAATTCCTTCTCGGCTGCTATTTACAAAAACACTTGGGCTTGTTGACTGCATTATAGACCACCTTAACATCTTTTAAAATATATCTTTGATAAAATCAAGCGACAAACATTCTTTCATAGATTGGTATTTTCGATTCACGAAAAAATTCCATTGTGCTCCCATTTGAAAGTGTGCCTAAAACCTACTAAAGTTTGTTTAAGTAACGTCCCTACCAAATTTTATTCTCTGTTGTGCAGCTAAATCAGCACTACCTTAACAATTAAAGATAGTTAAATAAAAATTTCCGAAACAACTTTCGACTGGAGTGCTCATCCGTTCGACTAAATGATAGATTAATTTGATAGGATATTAATAATTATTACCAGTTAAAAAGGCTGCAAGTTGTGCAGTATATGAACTTATTATAATTAGTGTGAAAAGCCACCTATAAAATTTGTTGGTATAATCAGTTAATTTATGATTAATACCAAATAACTGCGACTGTACGCGTTGCAGCTGCACGGGGGATAACATCACTCCCTTTAATTATTTTATTTGGAAATGAATTCATTTTGAAAGGACCTTGTTGCATCAGAGATCCAACAGCAAACCACAGACTATTCAAGAGCGAGAACTGATTCTTTCTTTGTTGACGTAAAAATTTATCAAATATATTGCTGGTTGTAGGTTGTTCACCAGATTTTGATGCAACTTTGCTTTGTAAAACTTGTGGATCATGTCTTCTGCTGCCGTCCCTTCGCCAACACTTTCTACGTTCATCTATTTTACCTACGTCGTCATACCTGAATGAATTTATTCATTCTTATTCATGAATATCAATTCTATTGCCATTCATAGGGTGAACATTTTGCAAGAAGCCACATTGTAGAAGCAACTCCGATATAAGCAATGCCTAGTGCCATCCAAACGGATAATGAAAGGGGTTCCTAATGAAACAAACATTATATTTTTTCTAGTCGAATTTTATTGCACCATAAATGTGAAGAAATTAGCGCCAGGCGCAGAAATCCTTTCTCCATCATCTGTGCCCATTCCTCTACGTAATAAAATGGCAATACCCAGATGCATGAAAGGCAGCGTAAAGTCTTTAACATTTGAATTTAATGGGGATATTTTTACAGAAAATTTCCCCACCAACAACTGATACACGGCTATAAGTAATGGTTAAAGCAGAAACAGAGAGATCTGCTTCATGTCTTTGTAATACCCCGATAATGCCATTCCAATGACCATATTCATCCTTAACATTAATATTCATGAACGAATATATTACTTTGAAAACTTCAACTCCATAAGCACCATCATCAACTTCAACCAGTTCATATGTAAAATTCAACAATTTAGCCATTTCCCGAAGCAGATCAATGCAGAATCCTTCATAAAGCGAATTATCGTCTTCTATTTCCTCGTTATTTATTTCTTCAAAAGATGGTTGCTGTTCACCAGATGGCCAGCCACGTTGTTGTTGAAAGATATTGAGATTGCCACTTTTTATCATTGTCTGCCTTCCTGGGCCTTTGGAATGTGATGAAAAGGAGGGTTGAAATTTTCGCATAACAAAAGGCTCTTCCTACGAATTTGGAATATTTTTAATAAATCCTGCTAACACAATACAAACAAGATAAACAACCGCTCTCAGTTTTTCTCCCCGAAGATCGGGTAATCCGCGTTCACCAATTTTAAAACGCCACTTGTTTCGTTCTTCATAACGATCATCGAACGTCCAACTTTTATTGATGTCGTTCCATTCACCAATCTATAAAATTATGCCAAAAAATTTAGCTCATGTCTCTATAATACTCCACATAAAAATTTAATTCACTACCTCACTGAAAGTCCCATTAGGCAATCGAGTTATTCCAGCAATTGAGTTATCTTTTCTGGTTCCTCCTACATCTTTTACTATATCAAATACACTGTGCTTAATCCCAAGCTTTCTAAGTTTTCTCATCTGTTCTAAAACAAGCATTCCATCAATCCATTGATCATCAGCGTCACAAAGCAACTGTTGAGTTCTTGGTTCAAGTTGGCGTTGCTGTAGAGCAACTAATGCCGAACCAATTATGCCAACAGCCTCCATTGCTAGACTAAGATCAAGCTTGAAACAAAAATATAAACATAATTTAGCTAATTTTTTAAGCAAGCTGCTTAAATTAATTTAATAAATTACTTTAATCAACGGTGTATGCCGTACAAACTGAAACCCTGTAATATTACAGTGAAATTCTGAACCAAGGAATTCTTCTAACAAACGTAGATCCTTTCAAAGTCATAGGATTAAATAATAATTTATATGTATAATCACCATATTGGAAATCAGATATGAATGTCTGCTCTCAGTCATGTTCAAACGACTGGCTTGTGTTAAAATTGAATGAACAGTGCCAAGATCATCCGTATGGATTAACTAAACATTGTTTTTACCTAAACCTGGTTAAAAGTCAACCATATTTGTGTGTCGTAGCTGTTCTCGAACATAATTCAAAAAGTTTAAATATCTATTTGCATGAGTCTCGGTTGGAAGTTGTATAAGTCTAAAAGTTACACGAGAACCAGAAGCAGATCTCCAAAGTCCAAAAATAGGTAAAAGATTAGCCAAATCTATATAGTAATTTCTTATTATCGATATATTACTGAACGTAACCATCCGGATGTTTGTAAACAATCGTAAACGAGTTCCACATCATTTTTAAAATAAGTTGAACCAGTGCACGACTTAAGATTCCAGCTTTAGGACCAATTTTTAGAACAAATTGGTTATCTTAAATTAAATTTTTCCTAATAAATTTTCGAATTATGCTTGGATTCTCCAGGATCCAGAAACAATTAAATACCTATATCATAGATAGGTATGTTATCGACAAGGCAAGGTAATCTCAAGCGTTTACACCTCAAATTTAATTCTTTCTTTTAAAAATAAGTAGAAAGACTTCATACATGCTCAAAAGAGTTCGGTAATCTGAAGATTCATGTTTATACACACTAGGTTGTCCACCCTGCATCCTTCCATTAAAGGGCAAATATAGTGCGACAATATTTCGTTGCGCAATATCACAGAAACGAATGTCGGCACTGTTTGTAACAACAAAAGAATTAAAACTTTAACCAAAAGGATCAAACATACTTTAATTTTGAATCCGAAGGATTAACTAAATCAAGTGAAAAGCCTAGTTCATTTGCATGCTTGGCATTCCACTCGTCAATAGCATGCCTAAATTTCCTCTTAGTTTAGAGCTTTTTTATTAAATTTTTTATTAGCAAATAAGGACAGGATTTATTTTTAACTAAAGAGACCTTAAATTTCTCCATTGTTGAGTTCCAACTCCATGTAGTATTCCTAATTTAAATCAATTGTAATTTTAAACCAAAATTACTTGCCAATATTAAAAATTTTTACAGGTGATTGGTGTGAATAAACAAATACACATATAATAAATACCCATAAATTTCCAATTTTTTGATAACAATTCATTCGATAAATATTAAGTTAAAAGGTAAGGAAAAGCCTAAAGAGTATGTAAAGTGTATTTGGATATTATTTCCTTGCTTTTCATTTGAATTTTTGCTACAGCTTTTATTTAAACGTTTGCCTTTTCCTTTACGGCACAAATTGTTTCCCTTGTGAATATACAAAGATGCCTGGAAAGGAACAAAAGGCACAAATCTGATTTAGGAAATAAAAGAAGATTAGGAAAATTTAGTTAAAATGAGTATACACTACTAAAAATTTAAAAGGGAATTTTTAAAAAATTTATAAAGCATAGGAAATTTAAAAAACTCTTACAAGCATGCTCTAATTAAAATTGCTTTATCCACACCCTTTTGTGAAAAATTAAAAATATCAAAAACGATTCAAATTTTACTATCAAAATATATGAGCAATTTTCAGTAAAATAAATAATAATTGTTTCTATAAATTTTCTACAAATAGCATCATTTAGAGGCAAGCAAGTTATATAAATCCGATCATTAAGATACTGTTATATATTTAAATCTGATCAGACTGATGATCTATTTAAAAAATAGAGTAAACTGCTAAAAAATTCTGCCTGATGATTCAGTGTCCTTTAATTGGAAAAAGTATCTCTTATTGGATCTGAAATCTTGAATATTAAAAAGTATTTGAGTAATCATGTAACTTTTGGATAAATTCATGTTAATCTTTCTGATCCAAAAAAGGGAAAATTGTTAAGCAGTTTACTTATCGGGTAAACAATGTTATCAAAAATAAAATTTTTATTAATTATCAAATATGTGACTAGAAAAGTGCAAATGAGGAAATAGAATAGTTAGTTTTGTATAAAAGGATTAGGAAAAATTTCGGTATACGACACAAACACCGATTATGTCGAATGATATGTCATTCGAAAAAGCTCGTCGAGCTGAGTCGAATGGTGCAAAAATTTTCGTGCGGACTCATAAATGGGCCGAGATACAGGGCTCGAAATGGTCAAAAACCATAGGGGGGACCAAGCACTTTTTTGGGGTGAAAAATTCGAAAATGCAAATAATACCTCATTCGAAAGAGCTCGACGAGCTGAGTCGAATGACACCAAAATCACCATGATTGAACAAGATTATACAAAGTTATAACACAAAAAACAAAAAACCTAAACCTATGGGTCGTCGGCGAGGCGCTTGTGCAAAACCCCGCGCTTCGCGCGGGGTTTTGCGGCACGCGCCTCGCGGGGAGTCTACGGGCACTGGGTCTGGGCTCGTAACATAAACCTATTCCTATCTCCCTTGCTCTAGACGTATTTGGGGCCTCCGTAGCAGCAAAAATCTCCACAGATGCCATAGGTAAGGAGCTTAAGTAAAAGATCATAACTTTGTCCAATCAAGTCGGATTTCGTTGATTTTGGTGTCATTCGACTCAGCTCGACGAGCTCTTTCGAACGAGGTATAATTTGCATTTTCGAATTTTTCACCCCAAAAAAGTGCTTGGTCCCCCCTGTGGTTTTTCGATTTTCGGGGGCTTATATCTCGGCCCATTTATGAGTCCGCACGAAAATTTTTTCACCATTCGACTCAACTCGACGAGCTCTTTCGAATGACATAACATTCGACTTAATCGGCGTCTGTGTCGTATACCGAAATTTTACCAAGGATTAATATGAATTATGGTTGAAGTGTGAAAAAAATGACGGTTCATACTTATACTCGTTGCAAGCGGCTAAATATCTATTAAAATTTTCTACAAAATAAATATCTTTACTATAAAATTTCTATACTATAATTCATTGGTTTATTCAATGATTTGGACGAGTTCACCTACTCTGTACGCTAAGTTTGGCCTCTGATTGGGCCGCCCCGTGTTGATTTCGAATTTGGCAAGTATATGTCCCCGCATTTCCTGGCGTAACCTTTTTGATTTCAAGTGAGACACGATTATCCTCTTGTGTTATCTAGAATTGAAAGGGTTACAATAGATAACAAATTTAGAAAGCAAACCAAATGGAAGCCTCCAGCAACAATCTGCTTTCCATTGAAGAGCCACTGAACGGTAGGCAGAGGATCACCGTCGATGTCGGCAATAAATTTCACATTCTCGCCTTAATAGAAAAATTTTAGACATTCAAATAAAGTTAAATACCCTGTCTAGCATTAATTGAGTTCAGAGGAATCAGGAATTGAGGCGATTTTGTTGCCCCGACAGGACCGGTTCCAAACTTTCCAGCTCCTCCTTGGATGGCAAATATTCCAGGTTTGCCACCAATCACTTTTCCGGATGCAGCTGAAATAGCTCAACATTAAGATATTAACATGTGATTTGGGGTACTTACGCTTGAGAACTAAATTAGCTACAGTGCTAGCGCGACCAACAGGATTAATAGCCTCGCATTTATATTCAGCAACGTCTTCTTGAGTTAATCCACTGATACGTAGCCAAGCATCTCCTTCAGCATTTCCAAAGTCAACACGATCGTTTCGCTTTATTGGTTCGTTGTTGCGAGACCAACGGATAGTTGGCTCTGGTTCACCAGTATACTTGGCCCTAAACTCAGAGTTTGCACCTTCTTGACCTAACACAGGTTTGATCGTATCTACGAAACGTGGTGCCTAAAAAAGAAATGCTTGAAAACTTCAAAATTAATTAAATACTTCTTGTTTTGGCCCTTTCTCAGCTTCAGAACCAGTTTTGGCCAAAATCAAATTTAATCGTGACTTGCATCGGCATTCACCTGCCGGGTTCTTTGCAACACATTCATAAACACCACCATCAGTTGGCAGAGCTTCAGTAATAGTCAGAGCTGTTTCAGACTCAGAATCGGCCTGTTGATAACGATCATCATTAGGCAATTGTTTGCCGTCCTTGAACCAGCTAATTGTAGGCCGTGGGGAACCAGTAATGTTACAACTAAGTTTAACAGTTTGGCCCTGCTGCACTCGTTGATCAGCCACTCTTTGTGTAAATTGAGGAGCCACACCACGGTAAGGAACAGCAGAAACAGTAAGACTAGCAGATGACTCACACTTGCCTGCAACGTTCTCCACACTAACAGAATATTCACCTGCGTGTGCCTCTTTCAGTTTACTCAAGTCAAGACGAGATTCGCCAGGCGTCGTGCGAATCTAAATTGAGTTTATCGAGATTTAATTAGTTCTATGGAGATGCCAATAGCCCTCACCTGGGTATCGAATGCTGAACGAATTTGCTTTCCATTCTTGAACCATTTAATAGTGCATGGTTCATCACCCGAATAGCTTATTGCAAATGAAGCTGAACGACCAATTTCTGCTTGAGCAGGTTGCAAAGTTTTAGTGAGTGTAGGTGAGGTTTTTTGACTTTGCGTTATCTTGGTTGGTTGTGGCTAAAAAAAGTATGAATATATCCAACGGACATTATTTTAACCCAAATAAACACACAGCAAATTTATCACAAAACACAATTTAGATTGAAGAAACTTCGGCAAAAAGAATCAACAGTAGTTGGTTTTTCTTATACCTGCTAGAAGGTTAAAAGTAGACATGTTAGTATACATTCAGAAAGTATTAGGAAAATAGTATCAGACCTTTTCGGGTAGTGGAGGGATGTGAACAATGCTAATTGCCGTTTTCTTTTGCTGAAATTAAATTCGAAATAAATAAATAAGCATTAAACAAACTAAGGCAATTTTTAAAATCAAAAATAATAAAGAAATAACTCAAAATTAAATTGTTATTAAGCAAAATTAAAGAATAAATGAAGCAAAACATACCTTACTCGGTACCGTACTCTTTTCAAATTCCCTACAAATATTACAATTTACAGAAATATTTCTAATAAGTTTATAGTCTAATCTTTAAAAAATTTAAAAGACTCACTCCTTAACAACAGGCGGAATGTCTTTAAGAGGTTTGTCAGCTCCCTCAACTTTTCCAAATTCAAGTGGTTTTGTCTCTTTTGGCTTGAATTTCTGCTTTATTTGTACTTGGTCTTTGTGTGGCACCTGAAATAATTTTTATTCTCATGTATTTTTGCAATCAGGAACGAGTAAACTAACAAATTTCTCAATCTCAGGTGCTGGTCCCTGTCTAGGTTGCGCTAATTTGGCTCGATCCTCCTCAATAGTGACATGGTCCATAGGAGGTAATTCAGCAGCTGGTTTTGGTTTAGCTCCACGCAATTTAACCTGATCGCGGTGGATAATATTTGGCTCGGGTTCTGGCTCTTCAAATTGCGTAAATCTAAAAGATAAATATTCATCAAGTCATAAGATCACAGAAAAAGCCACCTTCCTGCAGGTTCTCCAAGTTTCTTTTGGCTCCAGTCAGGCAATTGCTCAGCTTCTTTAGCTGGAGATTTTTCTGGCAATTCCCGCAATGCTACAGTTTCTAATTTTTCAGTAACTGGTTGATATCGAGATACTTTTCCTGCTTTTAACTCAACTGGCTCTAATTCAAGTCCAGGAAATTCACGTTGAGGTTTTTCGACCTTAATAAAATGAGAAATGCTACTACTATGAAGCTTCTGGAGCTTTGATAACTAGTATGAATGAAACTATGATCTTACATAGGCTAATTTGTCATAGAATTGTTCATCCTTAGCTCGCGTAAACTTCTGGACCAATTCTTCAGTTTCCAGCGGTTCAATCGGCGCTTTTTGCAACTCCACTTTCGAAAGCTTCTGGAAATCTCCCTTCGGCGCTTTTTCAAAAGCTTTTCCCAATTGACCAAGAGTCTCCTCCTTCCATTGTTGTTCACGAGATTGTAATTCCTCAATAGTCTTTTGTTTTGATTGTTGGAGTTTATGTTGGCGGAAGTCCTGAATTTTAAAATGGTATAGACATGTAAAACGCATAAAACTGCACTTCATGTTGGAAAACATCCAAGCTTGCATTAGCATGTACTTCACCTTCAGAATTTCTGGCTATTACTTCAACAGTACCAGCATCACTAATTCTAGCATGCATTATAGTCATATAATGCACACCGTCAAAGCTAAGTTTGTAGCGGTGGCCCTTAAAAATTTTAAATTCTATATGCCTCTCATAACGAAATTTATTTACATCTAATGCTTGAACTCCATTCATATACCAGATCACTTTCGGCTTTGGATTTCCAGAGACAGCACATTCGAAACGAACAGGCATATTTTCAACTACTTGAGCATTACGAGGAGTGATTAAAAATTGAGGGCCTTGCTTTGCCCTCACTGCTGGTTGTTTTTGGCCACTTTCAGTCCAGTAAACATTCTTTTTAACGTCTTTAACACGTACACCTTGCGGCATTTGTGGTTGCGTTATTACATGTTGTTTGGCTGAGCATGCAAGCTTGGCTTTAAGCATTGCTTGACCGTGTTGATTCGTAGCAACACAAGTATATTCTCCGGTGTCCTATATAAATATAACTAGTATGTATCAAAGGTATAATTCCATATTTTTCATTCCCAAAAGAGTAATACATAACTCCTAATTTTATATTAATACATATATAAAAATCGTACATCAGGGAGTGCATACAAAAGGTCAAGGCAAACATAGCCAAAATCTAGAGTATTTCGGAAGCGAGTTCCAATTAACACTGGACGTCCATCCTTGAACCTACAATTAACGAAAAATCATTTTAGTTGGCAAAAAACTACAATATTAATAAAAATCCCACCATTCCACCTTCATATAAGGATCATTAATCGGTGCTAATTGAGTTTCAAATCTACAAAAGTCGCCTTCTTCTACACCGACATTGTTTAATTGGGATTTAAAAACTGGTGGCTGATCAGCAGAAGACACCCAAGCATCGTCTTGAGTAAGCATTAGTTGGGTACGTGTGTATTGAGCCATGTGATGCTCCAAATTTTCAACCATGTTTGAACCGGGTGCTTGAGGTGAGAAAATAAGGCCAGGCTTTGGTAAGACAACCAAATGTGTTTTGGTGCTTGCTTGGCCTTTATCATTAGTCACAATAAGTTGATAGTCCCCATTATCTTCTGGATATGCGTATAGAATGTCCAAAGTGACAAAACCAAACTCAAATATCTGCCTATAATGGAAAATTTTTATATATTTTTTGGATATATTAAAATAGTACTTATATCTATTTGCATCTCCCAAAGGCAATCCATCACGTAGCCATTGTATTTGCAATTTTGGATCATTTATTGGAGCAACTCTACATTCTAAATGAATAGATTCACCCTCAGCTGCATCAATGTTATCCACCAAAGGTTGTAAGATAGTTGGTTCATCAACTTGTATAATAGATTCTACTACAATACTGGCAGAAGTTTGAGCTTCGCCTTTATCACTTCGAGCAATGCAGCGATATTCCCCAGTATCTTGACTTATCAAATGTTTAATTAATAGTGTAATAACGCCGAAATCATTAGTTGTAACAATCTGCAAGTGAGAAGATTTGATAAGATTTGTATAAGAATACAGAATTTAACAAACCCTATTAGAATAAGGTACTGGATGACCATTATGTTGCCATTCGATACGCAAACTTGGATCGCCGATTGGCTCTAGAGCACAGATAAAAGCGTGAGATTGTGCCTCATCAATAGTGCCGGCATCTTGTAGCTGTTCTGTAAACCTTGGAGCTTCAAATTCTACAACAGGTGCAGCCAACTCAGCTTTCGGACGGCCAATCCAGTCTTCTAATTGTTCAATTCTCTCCTTACGTTCGCCTGGAGCAACCCACTCATAAGAAACGCCACTGTCACCAACCACCTGATTAAATAAAATATTTAGCCAAACACGGATAATAACACCTCAATTTCACATTGTATCTCAGCCTGTCCTTGCGCGTTTGTTGCCCGACAAAGCCATGTTCCATTGTCTTGTGGCTCTGCTGGGAACAATTCGAGAACAACAAATCCAAAATCATGGATTGTCTTCATTCTAGCAGTATTTCTTACAAGATCACCATTGTGGAACCACTCAATGATTAGATTTGGATCATCAATAGGCTCTAGTTTTGCGTCAAGGTGGGCAAGGGATCCTTCACTCAATTGGAGACTCTATAAAGATTTAATTTATCTTTGATTATTGCACTTAAGATTACGGTTAGTTGTGTTGTGAATCTTGGGGCCCCATGTTCTTTCTCTGGCTGTTCAATTATAAGCGGTGTTCTACTTTCCAGTTCGTTAATCTTTTGTTGTGCACCTGCTGCTATGGATGGTGGCAACTGTGGCTGATGTTCAATACCAGACTTTGGAGTCACGTTCAGTTTTGTAGTTGTTACAGCTTCACCCACAGCATTTATAGCTTTGCACATATACTCGCCTGAATCTTCTGGATAACAAGGATGAATTTCGAGCACGACGAATCCAAAATCAGCAATTGTTTTTACACGAGAACCAGTTAGAAGAGGTCGGCCATTGAGGAACCTAATATTTATTAAAACATATGCATCATAAACATTAACAAAATTTGTCCCACATGTCCCCACACCGCAAATCCCACGTATTTGGGCGATCACAGGATAAATTCTACAATAACAAACACGTACCATAGTATTTTTAACTGATTGTCATCCAAAGGTTCATAACGAGCAGTAAAGTGAGCTCTATCTCCTTGTTCACATTCAGTAGGTGCATTTAACGGAGAAACAAATACGGGCATTCGTTGTTCTCTTGGTAATTCTTCAGCGGGCAATTTGGGAAGTAATGAATCCTCCAATTCCTGTACTGCTTTAGCCTTTCCTTCACCCATAGATTGTAGTAAAAGCGATTCAGTTGGATTAACAGTCAAATCTACAGTTGTGCTAGCTTCCCCATTTTCATTTGAAATTTTAAGCATGTACTGTCCAGCATCATGAGCCAAAAGGTATAGAATGTCTAAAATTCCAAAACCAAAGTCTGATACAATTCTATGCCGATTTGAATGATAAATTGGTTGTCCATCCTTAAACCATTCAACTTTAAGCTTAGAATCGTTTGATGGTGTATAATGAGCCTCAAGATGAGCACTATCTCCTTCATTGAAATTATCTGGAGCACTTAATTGGACGGTAATCGAGGGTGCCGAAAATGTTGCTGGAGGTTGCTCCTCCGGCAAAGGTTTTGGAGCTTCTAATTCTTGAACTTTTGCGAAGCTAGATTCATTAATTGGGTCAAGTAAAAGTCGTTCTTTTGGAGAAACATTGAGTTGAACAGATGTTCTTGCTTCTCCTATGGAATTGCTAGCTACACATTCCCATGTACCACTATCACGTTGTTCGGCATCATTAATATTTAAAATAGCCCATCCAAAGTCAGAAATTAGTTTTAAACGAGAAGAAGAAGCTACTGGAGTTCCATTCATAAACCATTGAATTTTTAATTCATTATCATCAATAGGTTCTAAAGTTGTTTCGAAATGTACGGGCTGGCCTTCATAAACATCGCCAGGCGAAAGAATTGGCGAAGTGAATTTTGGCGCAACCTTAGGTTTTGGTTCTGCCTCAGGCAGTATTTCTTTCGGGGCTTCCAATTCCTAAAATTAAAATACCTCAAGATTAAACATAGAATGGGTTTTCTACCTGTATTCGTCGCCAACTTTCTTCATGCTGAACATCACCAATTATTGCTTCCTTAGGCTCACATTTTAATGTTGCTGATGTTATAGCTTCACCCTTGCTGTTTTGAACTAACAGTTGATATATCCCTTCGTCTTCGGGATATGTATAGCCAATAATTAAAGTACAATAACCAAAGTCATTGGAAATAGCATATTTAGAACCATGAACTAATGGAATTCCATTACGCACCCATTGAATTGTTATATTTGGATCATTATTTGGCAAAAATGCAGCTTCAAATCTAGAAACTTCACCCTCTTTACATTGAATATCTGCAATTTGTTTTTGGAAAACGGGAGCAGAAAATTCTTGCGGCGGGGGAGAGGCTTCTCTCTCACGTGGTGCTTCTAATTCCTGTATACGACGCCAACTTTCTTCATGTTGTGTGTTCAATAAAATGTCACCAACTCCGGCGACCTGTAAAGTGTAATTTAATCCAAGGATTTTAAAATAAAATTTTGAAGAATTTACCTTCACGGTTGCAGATGTAGCAGCCTCTCCTTCTGTGTTGACAATATGTAGAGTATATACGCCAGTGTGATCAGGATTAACACCATTAATATCTATCGCAGCCCATCCAAGATCATTTCTTGTTCGAATTAGTTGCGAAGCACCTAATGGCTGCCCATTAAACTCCCAAGAAACTTTGAGATCGTTATCTCGTGCTGGCTGGTAGGTGGCCTCTAGGCGAATAGGTGTTCCTTCCGATACTTCTACAGATTCAAGCTGTGTTAAGAATCTTGGTTTTTCTTTAATTTCTTGAATTTCAATTTCTTCAATAATTCTAGGCCTTTCCAATTCTTGAATACGTTCCCAACTGTTTGGATGTTGTGTGTCCTTGAGTATGGCTTCATACCCTGCGACTTTTACAGTTGCTGAGGTTGTAGCTTCTCCTTGTAAGTTATAAGCACGACATGAGTAGACACCAGAATCATGAGGAAGGACATGGATAATATAGAGGATGACTTCTCCAAAATTGAATTCCTATGAAAAATTTATTAAAAACAATGAAGGATCAGATTAATACCTGTCTGAATCTATTGGCATTCAATAATGGCACTCCATTAAGAAACCATTCTACATGTAGGTTTGGATCAGCCACAGGCTCAACATGACCAACTAACTGAACAATGCCTCCTTCAGTATCTACATCAATACTATCAAAGGTTTTAGTCCAAGTTGGCTTTCCAAATTCCAAATCAGGATACTCTAGTCGAGGGAATTTTTCCATGGCTTCCAATTCTTGAATACGCGCATAGCTTTGTGCATGTAACGGATCAAGCAATAGACGTTCATCTCCTGCTACCGTTAGAGAAGCATTTGTCATTGCAGCACCCTCTCGGTTGACTGCCTTGCAGGTGTAGACGCCAGCGTCATGAAGACCAACACTAACAATGCGAAGCCAAACATGACCGAATTCTTCGCCTATTGCATAACGATTGCTTTGCATTAAAGGCTGATCATTGCGGAACCTGCAAAGATTCAAAAGTTGGTGTTGATTAGAAAATTTTACCATTGGATTTGCATATTCGGGTCATTGATGGGAGTAACCTTAGCTTCAAACAGAACTAAAAAGCCATCTATTACATCAGCCTGACTCTGAAGTGGTTGAGTAAATTGAGGCTTTGGATATTGTATTGGTTCTGGCTCAGGTACTGGCTCTCTAGGCGCTTCAATTTCTTGTATACGGCGCCAACTTTCTTCATGTTGAACATCAAGTAAAAGAGAAGGTCTTCGTTTGCAATCCAAATGTGCTTCTGTGCTAGCCTCCCCTTGTTCGTTTACAGCTAGACAACGGTAATCGCCAACATCTTGTGGTAAAACATAATGAATATCCATAGTGACAAGTCCAAAATCATTTCGAAATGCAAAACGGTTTGAAGCTGCGAGAGGACGTCCATTATGGAACCATTGAATTTTCATTCGAGGGTCGGTAATTGGTACAACCTTAATAAAAAAGTAGTAATGATAGAGTTTAATGGTAGAAATTCGATTTTGGACTAAAAAATGCTCTTATGATGCTAAGAATAGTACCTGCGCTTCAAAATGAGCTGGCTGGCCTTCTACCAAATCTGTCTGATTATTTAGCTGTTGCGTAAACCGGGGCGGGCCGTGATCCATCTCCGGTGCCTCATCAGGTTTTTCCTTGGGAGCTTCCAACTCTTGTATTCTTTGCCAACTCTGTTCATGCTGTGTTTCCAACAGAAGACCAGAAATAGTTTGAACGCTTAACTGTCCTTCGACACGTGCTTCACCCAGTTCGTTTATGGCAACAGCCTAGAAATAGCCGCTATATTAGGTTATTCGAAAATATTTACAGTATAAGTTCCAGCATCATTAGCTACAGTATGTAACAGATCCAAAGCTACAAGTCCAAAATCATTAGTAAAAGCAAAACGGTTGCTGTCCGCTAAAGGCTGACCATCTTTTAACCAATGAATACGAAGCTGATTATCATTAACAGGAACAACACGTGTCTGAAAATGTGCCGGCTGACCTTCAATACGCTCTAAACTCTGAAGAGGTTCGATGAATTTGGGAGCTTCCATTGCTGGAGGTTCCATCTCCTCAGGTGCTGGTTTCGGTGCCTCTAACTCTTGAATTTTTTGCCAACTATTTTCATGTTGTGGATCCATGTATAAGCTCTAAGCAAATTCAAATTTTTAAAAATAAATTGCTATTATTCATAAGAACCCACTCCTTTCGCGGCAATTTGCAATGTAGTTTGAGACTGTGCCTCTCCCAGTTCATTCCTTACTACACATACATATTCACCTGAGTCATGTGCAAATGAGTAAAGAATATCAAGTGATACATATCCAAAATCATGTGTTTTACGAAAACGATGACCGTTGGGAAGTGATTGTCCGCAAAATAGCCATTCTACTGTAAGCTTATTGTCGTTTGTTGGTTCTATTTGTGCTTCCAAGTGAATTGGATCACCTTCCTTAAGGTTTATAATTATTAGTTAGTCCGCAAAACCTGCCCTAAAAATTCATTTAAAAATAACACCTGGAATTCAGGTAAACCACTAGGCAAAGGTTGCACAAATCGAGGAGCAACTATTTCTATTTCCGGCATTAAAATTTCAACTGGTTGTCGATTTTCCAATTCTTGTATTTGTTGCCAACTTTGTTCATGCTGAACATCCAAACGAAGAGCATCAGTTGGCTGACATTTAACTGTCGCAGCCGTTTGGGCTTCGCCAAATTCACTAACAGCTTTGCAAGTATACAAACCAGAATCTTCGCCATATACGGTAAGAATATCCAAAGTAACCAAATCAAGGTTTCTTGCTGGCATGAAACGATTTCCCTTTAAAAATTTATGACAGTCGTCTTATATCCGAAAATTTTTCTCTGATAAAGTATTTACGATCCAGTACTTATAATATTTATTGATAAATATTTGTACCTCAGGCAATGGCTGTCCATTGCATGTCCAAAACACCTAAAAATGGGATATATTAGTACGTTTATTTTAAATTTATTGAAATTATAACCTTTAATGTTGGATCGTTAACCGGTTGAAGTCTGCACTCTAAACGAACAGCATCACCTTCAACCAAGTCTTCAAAGTTTTGTAATGGAACAATAAAGCTTGGGCTTGAAAAATGTAGTTCGGGCGAAGGTTCTTTAACAGGTTGGAAATTTTCCATCTCCTACAATTACAATAATTTAGACACTTGTTGCAAAATATATTTACCTGAATTTTGGCCCAAGACTGTTCATGTTGCGAATCTAGATAAAGATTGCGCTTAGATCGGCATTCAATGGTAGTGCTAGACTCCGCTTCTCCAACATCATTAATAACGCGGCAAGTGTATGTTCCACTATCTTCTGCTAAAAGATGAGCAAACTCAAGAGCCGCATAGCCAAAATCGTGAATTGTACGAATACGTGAACTAAAAGCCAGTGGCTGCCCATTGAAAAACCATTCTATTCTAAGTTTTGGGTCGGTAACAGGCATCACGGTACACTGAATTTATTTGATAAATTTTCAATATTTTGTGGCTGACCTCTAAATGTAGTGGTTGGCCTTCAATTAAATCTTGAATTTGACCGTTTAGTTGTTGCGTAAATGAAGGAGCTTCAGGTGGAAGGTCTTCTTCTGTTGGCTCAGGTGGCCGGATTGCTTCTATTTCTTGGATGCGACGAAGGCTTTCAGGATGCTGGGTATCGTCAACAATGACGGCGGATCCCTCAAAATCAATGGAGGTTGATGTTTGTGCCTGCCCTGAAATCATTTTGCGTTCAATTATTTCTAGGTTTCTTCGAAATTGGAATTTCCTTACCAACGGCATTACTGACTACAAGTGTGTATTCACCAACGTCTTCAGCCAAAAGGAAATTAATGTCTAAAGCAACATAGCCAAAATCATTACTCAAATGGTGACGATTGCTATTTTGCATCGGTTGGCCATCATGAAACCACTCGATCTGTTTTATCATGATAATTTTTGCAAATAATAAAAGTTCCCACTATAATAGTATTATCATCAGTAGGTGTATACTGTGCATCAAAGTGTAAGGATTGCGTTTCAGCAGGTCCTCCTTCACTTGGACTTGTAACTGTTAGTTGTTTTACAATTTGTGGTGCTTGCTTTTCAGGCTCAGGTAGTTCGTCTGGTAATGGACGTGGTGCCTCAAGTTCTGCAATACGCTGCACAGAATCTGGATGGAAAGTATCCATCAATAATGCATCTTTACTTCCACAACGGATATCAGCACTAGTACTGCTTTCTTGTCCAGCTCCATTTCGAATTAGTAACGTATACGTGCCACTAAAATTTTCATTATAATAAATACTTTAAATTAGTTTTGACTATGCGGTTAATAATGGATCCTTGTCCATGGCTAAATGACTGATTTATCATGTTTAGTTTCCCTTATTAATAAATATTCCTCTATCAATTCAAATGTTTTTTAGAAATTTATACACCTGTCTTCAGGAATCATATAAAGAATGCTCAATGCCGCAAATCCAAAGTCTTGGCTAAGAACGAATCGATGAGCCTTCATTAACGGCTGTCCATTGAAAAACCATTCACAAACCAAGGTATTGTCATTGAGAGGACCGTATTGTGCTTCCAAATAGACATTTTCACCTTCACCTACCTCATTAGCAGACACGGTTAAAGGCTTGGAGAAGAAGGGCGCCTAAAATTTATAAATAGCAGTTGATCGCCATTTTTTGTAATACATATGTATTCTTGAATAATTTTCATTAATTTAGAAACCTGTGATTCAGGTTCAGGGACTTCAGCTGGTAAAGGCTTTGGGGCTTCAATCTCTTGTATTCTTGCATAACTGTCAGGATGCTGAGTCTCAGTATATATTAAACTCTTTGCTAAAATTATAAAAAATATGCGAAGATTTAGATAGTGTAAATAAGTCGACTCCGGGATAACGGCACCTGAAGTCATTATATCAGATACATACTATACAAACTATCATTACAGCGGGAATTGACTTATAAAATTTAAGGGTGTCAATAATTTATTTTACCTTTATTATCATCATTAATAGTTTTAAAGTTAAATTGTACATTTTTTGAAGATCTAAAAGACATCTCTCACTCAAATGCAAATATTTACTTAGCAAATTTAGATAATTTAAACTACATAATATTCAAAAATAGGTAATTTGCGCAATTTAAACAAAAATATTAAGTATTTTCTTTGTTTCGCTTGTTTATTAGCAAATAACTATATTAATGCTAGCCATAGTACTTACGTTGGCAAGTGAATTGTGTGCTTGTTTCAGTACGTCCAAGACTATTCTCTGCTACACATGTGTACTGGCCAGAATCTTCAGAGTACACATGCAAAATGTCAAGTGAAACAAAACCAAAGTCATAGAATGTGCGAAAACGATGTGCTAAAGATGGGATATACTAGTTTTACTCAACTCTCGGATAGTGAGATTTAGCTCTTGAATAGATAAGAATCAAATCATGAGTGAATAAGCATACCATGTGGCAATGGCTGTCCATTTCGGAGCCAATGAATCCTTAGTTGATTGTCTCCAACTGGTGCCACACTACACTCCTGAATTATCACATAATGTATTTATTCTTTCCAAAATATTTCAAAAAATGGTCCAAATTTAATATACGTATGGATAGGGCCAATGGTAATTAAAAGAGGGAGAGTAATTAATAAAAGTGATTACTTGAGAAATATACGATAACCAAATTTGCTGTTACCATTATAAAAATTAAATACCAAATGAAGGGGCTCTCCTTCTTCAATTTCACCCATATTGCCGTTTAGTGGTTGTACAAAATGTGGAGCTGTGGGTTCATAGTCAGGTATTTCAGTACGGATAAACTTTTGTAGATTCTCCAAATATTCAATTTTACCCAATGATTCCTCGTGTTGAGGAGATGATAAAATTGCGTCTTTGCCTAAAACAGAGACTTGACAACTGCGAGAATCCTAAAATTTTAACAATGTTATCAACAAACATCTTCTTTCAAGTTTAGACCTGTCCTTTTTCATTCGTTGCTCTAACAGTGTATGTTCCAGCATCTTCTGGGATAATTCCAAGTATAGTAAGTGTAATGAATCCAAAATCATTTTGAGAATGAATACGTGACCCAAAATATAAAGGTTGTTCATTTAATAACCATTCAACAATCATTGTAGGATCATTGACAGGAACAAGTTTGATTTCAAAACATAATTCATCTCCTTCAGTCAATTCAATATTTTGTAGATTTCCCAAGAATTTTGGTGGATTGTCGCATTCTCGGTCTGGGACTTGTTGTAAGCTAAAGTCTCTAGGCTGTTCCAACTCCTGGATTCTTTCTAAACCTTCAGGATGTAATGGATCCTGGAAAAGCGTCTGTTTTGTGTTGACCAATAATTCTACTGAACTTTGAGCCTGAAAATAGAATTGTTTTAATATGAATAATATTAAGGTACTGGTAAACCAAAAGTGCTAAGTCTACCTACGTAAAACGAAGATAGAAAACATAAAAATTATGCGTAAACATAATGCTTTAGAAATCGAAAAAACTCAAGATCCGAGTCTGATAATTATATATCTTGAACAAACTTCGCCAAGTTCATTACGTGCCACACAAGTATATGTACCACTATCCTCAGGGTAGGCATAAAGAATGTCAAGAGCAATATAGCCAAAGTCAAACATGGGTTTAAAGCGGTGTGCTGCTACAAGTGGCTGTCCATTAAATAGCCAATGAACGTTCATCCTAACATCATTTGCTGGTTGTACCCGACACTCAAAATGAACAGGCTGCTCCATATCTACTTCGACTTTTCCTTCCAGAGTCCGTGCAAATTTAGGAGATTCAAGACTTTGGAGCTCTTCAAGACGTTCAACAGGCATTGGTCCAATGTGTACCTTTGAAAAAGATGAGGTTTTTACTAAAGATAAAATTCTAAGCAGAATGTCTAAAAAACTATAATAATAAATTCACTCTATAATCTTCAAAGCCTTGAATAGTTGGAAGAGCACCTGCATGGAGTGGATCTAATTGTAAAGCTTCAGTACTGATCGTAGTAAGCTTTGCACTAAAAATTTTATTTAAAAATTTTTTATTTTAGTATCACCTATGGCTTGTCTCCCCCAAGGAGTTGCGTAATATGCAATTGTATACACCTTCATCCTCCGGATATGTTGGGTGAATACTCAACGAAACGAAGCCGAAATTGTTAACCTTTAAATATTAAGAATCAAGGCTAGATGAAATATCAAGGTTATAATTAGATATTCCAAACTTGATAAAATGACTCACAAGCTGAATACGATTAGCATTCGGCAGTGGTAATCCATCTTTTTCCCAAATTACTCGCAATGTCGGATCATTAACAGGTGCTATGCGTGCATCAAAGAACGAACGGCCCAATTCATCTTCACAGTGAAAATCTCTTGGGGGTTGTATAAATTTTGGGGCATGCATTTGACCAGCAGTCTGAGAGCTCTGAAAAATATATGTATAATCTATTTAAATCTCAATTTAATTTATAATTCAATGGCTAGAAACAATAATTATGCAAAGAAAAAAACACGAATTATGCATTCATCGTTCATCTACCTGTAATTCTCGCATATCCTCAACGTCTACTACAGCTGTTTCACTTTCAGCGAGGTAAATGCTGCCATCCATAAGAGGTACAACGACAACCTTAAAAAGGTTTAGGGCATTAAAAACAAATAATGTATAAACATATTGTCAATTTTGTCTCACCGTAGCTGATGTTTCAGCATCTCCAATCTCATTTTCGGCTTGGAAAACATAGAATCCTGCATCTTTTTCGCTAACTTCATCAATGGACAAAACAACAAACCCATTTTGATAAAAACATTTAACACGGTCACTTGGTTGGACTTGTGTACCATTAAGTAAAAAGTTGACCTCAAAAACCAAAGTACTCACGATAAAATACTTATTACAAAATTACTTTCATTGTTGGATCATTAATTGGAGTTAATTTTGTTTCTAAATGTAGAGGCTGCCCTGCAAAAAGTTCCTGAGATCTAAGTTCGACACGGAAGCTGGGTCGGTCTTTCCCAGGTGCTAGAGTTCGACTTGGCGGAGGTACAACTTGATCTTCTTGTTGTGGAAATGGTACGTGACTGAGAACTTCAATTATCGCACTTTGATTGGCCTAAGTTGAAAATTTTTAGCAATAATTTTGTTAAAAATCAGAAAGTTTATTACATATTAAATTTTTAAAAAACAAAATTAATTTTGGAATTAATTTGTTCAGATAGTAAAGGAAATATACTATTTCCTTTTAAAAAAGAAAATTTAAAAATAGCGAATATGAGGAGTCGTAGCTCAGTGGCAGAGCAATTGACTGCAGATCAATAGGTCACCGGTTCAAATCCGGTCGGCTCCTATTTTTTTCGTCGATTCTTATTAAAATAAAAAGCTAATTTTTTATTTTATGTAAGTCAAAAATCCTTTTTAAATTTTTTAATGTTACTTGAGTCAGTAAAATGAGTAAATTATGCATGTTTTTAGCCTAATGTAAATAGTTAACAAGACCGGATCAAATCCGGTCGGCTCCTATTCGTGAGTTTAAGTATTTAATCAACCTCTCCAAGCGTGTTGACAGCTATACACGTATATTCGCCATGGTCGAACACAGTTACAGGATTAATTTCAAGAACAGAATAGCCAAACTCATTGAGAATAGTTACACGTTGTGTAGCCACAACAGGTTTTCCATTTAATAGCCAAGCTACTTTTAAATTTGGATCATCCGTTGGTGAAAATTTACAGTCAAGCAATGCATGTTGACCCTCAACAAGAGTTTGGCTTTTTAAGGGGCTAGTGAATTTTGGTGGTTCCCTTGATGGAGGTTTTTGCTCTTCTCCTTCCTCCAAATGTGGGCGTTTTGCGTTCGTACTATAAATAAATTCGTTAATTGGAGTGGGTGGAGAGAATTGACCACAAGGCCACAACTCAACCAAATCCTTAAAATCTAGATTATATTTATACGTACAATTGTCTTGATCTATCTGTTCGTTTCAAAACAATGCGTTCTATTTGATCTGCACCGGGTGACGGTGATTGTAATTTATGCCGTGCAGTGACTGCCGAGGCTGTGCTTTTTTGTTGATTCTGTTGTTTTTTAATCTCATCAGCAAATTGTAAAGCAAACTGAGCCTATTTTTAGGATAATTAGTATAATTCAGGACATTAAAGACGTGTCTTTCAAACTCACTTGAAATGACCCTCCAGGATTGCTTGCAACACACGCATAAACACCCAGATCCTGCTCCTGAACCGAAAGAATAGTTAGCTTTGATTGACCGTCCTTTCCACCAGCAATCTGAAACTTTTTTGAATCAGCAGTCAATTTCTTCTGAGGTTGACTTAAGCTGGTCCAAGTAAGTTCCGGCACTGGTTGACCCGTAGCTTTTGCAGTGAAAACAGCTTTATCGCCAGGTTTAACTGCTAACGGCTTTGGCATCTCTACAAACTGAGGAGGTTTCACATTGCCGGAAACGCCGCCTGATGTATTTTGTTGCACAGCCGTTCCATTAGCCATTGGACCATTCTTTTGTACCTTATTAATGTAAGGAATAAAATTAATGTAAAGTATAAAAATTATTAATTTAAAGCATAAAAAAGTCTTATAAGGTCACATATTCTCTGTTGTCTAATACTATAATTCGTAATCCACGATAGAAATGAGATATTACTTTAGGGGGTGCCATTTTCTTTAATTTCCTCTCAAGTAGTCTATTTTGTTGTTGTAGAAAATATTCGACCTGTTCAGGCGGTTTTAAATAAGGATGGATTTTTGTTGGATAGCTTCCTTTTTTATCAGAGTATGAGTCGAAGAGCCACTGATTGATATCCCACTGGAACAGGGAAACTATTTTAGAAAGGAAAAAATATTACAATATTACATACCTCAGATGTAGCCTGAGACTTATGAGGTGAATGTATATGTTCTAAAGGCTGAGGATGGTCGGCCTGAAAGTGTTGAGGAGTATAATTCTGTTGAGGCTGTGTGATTATAGGTGGGCGGTATTGCTGGTTTTGTGGTGATTGTTGTGGTTTTTGTGGCTGTCGATCTATTCCAGTATTACGCTCGCTAATGTGATATTGTTCACGAGGCGGAGTACGTAAACGAAATTCTCTTAAAGTTGGTTCTTGTAGTTTATAATCAGGTTCTTGCCTTTGAAGATCGAATAAACGATTTTGATTTTGTCTCAGTTCTTTTTCCTTAAAATTTATTTTCAAAATGTATGATAGAATTTCCGAATTAATTAACTCAGAAATAAACTTCAAATTAAACAAAATTTAAATAAGTTCCTATCACTAAGATAGTCAACCATTTAATTTTAAAAATTTATCAAATCCATACTAAGGGCTGTTGAGACAATTGCCTGTTCGGTGAAGCAAATTTTGGTGCTTGACTTATTTGTTTGCCTAATTGCCTTTGTTGTTGTTGTCTAATATGAGTATTTGGTGAAACTATATGCTGGGGCAATTGTGAATGATTAAATCTTTCTTCTAGTTTATCAGAGTGTGATGTAAGATTTAGATTAGTTTGTGGAGTGATTATTTGATTGTTACTGCTCAATGGATAAACACCAACGCTTGCAGAACTTTGAGCCTTAAATTTATTAATGAAATTTTATTTTTAATAGCTATTGGAAGTATGTATTATATTTGAGGTATCATAGTATTTTGGATTAAAAGTTTGTTCGATAAATTAATGATTGATAATCAAGTTTTTTGTTTTACATAATCTTGATGAAGTTTAACAGTAAAATTTTATTCTCTAATATTATTTAGAGGACTACTAATTAATCAAGTTCATTAGCAAGATTCAAGCAGAATAAAGGAAATAAAGGATTTAAGATTTGAAAAAATAATAGCTAAATAAAATTAAAGACGTGCAATAATACTATTATAAATCATAAAAATTTTATACATTCAACAAGATTAAATTTTCACACCCAATTTTTAACTTAATGATCCACTTAATCTTGCCTGTGTGAGTGATTGAAGCTTAATTGCGAGATTAAAATGAACTTTAACTAGTTTTTTATTCCATACTTTTTTGTTTATATCTCATAAATGTACACCAAATAAAATTTTTTCGAGAGAACGTGGGTGTTTATGAACATAAGGGATTTTAGCTGTTGAGACGAATGTTTTTAATGATGGGAGGAATCTTTTGTTTTTAAAAAATGAATGAAATGGATTGAGAGATATAGAATAGTTTAATGAAATTAGTTTGATTAAAATGTCTAAATTGAAGGAAAAGCTGAAATAAACTTATAATTGCTTAAAGTTAATTTAAGGTTTTATAAGTAATTTTCCGATTTACTCAAAATTTGTAAGACAAAGTATTATTCTCTTAAAAATTTTGATATTTATTAGGTGAATCATATATATACATTTATAGGGACGTCAAGACACTTGGTCTTGGACTTAAGGTCTAATCTTTGTTTTGGTCTTAGGTCTAGCTTGGTCTTGTTTTGGAAAATTTTCAGCCTTGGACATCTCTAGTATTTAATCTAGTTCTTAAGACTTGCGTAAGAAATACATAGTAAGAATGAGTGAATTTTCCTATAGAAAATAAATTTAGCTTAAAAAATTGACGGAAATAATAAGATAACCGTCAAAAAACACAAGCAGTCAGAATCAAACTGAAAATTCTAATTTAAAAAACACCTAAAAATAACAATAAACAACGAAAACACTCAGATTACAGACTAGAAAAGAAAAATAATACATACTAAAAATAATTGAGCTAGCTAAGAACTTCAACGCAGATATTGGCGTCCACATATTAACTATCTTGTCAGTTGTGTTTTTCCTCTCATTAGAGTGTGTTCTCTGTCACAAGCAATTGGATTAGCAAGAGGATAACAGACATCCTCTATCCCACTTCATTTTAGCTCAAGTTATTTCAGATAATTTTTTACCAGCCTTCTTCCACTTTTGCTTTTTTATTAAGGACTTTGGAGTGAAGTTCAGTTAGAATAACAACTCTAAAGCTAAGTTGGTCTTAAAAACAGAGAAGGAATAAATAAGAGTCAATTGCTCTTATAAAAGTGATAAATGAAAATTAATAGAGAAAATATTGTTAAGAGAATGAATTTTTAAATAGCTTAAATGAAAGAGATATCTTCATGTAAATTTGTGTTTCAGGTCAATTTTTGCAAAGGTTAAACATAGAAGAATATTTAGGGATGATCAAGTCATTTAAATATTATCATTAGGGACTTCGCAAAAAATAGGTAAGAATTTAAAAATCCAATCCCTATATAAAATATTTACATGGTGGCCATATTGGTTCTCTGGAACAGTAGAAGGAGGTACTTCCGCGAGTGATTTTTGGCGAAGTTGATGCAACATTTGAGTTAATGGTAATAATTGTTCAGAAGGAAGAGGAGAATGTTGTTCCGATCCTTTTTGATAAGATAATGTGGATGCATTTATTTGCGCTAAAGATTGCTGCTGTTGAGCTATCTGATCGAGCTGTCGCTGAATATAAGATGGAGTAGATAGAGGAGACTGACTGATGCTTTTTTGTTTTTGTTGAGAATTTCTTCTAAACATTTCTTATAAAATTAGTCCTGCTTTAACAACAAATAAAAATCGCGCACCTTCCAATGGCTTGTTGCTGAATTTGTTGTCGCGCAGCTTGCAATAAACGCTCTTTCCTGTCCCTAGTAAATTGTGCTTGCTCGTTAGAAAACCAAGTATCATATTGTTCTTGAGTAAGTAATTTAGCTGAAGATAGAGCTACACCAATAGCATTGCTTGCCTAAAAGTAAATTACGTTACATATAAATTTTCTTTAGAAAATTATTTTTGAGATAAAAAGATTATAATGAAGTTCAAACTTGCGAGATCGTTTTCTTTTTTCTTAATACATATACTTGTCATCAGTATTTTTTATAAAATCTTATTAAATAATTTAGGTAACTACAAACTTTGCATGTGTATTCTCCAACGTCTTCTGCAAACATTTGCGGGATTTGTAAAAGACAAATGCCAGAATGCGCGTCATACTCAGTTTTTATCCTTTATTATCAAAAGTTGTAATTATTAGGAGTATAACAAAATTCGAAAATGAAAAAAAATATGATTAAAAATATTTGCCTGTAGTTGTTAAGTGGCTCGCCATTCTTCCGCCATTCAATTTGTAATAAAGGAACTCCCACAACTCTAGCCTCAAAGACTGAAGCATTGCCCAGACGTAGTGGTTGATGCTTGAGTTCTTTAATAAACAAAGGAGCCGAGGGCCCGACGGGTGTTTGTGGTGGTGCAGGAGAACTTCTAGAACAATTAAAGATTCAACCGAGTAAAAATTTAAAGATTCAACTGAACATTTTCTGTGATGCTTAAGAACTAAAAAGATATTACAAACGTTACGCTAGTAACAGCTCCAGGGATAGGAGTAGGTGCAGGAGCAACAATTAATACACAACTTGACTGCTTTATTCCTACAGCATTCATTGCCTGTACTGTAAAACGACCACAATCGGCAGCTTGAGCTTTGTGCACAGTTAAGCGATAAGACTTGCCCAATTCGCTCAACTTGATTTAGTAAAAATTTTTTCGTTTAGAAAGATAATTAAAAAGTTAATATTTAAGGAACTAATGAATAATTCTAGCTAATACTGATCAGTTTAATTAATACTACTAACTGGAAAGTTCGCTTAATCATAACAGTCAAAATATCTAAAGATTAGTAAACACCTCATAATCAGGGCATTGGGAGACATTATGGCCATCTTTTAACCATTTGATTACAGGATCAGGGTGTCCGTCGATTTGACATTCAAGCACAATTCGTTGACCAATCAAAGCCCTTTTATCACGAAGAGGCTGTAATGTTTAAATATTGTATTAATTAGAAAGAAATTTAAGCATTTATGTAAAATTATCCAACATTTTAAAATGATAATCTGGGGAAAGTAAGAGAAGTAATAGGCAAATTCTGAGATATAAAAATGAAAATAAATTACACGGATAAAATTTGGTGGTATCTGATTGCCGTCCACTTTGACACCAACTGGTTTCTGGAATGGCATTGCTAATCATATAATACTAGAATGAAAGATAATATTATTATTACTATAATAATTAAAATGAAGTAGATAAGTAAAATAAAGTAAATGATTTTTAAGATCACTACTTTTAAAAATAAAAAAAATAGCGCTTTCAATTTAAATTAGAAAAGTATTAGTATATCATCTTTCAGCTTTGCGCAAACAATTAAGAAAATAAAGCTAGATATTATGTGAAATAAAAAAAATTTTTCTATGCGATCAATATTAAGAGATTTCTAGGAAAAAGTAGATATAAAGCGTTCTCGCATAAGCCTAAGTTTACAAGTTTTGTAATGTAAAAATTTTGAAGTAAATTTTTTAGTACAGTAAAACCGGAAACCGTATATTAGGGTGTGACATAAATTATATCATAGGGAGTTTAATCCAGAATTTTGTGACCCTGTGTTATAAAATTACGATGAATAAGATATCTCAGGTTAGCTTTATCGTAAAAAATTTATTTGGCCAGATCCGGCTATGACATATGCGACCAAATCCCTTTATTCGTGTATATCTCGAAAGCTTTGAATTTCATGAAAAACGCTGAAACATGTCAAAAGTGATATGAATCAAGCTTTAATGGTATAAGAACATGTATATTCCATATAGCGACATTCATAAACATCATCATTCCGTGTCGCCTAGTTGAGCTTTAAAAGGCTAAATAGCATTGGCTTAAAAATATTTAAAATTAGGTTGAAAAAGCTTGGAACCATAATTGCCACAATGTTTAAGTTTTGGATATGTGTATTATTGGGCTAATATAAAAAGCTTAAAAGATGCAAGTAAATTAAAGAAAACATGAGAGAATAGAAACGAGAAGGATTTGAGAGAAAGATAAGACTTTGGCTTGCATAGCAAGGGGATTTGTATTGCCCTGTGAAGATTAATGACTGACTAATCGATGAACAATAATGTGTTGCAAAAATTTTAAACTCAATAGTGAAACAAATAAAAAAAGAAAAGAAATAGGAATCGAATAATATCAGGGGCCGATCAGGATCAGGGAGAATTCGAACCTTCGATAACGCTGATATCGATTGTTCGTCCTTCCTCACACAGATGCAGGTGCTCATCCACTGAGCTAACGGAACATCAATAATTTTCCATTTTTAGATAGTTTACCCCCATCAATATTCCCAGAATTATCTCGATCAAACGTACGGAAGGTGCGACTCCAGTCGTTGACATACTGAAAATGCAAAAAAGTATTGATAATCCAGAAATAACTAAATTTACATTCGAAAGAGCTTGAAACTCATTAAAGCTGATTCCACCATCATTGTCGGAGTCAAACATAGAAATCATAATACGGCAAGTTTCAGGATTGAATGGCCTCCAAGTCCCATTAGACAGCGCCCTCTGTAACTCATCAGAACTAATTCGACCTGAACGATCAGTGTCAACAGTTTGAAAGATTTGTAACAGATTGGGCTGTTGTGGAGAATACATTAATCTACTACTTCCTGTTTTATTAAACCACTTAAAAACCTTAATTAAAAAAACAAGAACGCATTATTAATCATCAATGTAGGAGTAAAACAAAAGCCCCCACAACCTTATAAACCGCGAGAAACAAAACATTGTCATCATAAGTTTATGGCTTAGGACAAAAGGTCGATTACTAGAAAGATCGATTACTTAAAAGATCCATCTGGCCAACTGCATAAAAACGTCGACTACTTGGCAAGCCTAAAAAGATCGTTCCGGGTAAAATGGGACAATACGTCGACCTTAAAAAGAACTGCAGAAAAGACAGATGACCTCGAAAAATTTCACTTTTAAAAGAAATACTGACAATAAGAAATATTGTTATCATCTTAAAAACGTGAAAATTCGGGATTAAATTGTGAATTGTATCGTCGATCTCTATCCTTGTTCAAGTGCACCATCTTATCAATACTTTCCTCAACATCATCTTTATTTTCCTGTTTAGTGAGCATTATAACGCGTTGTTGCTCTCGACGTTCCCTAGCCAAGCGTTCTTGCCGAAGAAGATTAATATCAACACAGGGCTGAGCTGATGTTGATGAGCCGGAAATCGTAAAAAATAGTTTAAAAAATTGATAAACAAAAAACACAAACCATCCTCGATTCCTTTTATTCTATCCTTCCGCTTCTTTTTCTTGTCCTTCTTGAGTTTTATAGCCTTTCTTTCTTCACTAGTCAAAAACTTCTTTTCACTCTTTGAAACCTTTGGAGGCTTTTTGTCATGTTCACGCATTAAGGGTATTCTTTCCCACCATTCATTGTCCTTTGAATATTCTTTTGTATCCTCGGCAAAACGCTTCATGATCCCTAAATATTATTTTTTATAATTTCACATTTTATAAGCATACCAACTTTTGACTCCCAATCATCTTGTTCCTTCTTTTTTTCCGCAGCATATTCCTTGTTGCCACTTGCAAAATTTTTGCGTTCTTGTTCCTCCAATTCTTTAAACAAATTGACGTGGTGTTCATTGCTAGCCCTAGTGCTACATGATGTTCCACCCATAACATCTTTTGAATCACCACGCACACCTAATTTTACAAAATTAAGTAACACAATTTGGCTTTTGTCCAGATTATGTGTCCAATCCAACATCACATGCTTCCAGTCAAATTTCATTCGTCAAATGAAAGGCGGTATCAGGCCCGTAGCCAGGATTTTTTTCGGGGGGGATTTTTGCGCCAAATTTTTGGCGCCGAAGGCGCCAAAAATTTTTATTTTCAGCGCCGCAGGCGAAAATTTTGAGAATTTTAGAAGGCCTAGGCCAAAAAAATTCACTTTTTCGGCGCCGCAGGCGCCAAAAATTTGATTTTCAGCGCCGCAGGCGAAAATTTTTTAAATTTCAGAGGCCGTAGGCCAAAAAAATTCACTTTTTTTGCCCCAGCCCTTCCCCAAATTTTTTCCTTTTTCCCATTTCGGGGGGGGGGGGGGGGGGGGGGAATTCCCCCCCCTCACCCCCCTGGCTACGGGCCTGGGCGGTATGTACCTATATTTCAGTTTAGTACCACGAAATGTTTCCAACCATCGATTGGAAACATAAATTTTTCTGGACGTGAAAAGGTGTGCTATAGGACGCGTCATCTGTACAAGACAAAAAAAATAAAAACAAACGAAAAATATCATTAAAATTTGCCACATCTGAGGTACTGCCATTGTTCTTTGATTTTAACCGGTGCATACGATACTTAAATTATATTTGTTAAAATTGGTTCAGTTAAAAATAAACCTCATGATCAGCAAGTGTCGCTCTTTCAGCCCGTGCTTCCTCCTCTTCTGCTGCTTTTGCTTCATCTCTTCTTACTCTGGCTACATTTTCTTTTGTACGTACATGCCATTTTTTATGACGCAGAATGTTCATTGCTCTCTATTATACCTAATTTAAAAAGTTTTTTTAAATAAATTTTAAAAGAAATATGTAAAGCAAAAATTTAAGCTGTTAGACAAAAATCGAAATATTTTCTGGGACACGCCCGAGTAGGCGCGGGCAAATAGGAATTTTTGGGGATTTTTTTTCCTAGTCTGAGTGGGGACTTTTGGGGATTTTCCAAGTTTCCCAGGCATTCTTGATTGGTATATCTTCTGGAAAAAATTTATTTCAATTTTCCTAGCCAAAATTTTTTAGAATTCCAAAGGCTTTGAAATTTCGATTTTCTTCATTTCTTTCGAGTTATTGACAAAATATCAACTAGTTTACACTTTGACATTTACCAAATTGAAAATTAACATAACGAATTGCGTTAATTTTCAGTTCAAATTTACTTGGCGTCACTTTTTTTTTCTGAAATCTGGATTTTCACAGATTTTGTTAATCTCCGGAGATTATGCTTTTTTGTTGTTTTTTTTTTTCATTTTTTCTATTATCTTATCTGTTTTTTATGTTTTTATTCGTTTATTCGTTGACACCGATGCTGCGCGCGCTTAAAAATTGCTAAAAAAATTTTGAAAATTTTTTTAAAAAATCTAAAATTTTTTCTAATTGAAGGCCAGTCCCGACTCCTGTACATGCTTCCTCTGGATGGCTGGCCGGTTAAATTTGTTTTTTTTGTCTTTTTTTAATTTGAGTTTGAAATTTTTTAATTTGTTAGGCGTTGATGTGCTCTACACGATGGGATGTGGTGGCCTTGCTGGATGGCTTAAACCAAACGGTGGGTTTTTTCCTAGTTTATTTTAAATTTTTAAATTTAAAAATGAAATTTTTTATTTTTATGTATTGTCTTCGTGTGGTGGCCTTTGGAGAATATGCTGATGGTCTACATGGTGGTGGTCTGGTGGCCAGTTTTTTTAATAAAAATTTTTTTAATTTTTTAATAAGTTATGCTTGTGGTGGTGGTTTGGAGGCTCTCTTCATGCTCTTGGTGGTTGGCGTGCTCTTGGTGGATTGGTGGTTGGCGTGCTTTTGGTGGTTGGTGGTTCTCTTCATGCTCTTGGTGGCTGGTGGCTCTCTTCATGCTCTTGGTGGCCTGCTTCTGATGTGATGTTGGAATTTGGTTGGGGTGTGGTTTTTTATTAAAAAATTAAAAAAATAAAATTTATAATGGGAGGGTGATTTTAAGCCAGGTTCTACTCCATGCACTTGTGGTGGTCGTCTGCATGCTCTTCATCGTCTACATGGTGGTGGTGGTTCGTCTACATGCTCTTCCTCGTCTACATGGTCCTCCTGATCAACCCTTGGCCCGGTAAATCTTCAAATTTTTTAAATGAAAAATCGCTTGCTAAAAATGCGCGAGCGAATGACCCCACCCTCTCTTCATTTTCTTGTTTTTCTTGTCCTTGTCTTTTTTTGTCTTTGTTTTTTTCAATTTTCTTTCAAGAAAATTTTAAAGATTTTAGCTCAACCATTGGTATGGATGGTATGGACAAAGCAGAATGTGCTCCAAATGGATGGAGTCAGTTTTCACAGGTTCTCTAGTCCATTGGGGGAGGGGAGGATGTTTTATGGGGAAAAGCCTGTAGGAGGCTAGAGGGGGTGGGTTTATTGATTTTCGTTACTAATCTCTCTGCTGTGTGTTTATCGATTTTATTTTTGGCATTCTGTTTAATGCAGGGCTCTCATTCGTACTTTATTTGAAAGTACAGTACTTTAAAATCGACCTCCGTACTTACAAAATTGAATTTGTACTTTATTGAAAGTATGTACTTTAAAATCAACATTTTGGATTGAAAATGAAATTAGGGAAGGATTGGGCAAAAAAGTGAATTTCTAAGGCCTATGGCCCTAGAAATTCACAAAATTTTCGCCTGCGGCGCTGAAAAAGGAAGAAATCTAGCTTCTTGGGTCTAAATTTCAAAAAATTTTCGCCTGCGGCGCAAGAAATTGAAGAACTTTAGCTTAAGGACCTCCAAAATTCTCAAAATTTTCGCCTGCGGCGCTGAAAAAGGAAGAAATTTGGCTTCTTGCGTGCCAAATTTAAAAAATTTTTGTCTGCGGCGCTAAAAATGGAAAAAATCTGTCTTAAGAACCCCGAAATTTCCCAAAATTTTCGCCTGCGGCGTTGAAAATGGACGTAAGAAAGTAGCTTGCTTGAGGTTAAGACTGTCAGGGCTTTACTTCTTGTGACAGCAAATTTTGACATGTCCTGTATGAAATGCACAAAATGCTCAGTGGAAACAAGAAATTATTAGAAAAATTAATTTAGGAGAGAAATATAAAAGATTTGAGGACGAATAAATATTTTATAATTTAATTTTGAGTGTCCTTTAAATTTGGAAATTTTGTCCCTATGTACTTTAAAATCGAGATTTTTGTACTCTTGATTGGTATTTTGTCGATGAGAGCCCTGGTTTAATGACAATTCATCCCATTTAAATTGGGTACATTTGAGTCTTACACACATTCATCTTCAATAACTTTAGCTTCTTTTACCTTGACCCATTTTTATTTCCGATCGAGATCATTTTTCTTTAATTTTACGCGTATTTTCTTCTTTTTCAACAGATTTTGATTGATTTTTAACTTTTCACATTTTTAATTGAATACTTTTTCAGATTTTAACATTAACCTCTTATAATTACTAAAATGCTTACTCCCTAATTACTCCAACTTTAAATTCAACTAATCAATTTGCTACCAGTTTTGCCCTTCATTTGCTGAAATCTGGTCTATCTACTAATGAGAATAGACAACTCTTTGCTTTGGTTTCACCTAAAAATGGAACGAAAATTTCAAAATCGTTGGAACCTTATCTTGAGGGAGGTCAACTCAATATTTTGTTTGGCTCTGCTGGTTCTCAAAAGATTTTAAGAGAGTTGTTGAGGTTAATGAGGTTTGTGATTTAAGTTTAGTATTGTTTCAAGGGTCCATAAAAGCCCTTGAAAAAGCCCTTTGTGTTTGGTTAGCCTTATACCATGGGATTCGAAAGCGGGTACCTCAGGTTCCGGGGAGAGGCCCGTTTGTCTCCTCTGGTTTCTCTGAGATAAGATTCAAGACGAGGTACTTCAGGTTCCGGGATTGGCCCGTTTGTCTCCTCCTGTTTCTCTTAGTTAAGGTTCAAGACGGTGTTACTTCAGGTTCCGGGGACGGCTCGTTAGTCCTTCCTGGTTTTTCTGTGGGGTAAGATTCAAGACCGTGTTACTTTAGGTTCCGGGGACGGCCCGTTCGTCTTTTCTTGTTTCTCTGTGGGATAAGATTCAAGACCTTGTTACTTCAGGTTCCGGGGACTGCCGTTTGTCTTCCCCGGGGTTCTCTCTGAGCTAAGGTTCAAGACCGGGTACTTCAGGGTCCGTAATTGGCCCGTTTGTCTTCTTTGGTTCTCTGTGAGATAAGATTCATGACCGTGTTACTTCAGGTTCTGGGGACGGGCCGTTTGTCTTTTCTGAGTTCTCTGAGGTCCGTGATGACGCATTTGGCTTCTCCTGTTTCTCTGTGAATAATATTCAAGACCGGGAACTTCAGGTTTCGTGATGGCCCATATATCTTCTCTGGTTTCTCTTTGGGATAAGATTCAAAACTAGGTATTTTAGTTGGAAAAACCTGAAAAAAAAATGAAAAAAAAACCTGAAAAACCTTTGAAAGGTAAAATCAAGGGATTAAGGTGGATAAATGATTACCATCCCTGGGTTTGTAGAATCTACCCTTCATCACACCAAACCCTCGATATTCCCTTTTGATATTTCCTTTTAAAAGTTTTAGGTCTTCTGGGTCAAAGGTCTTTAGAATTTTGACCCAGAAGCCTTCTGGCGTGACTCAATTAATTTTAAAAATTTTTCTAGTATGTCAATAAAATTATTGAACAAGCTCTTGATACTTACAAAAAGAAGAGAAGTCAAAAAGTAGAGGTTGAACCAAAATTATCTGCTCTAATCGATCGCATTTTTCAACAAAACTTGGAACGTCGCGATTTTAATTCTGTAATTGGTTTGGCTTTTGATACTCGGCGAATTGATATGGTGGAGACTGCAATTAAGTCTAATGAGGTGCCAGAAAAAACACCAGTAATGATTGAAACGCTTAATAAAGTTTGGGAATCACAATTGGATATTGAGTTTAGAATTTTGGTGCTTGACTTGATTTTCCATATGTTGGATGCTGATTTGCAAATTGAGAAGAAGGGGTCGCAGAATTTGGCTTTGAAGTGCTTTCGATATGCCAGGTTTTTATACCTTTTGTTAGTTTGGTTTTCACATATGGACATAGGTTTCCTTACGGTTTTATTTTTCTTTTTGGATATTGGGTTTTTGTTATAATTTTCTTTTTGTTGGAATATCTTTTTCCTCTTTTTTCTTTTTAATTAACCTTTGATCTCTAATGGATGATGAGTATTTTCGACACTTGATTATGGGCGGGGGAATTTATCACTAGCAATGTAGACTCTCACTAGGGCCTCTTCCCTCTTTTTTCTATTTTCACTTACTCTTTGAACCTCTTAATGGACGAAGAACTTGTTGTTACTTGAGGATTTTACCACTTTCACCGGCCTCTTCCCTTTTCCCAAGCTTCTTTTCTAAACATTTCACTAAATTTATTTCTTTTCAGTGTTTGATCAAATTGGAACGCCTTGCCCAAGTTGCACAGATTTTTAATAATCTTTTATCGAAGGTTTTTAAATTCTATTTTTCTTCTTATTTCATCAATTTTAAGAAAACTACTCTTGTTGCCTATCAACATGCTTTTGATCCTTACGAAAATGCACCTCAAGAGTTTTTGGAACAACTCAAAGAACTTTTATTCAAAAAAGAAGATTCTCCAGAAAATGAAGAAACAAAGCCTTCCCCAGAAAATAATAATTTAAAATCAATCCTTAGCGGTGAAGAAACGATTAAGCATCACATGCAATTTTTGATAAAGAATAACCACACGGATATGTTGATTTTGAAGAATATAAAAGATGTAGTCCGAGGATCGTGTGCTCATAATGCTACTGTTATTGCCAATGGTTTGATGCTTACCGGGACAACATGATTTTCTTAGGTTTTATTTAATATTTTAAATTAGAGTATCACTCCGTCCCCTGAAACCCCGATGATTTTTTCGCCAAAAACGCGCACTTTGAAGGCCCCAACGCGGCAAACACCTGTCCAACCCGGGAGGGGTGGGATGCTATTTGAAATTTAATATTTTTTATATTTTTCAGAGAGAATTTGGATTGGATTTCTGAAGCGACCAATTGGAATAAATTCAATGCTGTTGCATCACTTGGGTTGATTCATAAGGTTTTTTCTTCGAATTTTTTAACTTTATATATTTTCTTCAGTGACATGAACGCGAAGCTCGAAAGATCCTCGATCCTTATTTGCCCAGAGGAGATGTTGATCCATATGGCTTTAAAGAGGGAGGATCTCTTTATGCATATGGTTTGTTTAAATTTCCTAACCTATTTTTAGCAGGGCATACAAGCGTTGGGCCCCAGGTGTCCACTCTTTTGACACACCGAGTCCACCCATTAAGAAAGATATCTTTTCAGATATTTATTTAACAAAATAATTAAAATATGAGGGAGAACGAGTAACGAATTTTTGTTCGGAATCAAAATCATGAGGTTGAACGAGCGAATTTTTTGCCTATTTTTCGCCTTTTCTGCGATGTTAAAAATGGGCGTTAAATCATTTATTAACTATGACACATTCACTTAATAAAATTTTAGGTTTAACACACGCAAATCATGGCAATCAGAGCGTTATTAACTACCTCCCTGATCAATTAAACAAAGCCACTACAAGTGCTGTTCGACATGGTGGATGTTTGGGGTTGGGATTAGCTGCATTGGGAACTCGTAGTGTCAAAATTTATGAACATTTGCGAGAATGCTTGTAAAGTCAAAATAAGGCTGTTTCTGGTGAAGGAGCTGGAATTGCAATGGGATTAGTTTTGGCGGGATCAATGAATCAGTCAGTAAATTATTTTATAAAGATTTTAATTTAATTTTAAAAATTCAAGGCTTTTGTTGAAATACTCAACACGATAAAATTCAACGTGGATTGCGCACTGGAATTGCTATGCTTGCTTATGGAATGTTGGAAAAAGCTGAACCGTTTAGTTTTTTTTTCTAATTTTAACAAAAATTAATTTTTTTTTAAAGTTGGATTGAAATTTTTGAAAGTTTCCATTCCGAGTCAATTATGTGTCGAACTGCTGTGTGCATGGTATTTTTTGAAAAAAATTTTTCTATTTTTTATCTAATTGCTAGATTTCCATGGCTTATGCAGGGAGTGGAAATGTTGAAGTCATCAAACGACTTTTGGAAAAAGTTGCTGCAGATCCTAGTAGTGATGTTAAACGATTTGCTACAATTGCTATTGGTTTTGTTCTTAGCGGGTTTTTTCTTTTAAAAAATTTTTTTGGATTGAGTTTAATCACTTTAGGAACCCCGAACTTTGCTTGAGTCATACTGGAATGTTATTTGAACACAAATGGTCATATTCGTTATGGAGCTGCTATTGCCTTAGGAATTGCTTGTGCTGGATCTAGATATAAGGTTACATTTTTGGGGTCTGAAAATTTTAAGTTTTGGGGTTTTCAAATCAGACCCTTAAATAGAGTAGTCAGGAGGTTGGAGTAATCTTACCCACTGAAACACCTGTCTACGCTCTTGATACGTTTGCTTCCCTTCTCATTTGGGAAAATTTGCAAAAATATTATTCTTTAGGAGTCCGTTTCTCGTCTTGAACCTTTGTTGCAAGCTAAAGAAAACCTTGTTAGACAAGGACTGAGTCTACATATTCAGATGTTGTCGAGTTTTGTAAGACAATTACCAAAACTATTACTGAAAAGAGTGAAGATACAATTACTAAGGTTTGATGAAAAGAATATTTTCTATTAACCGCGAGTTTTTTCTTTCTAGTTTGGCGCAATTGTTGCTCAAGGAATTTTGGATGGGGATCTTACTGCTTTAGCATCAAGCAAACAATGATGGATGATGAGGTTTGATTTTAAAGGATAAAGCTGGGCCTGTGTGTTTTCGCGGTCGGCCTTCTAGTTTGAGGATAGGATGTTTTTTGAGGATAGCATGGATTGTCTTTGGAGGTGAATTTAAGGTTACGCAGTCTTAACAGGGGATGAGCTTGGGTCAGGAATGAGCTGTTTTGGTGGGGATGTAAGCAGGAATGAGACGGGGTATGGATAGACTGTCTTGGGGTGTATTGGAGCATTGATGGGCTGTCATGGTGGCGGGATTAACTGTTTTAGGGTAGGCTGGGAAGTGGAAGGGCTATTTTGCGGGAGGGTGGATTAACTGTCTTCGAGTATGCTGTGGGCAGGGACGGTCTTTCTTTCGCCTTTTTTGGAAGACAGAAATTTTGCATTTAATTTTAATGATATTATTCAGATATGTGATTCAACAACAAATACGCCTCGTACATGTGTGGCTGGTGGCTCTGAAACATCAACAGCTACACCGAGACCTTTTATTGCAAGAAGTGTTAAAAATGAGCAGTGGATTGCGACGAATTGATGATGAGTTACAAAGACGAGAGAAGCTAAAAAATGTGGCAAAGATGCTACAGCCACATTTAAAGGTCTAAAGATATTTGAATGAAATATGCTTTATTATTTTTGGTGCTTTTCCGTTAGCGTCGATTTTTTTTGTTTTTTTTCAAGTACAAAATGTTATAAAACAGCAAAATTCTTAAATGCAAAAACGGAAAAGCACAATTAAGCCACTTGTAAAAAAAGGATTTTTGCGGATTCGTTTAGAAGAAAGCAAAAAGGCCTTTTCTTTACAAGTGGTATTTTTTATCAATTTATTTTTTTGTTCGTTAAAAATGGGTTTGGGCCCCTCCCCCGCCCCGGGTTTACTCTTCTCTAAACACCCAACTCTTCCAAGCTCCGAGAGCTTCAGACACCCCTAAACTCCAAGAACGATCCAACATTGAGACCTACATTTTTTGTAAATATTCGAACTTTTTCTATAATGAAACTCCCAAATGAATACTGTATTTAGTTTTAATACCACTCAAACGGAATTATCAAAAACTAGATAGGTTCAGGCTTTCATACCTCCGAGTTATATCCAAAGGCACGGGTTCTTATTCAATAGGTGTAGACAGTAGGGCACTTAGACCTTAGATTTGATTAGAACCCCCCCCCCTTTCTGCACTTCAACGGTCCTTCTACAACTTCAATGGCCCCTGTCAGCCGTCTACAACTTCAACTGCTACTGGCAACCGTCTACAACTTCAACTGCTCCTGGCAACCGTCTACAACTTCAACAGCTCCTACCAGCCATCTACAACTCCTACTGCGCCGACTCCACTGTCCCCCGGGCCCCGATACGGTACTCTAATGTCTTCCCGGGTCCAACATGGTACTCTACTGTCCACACCTATTTTATAAGACCCCCCTTTCTTCCCCATATCCAAGTCTGACCCAAATGTTTCCCCCAAAACGCCCCGGACAAAACGTCACTCCCCAAAACGCCCCAGACAAAATTCACTCCCTAAAAAGCCCCGGACAAATCGTCACTCCCCAAAACGCCCCAGACAAAACGTCACTCCCTAAAACACCCCGGACAAAACGTCACTCCCCAAAACGCCCCAGACAAAACGTCACTCCCCAAAACGCCCCGGACAAAACGTCACTCCCCAAAATGGCCCCGACAAAACGTCACTCCCAAAATGCCCCACACTGAAAATAACCCGCACTGAAAATCCTACACTGAACTGACCGACCCCCCTTCTCAAAAAATATTCTCTCCATAGGTTCAGGCTTTCATACCTCCGAGTTATATCCAAAGGCACGGGTTCTTATTCAATAGGTGTAGACAGTAGGGCACTTAGACCTTAGATTTGATTAGAACCCCCCCCCCCCCTTTCTGCACTTCAACGGTCCTTCTACAACTTCAATGGCCCCTGTCAGCCGTCTACAACTTCAACTGCTACTGGCAACCGTCTACAACTTCAACTGCTCCTGGCAACCGTCTACAACTTCAACAGCTCCTACCAGCCATCTACAACTCCTACTGCGCCGACTCCACTGTCCCCCGGGCCCCGATACGGTACTCTAATGTCTTCCCGGGTCCAACATGGTACTCTACTGTCCACACCTATTTTATAAGACCCCCCTTTCTTCCCCATATCCAAGTCTGACCCAAATGTTTCCCCCAAAACGCCCCGGACAAAACGTCACTCCCCAAAACGCCCCAGACAAAATTCACTCCCTAAAAAGCCCCGGACAAATCGTCACTCCCCAAAACGCCCCAGACAAAACGTCACTCCCTAAAACACCCCGGACAAAACGTCACTCCCCAAAACGCCCCAGACAAAACGTCACTCCCCAAAACGCCCCGGACAAAACGTCACTCCCCAAAATGGCCCCGACAAAACGTCACTCCCAAAATGCCCCACACTGAAAATAACCCGCACTGAAAATCCTACACTGAACTGACCGACCCCCCTTCTCAAAAAATATTCTCTCCATAGGTTCAGGCTTTCATACCTCCGAGTTATATCCAAAGGCACGGGTTCTTATTCAATAGGTGTAGACAGTAGGGCACTTAGACCTTAGATTTGATTAGAACCCCCCCCCCCCCTTTCTGCACTTCAACGGTCCTTCTACAACTTCAATGGCCCCTGTCAGCCGTCTACAACTTCAACTGCTACTGGCAACCGTCTACAACTTCAACTGCTCCTGGCAACCGTCTACAACTTCAACAGCTCCTACCAGCCATCTACAACTCCTACTGCGCCGACTCCACTGTCCCCCGGGCCCCGATACGGTACTCTAATGTCTTCCCGGGTCCAACATGGTACTCTACTGTCCACACCTATTTTATAAGACCCCCCTTTCTTCCCCATATCCAAGTCTGACCCAAATGTTTCCCCCAAAACGCCCCGGACAAAACGTCACTCCCCAAAACGCCCCAGACAAAATTCACTCCCTAAAAAGCCCCGGACAAATCGTCACTCCCCAAAACGCCCCAGACAAAACGTCACTCCCTAAAACACCCCGGACAAAACGTCACTCCCCAAAACGCCCCAGACAAAACGTCACTCCCCAAAACGCCCCGGACAAAACGTCACTCCCCAAAATGGCCCCGACAAAACGTCACTCCCAAAATGCCCCACACTGAAAATAACCCGCACTGAAAATCCTACACTGAACTGACCGACCCCCCTTCTCAAAAAATATTCTCTCCATAGGTTCAGGCTTTCATACCTCCGAGTTATATCCAAAGGCACGGGTTCTTATTCAATAGGTGTAGACAGTAGGGCACTTAGACCTTAGATTTGATTAGAACCCCCCCCCCCCCCCTTTCTGCACTTCAACGGTCCTTCTACAACTTCAATGGCCCCTGTCAGCCGTCTACAACTTCAACTGCTACTGGCAACCGTCTACAACTTCAACTGCTCCTGGCAACCGTCTACAACTTCAACAGCTCCTACCAGCCATCTACAACTCCTACTGCGCCGACTCCACTGTCCCCCGGGCCCCGATACGGTACTCTAATGTCTTCCCGGGTCCAACATGGTACTCTACTGTCCACACCTATTTTATAAGACCCCCCTTTCTTCCCCATATCCAAGTCTGACCCAAATGTTTCCCCCAAAACGCCCCGGACAAAACGTCACTCCCCAAAACGCCCCAGACAAAATTCACTCCCTAAAAAGCCCCGGACAAATCGTCACTCCCCAAAACGCCCCAGACAAAACGTCACTCCCTAAAACACCCCGGACAAAACGTCACTCCCCAAAACGCCCCAGACAAAACGTCACTCCCCAAAACGCCCCGGACAAAACGTCACTCCCCAAAATGGCCCCGACAAAACGTCACTCCCAAAATGCCCCACACTGAAAATAACCCGCACTGAAAATCCTACACTGAACTGACCGACCCCCCTTCTCAAAAAATATTCTCTCCATAGGTTCAGGCTTTCATACCTCCGAGTTATATCCAAAGGCACGGGTTCTTATTCAATAGGTGTAGACAGTAGGGCACTTAGACCTTAGATTTGATTAGAACCCCCCCCCCCCCCCCCCTTTCTGCACTTCAACGGTCCTTCTACAACTTCAATGGCCCCTGTCAGCCGTCTACAACTTCAACTGCTACTGGCAACCGTCTACAACTTCAACTGCTCCTGGCAACCGTCTACAACTTCAACAGCTCCTACCAGCCATCTACAACTCCTACTGCGCCGACTCCACTGTCCCCCGGGCCCCGATACGGTACTCTAATGTCTTCCCGGGTCCAACATGGTACTCTACTGTCCACACCTATTTTATAAGACCCCCCTTTCTTCCCCATATCCAAGTCTGACCCAAATGTTTCCCCCAAAACGCCCCGGACAAAACGTCACTCCCCAAAACGCCCCAGACAAAATTCACTCCCTAAAAAGCCCCGGACAAATCGTCACTCCCCAAAACGCCCCAGACAAAACGTCACTCCCTAAAACACCCCGGACAAAACGTCACTCCCCAAAACGCCCCAGACAAAACGTCACTCCCCAAAACGCCCCGGACAAAACGTCACTCCCCAAAATGGCCCCGACAAAACGTCACTCCCAAAATGCCCCACACTGAAAATAACCCGCACTGAAAATCCTACACTGAACTGACCGACCCCCCTTCTCAAAAAATATTCTCTCCATAGGTTCAGGCTTTCATACCTCCGAGTTATATCCAAAGGCACGGGTTCTTATTCAATAGGTGTAGACAGTAGGGCACTTAGACCTTAGATTTGATTAGAACCCCCCCCCCCCCCTTTCTGCACTTCAACGGTCCTTCTACAACTTCAATGGCCCCTGTCAGCCGTCTACAACTTCAACTGCTACTGGCAACCGTCTACAACTTCAACTGCTCCTGGCAACCGTCTACAACTTCAACAGCTCCTACCAGCCATCTACAACTCCTACTGCGCCGACTCCACTGTCCCCCGGGCCCCGATACGGTACTCTAATGTCTTCCCGGGTCCAACATGGTACTCTACTGTCCACACCTATTTTATAAGACCCCCCTTTCTTCCCCATATCCAAGTCTGACCCAAATGTTTCCCCCAAAACGCCCCGGACAAAACGTCACTCCCCAAAACGCCCCAGACAAAATTCACTCCCTAAAAAGCCCCGGACAAATCGTCACTCCCCAAAACGCCCCAGACAAAACGTCACTCCCTAAAACACCCCGGACAAAACGTCACTCCCCAAAACGCCCCAGACAAAACGTCACTCCCCAAAACGCCCCGGACAAAACGTCACTCCCCAAAATGGCCCCGACAAAACGTCACTCCCAAAATGCCCCACACTGAAAATAACCCGCACTGAAAATCCTACACTGAACTGACCGACCCCCCTTCTCAAAAAATATTCTCTCCATAGGTTCAGGCTTTCATACCTCCGAGTTATATCCA